CCCATATCATCTCATGGGTGTTGTAAGAGGTGACAGAGAGAAACAAAGTAAGAAATGGGCAGCATTGTCTTCCTGATAACAACTAAAAATAAAAAACCATGGCTGCCAAGCCGCTTGTCGGGAGGATTTGTCGGATCTATCGGGAGGCCTATATTCAGCAGTGAACTTTGATAGGCTGTAATGGTAACGGCTGTGTTAGGATCTGAAGGTTCTAGAGTAACCAGTATAACTGTAGGCATTCAGCAGCGTAGCTTGGACTAATCTAGACATTGGTGAAGTTGCACGATCGAGGCTCTTTTACTTCAGCACCTATTCCTTAGGCCAATTAGGACATCCTACCACATTATGCTTTCGTAGATCATAAAATATATCGACGTTAGTATCATCTCATTAATTTTGTTGAAAACCACAGATAATAATAACACACACTTGCCCCATTGATGGGTAAGTGTGACAGTCTTCCACCTAAATTAGTTTTAATTACCTCAAATTACAAAATGCAACTTGTAGATACTAAAATGTATTTACTATGGAGTACGGCCTCTAGGTCAGTTAGGCGTGGGGCCGCTTTGCCCACGCGTAGCTATGCCACAGGTCGTCTTAAGTTCATCTATCTTTATAATTTTACTGCTGACCGTTATTTTTGAGAATTGCAAATGATGGTGGAGGTGCTAGGGCACTCACACTAGGTAAGATTGGCGTACGGATTTCCGCCAGTGCACAAGTATGTGTATCTGTAGCACTACAGGTGTTGGCTAAATTGGCATAACTAAAGCTAGGGACCATTCCACGTCCACCATATTCCCCAGGCCTTGCTCTAACAGACTACCACTTCTTCGCATTACTTTGATAAGCAAACATTTCAATTTAAAAAATAGCATTAAAGCATTCCTTTAAAGAGTTTATCGATTTTCATTCAGCAGTCTGCTTTAAAAGCAAGGACATTAAAAGCTGCCCATAAAATTGTAAGAATGAGTTAATAGTTAAGGCGAATATTAGTAAGTTAGTTGAAGTTATTTTATTACAATTTTGCCTTACAAAACGGCAATTTTATATATACGAGTATTCCACATATTCAAAAACATTTTTCATATTTCGTGATATGTTCAATAATATTATTTTTTCTGTTAACAGTTATACTGAAGGAATCAAAGTAAGGTGCGATGACAAAGAAATGAATGCAAGCTTATATAATAATCGCGCGGCTTCGCACTGGCATTTAAAGAATTATAGGTCGGCCTTGTTTGATAGCGAGAGGGCATTATCTTTTAATCCAAACCACACAAAGGCAAGACTCAGAGCAGCTAAATCAGCACTCGAAGTAGCCAAATATGATGCCTGCATAGAACACTGTCAGAAACTATTGGAAGATTCGAAGGATAAAGAAGTAGTGGAACTGCTCAATACGGCTAAAAAGAAAAAGTTGCTTCAAGAGCGCGATGAGAGGAAAAAAGATAGAATGATTTCTAAAAAGAATGAAGAAAAGGAAGCTGTTGTTAAAGCGATTGTAGAACGTGGCATTAGAATATCGAATTGTGACGACGCGGATGATATAGATTTGTCCAAATTGGAGCCAAGTTTGCCAGGTGCTCAGGATGCAATTGTGCATATGGAAAATGGGATATTAAAATGGCCGGTTCTGTTTTTATATCCCGAATATCAAATGACGGATTTTGTCAAAGCTTGCCCCGAAAACGTGCCGTTGCTTAACCAATTGGAACAGCTTTTCCCAGCTCCATGGGATGAAAACAATAAATACAGATGCAGCTCTGTTAATGTATATTTCGAGGGTTACGATAAAATGCCCCACGTTCTCGACCCTTCGAAGAAATTGGGAGATTTATTAGTGACAAAGTACTTTGAACTAAAGGCGGGAACTCCAGCTTTCTTTGTTCTACCTAGAGGTAGTAAAGTTGAAAGTAGATTTTTGGAAAGCTATTTATAATATCATTACGAGCACAAATTGTACCGTCGACTCTAAGTCAAGAAATAAAAGAAGAATTGATTTATTACTTAAAGTTCTTTGATTGGACATTGACGAAAGTAACTGCAAACTACCAAGTTTTATATAAAAAAATACGTGCAATCGTAAAACGTATTGTGTAATATTATGGCTACAAAATGTACTTATTTATTGTTTGTTACTTATAGAGTGTAGAAAAGTGAAAAATGAAAAATGATTTATTGATTTACAATGATACATTTTAAACCAGTTGCAAGGGCCCCTGTACTAGGTTGGGAACCTGTATTACTGGGTACCCCGCTCATCCACCAAGACAATACAATTTTAATCAATAAATAACAAAAAGCAAGGCAAGATCTAGCATTAGGAAGTAAATGAAATTTGGAATATAATAATAATTACATGATAAGCATGCATGCAAAGCATGCACGCGTTTGTGTGTGTGTGTGTGTGTGTTTTTGTGGTTGTGTGGTAGTGCTTTAACAATTGGTGTGGCTGTTCGAAGTATAAAAGTTATGTAATAAATTGTTCAGTTTCCTCGTAATTTAGTGTTAATAAAAAATTGTGTCACTACACATTTAACTTTAGTCCACGTCAAGGGGTAAATATTCAATCTGCTGTTGAATTTGTTGTAAATAGATATAGATTGGGATACGTATTGCTTTTGCTTAAACTTTGTTTATGGTATATTGCAAATTTTGGTACTCCTACGTTTTGGTGTCTGATGAGGTATGAAAGGTAAATGTCGCGATGCTTTTTTAAAATGCAATTCAATATATACATCTGGCGGCAAGCAATTTGTAAGACTTATGTAGTTCAAAAGTTGAAAATCGAAACGGTTTCATAAACATCACCTTAATTAGAACTCTTTGAGCTCTTTCTAGTCCTATTAGATGTGTTTTTGCTGCACCACCCCAAACAGGTATGCAATAACTCATTACCGATTGCGCTAGAGCTTTGTAGGTGGTGATAAGAGTTGTTTCATTTGCAACACACCTAAGTCTTTTAAATACCCATGTTAGTTTCCTTATCCTGTCAGTAATATTTTCAATGTGTTGACTCCAGGTAAGGTGCTGATCAATAGTTACACCGAGATATTTGATGGTACTAGTCCTAGTGATTTTATCACATGAGCAATTATTATAGCTATCTAAATATGGCTTAAGGCAGGTATGAACTGTTAGGATAAATTTAGAATTTGGTTATGTATTTTTCCGTATAGTGAAAGATATGAATTTAGTTTTGTTAATGTTAAGGGTCAGAAGGTTCGATCGTAGCCAGTTAGATATATGGTATATTCCGGAGTCAGCAATAGTCCTTAGATTTTCCCATGATTTTGCATTAAAAATGAGAGCAGTGTCATCTGCGTAGGTGTATATTTGACAATTTTGTAGGCTTAAATTGCATAGATCGTTGACATAGATTAAAAATAGAGTAGGTCCGAGGACGCTACCTTGAGGGACACCATAAGAAATATTTGATGGGCGGCTAAGATATTCACCAAGCTTGAGCTGTTGCTGACGTTCAGTAAGATAGTCTGTTAGAAGGGCGTGAGGCAGACCTCTTAATATACCATATTTATATAGTTTGTCTAACAGGATAGGAATAGAAACGGTGTCGAACGCCTTGGCCAAATCCAAAAAGACTCCAAGACATTTGTTACCAGAGTCCAGTTGCTTACTTATTTCTTCAGTTAAAGCTAACACAGCGTCCTGAAAATAGTGAAATATAAAAAAAATATATATATATATATAATAACCTACAAGTTATTTACAATTATTTAGCTACCCACGCATGGAAGCTAAAGTCATCACAACACAGGACACACATTCAATGGGCGGTTGTGATGGGCCAGTTGTGATATTCGTTGCGCATGGAAAATTGTTTTGTCGGGCGATCAACTTCTACAGCATAAAGTCTGTATTAATAAAACGATTAATTACCAATTGGTTGGATTAACAAAATGTGGATTTCATAGAAGTAGCATGTGTTTGAGCTCTTTTTAAAAGTGCGTCATAAGACACGCCGCAAAATACTCTATGCATTCATTATGTGCGATACTAGCGAAGGGACAGTTTGTCCGGTCCTACTAAGATGTAAGATGGCATTCTCAGAAGTATGCTTCAATCAAAGGTTTATTTTTCTGACACCCATGTCGATTGCGTCCATTTTACCTCGAAAGCAAAAGCGTGAGGCTTGAAGGCGATCGATGTATCAAAGATAGGTGTAACGCCATTGGCCCGTCGCTATTGTATAGGAATTGTGTCTCGTCACAGATTTTAAAACTGGTCGATTTTTTAAAATATAAATAAGAGTGACAGCGATCACACAGTCCATCTGATGGTGAAAGAATGCTGAGGTCTGTAGACATCTGCATTGATCCTCGATTAAGAATTAAAATGCAGATGCATTGTCAGTCCTGAAGACTAAGATGGAGTGGTTTGTTACTAGTAAAAAGGGTTTCCAGTTCTCTACACTCACCATACGAAATACGCCATTATTCTGCTGTTTCGCGCTGGTATTCTCTGAGAGCATGGCCCAAACCCCTGTCAGAGCACGGCTCCGTGGCGCAGTGGCTTAGCAATGAGTGACTGCGCTGTGGGCCGCGGGTTCGAATCCCGCGCGGAACAAGTATTTGTATGGCCTACAAATAATTGTTCCGGGTCTGGATGTTTGTCCGTGTGCAATTTATGTTTGTAAACTGCCTCCACGATACAGAAGAAAACCTAGTGTTAGACACCTGATGGTTAGAGGATGCAGTGATCCATAAACATCTACATCTATCCTCGATTAGGAATTTAAATGCAGATGCGTTTCCAGTAAAAAGGGTCTCAGATTCTCTATATTCATCTAGTGTGTTGCATCCATAAAATGGCATGCCGTATCACGTAAGAAGCTAGTTGTACATGTGCTCTTATACTTAAAACACCTGTGTTGAAGCTGGCCGGTTGTACTAGCCTCTATGCGTGCTTAGCCTTATACAAATAATATAATGTATTAGTAATAAAAAGTAAAACATAAAGAATTTAGTATTAATTTATTGATTTCTATCTCCCTCGGTATCAAAATTCTGGTGCGGGTAGAAAGGTCCAGGTGGTTCAAAAGCGCCCTTTTCTTGCGTAAGAGTAGGAGGATATGGATGATGTGGCGGCGCACCCATCCATTGTGGATACCAGTAGAGACCCTGTGGAATTATTAATTATATTTTTTATGTAAGGCGGCCCCCTGCTAGATGGAGTGACGACCTGGTAAGAGCTGGATAAAGTCGATGGTCAAATGACTCAGGATCGTTATTTGTGGCGTTCCTTGGGGAGGCCTCTATTCAGCAGTGGACTTGTGATGGGTTGTAATGATGATGATGAGGATATTTTTTGATGAAGGCTCGATTGACCATTAAAAAATTACTTTAGGCAAAAATCAAGTGTTATATTCTATTGTTGAATATTTCCTCTCATGCTCCTAGTGGCCCTGCCACACTATGCTCCCTGCGCTGCTCATCGCTCTACTCCTTGCTCTGCTGCGATGTTGTCCTCTCTGCCCACACACTGCTCTACTCGCGCAATTAATTGCTATATACAGGCCTATGTTCAGCAGTGGACTTGTGAAGGGCTGTAATGATGATGATACAGGATGTTTGTGTAAACACCGTTGTCCTCGAAACCAGTGGTTTGGTTTCACTTATAGAACGTAAATTCAATGAAAAATAACAACATTTTTTTAGTTAAATCTCAATTTTTTCTTAATTCTTCAATTTTTGCCTATCCTAAGCCAGGATGAAAGTGTGAAGGAAAAGTTACATCACAGGTTATGGGCACCTAATGTGTTTTTATTGGAATGTTGTGTAGGTAGCTAGCGCGGGCGGTGATCTTTATAGTGATAACGTCACTCGAGCGCATAGGGTATCCATGAATTTACGGACGGTGTTGGACAGAAACTTTTTAAATTTTATGAAAGAAAATAGCGTTTTTTTTTAAATCATTGAATTTACGTTCTATAAGTGAAACCAAACCTCTGGTTTCAAGGATAACGGTGTATACACTAACATCCTGATATATATATATATATATATATATTATATTTATTGAATCGATATATATATAATCGATATATATCGATATACATATATATATATATATATATATATATATATATATATATATATCATATCTATATATCGATTCAGTAAACGATTCTGAACAAACTACTTTCTCAAAGTGCGTTAATAATGTTACGTGTAGTATATTATATTATATATATATATATATATATATATATATATATATATATATATATATATATATACAGAATGGGGTCCCACATATATGCAATAAATGAAACCATATACTTGTTATCGCCTTTGCTGACGATATACAAAAAATGAACGTAATCGGTCCAGTAATTAGGTCAAAATTAGAGTTTTAATTTTAAGCAAATTTGAACTCTATAGAATTGGGTCACTAAGCCAATGATTCAATGAACTTGAATCCTTGAACATTAAAAAGCGACGTTGCCACGCAGTGCAAACTATTGGTATTGCGACATATCGACAGCGGTGTCACAAAGGCGACAGCGCAAGTGCGCGCGCGCCTTTGTCGTAGAGTAGGACACCAGTTATCGATGATTAGCTTCTTTCAAAGGGAGTAATAATCGATAAACAAAAAAAATGTTTAGCTTTAAACACTTAGGGTATGGTTTTTTTAGAATAATCGTGTTGTTATGATAATTCTAAAAACACTACGACCTAAGTATTTAAAGCTAAACTTTAAAGCTTTTTTGTTTAAGTGTGTTCTTGTAGATTTAGAGATAAAAAATTATTTTAACATGCTAAAAAACCCATAAAACAACCAATTAAAAAGTCATACATACTTACCCGTTTCCCAGGAAGTTACAAATCGGTAGTTTCGTAAGTTCAATTATATAAAAATAAACTTTTTTTTTAACAATCAATAACTTGTCGATTGTTATCAAATCAAAAATCAAAATTACTTGTATTCAAATGTAGTAGGTAAGTAAGTGTAAAAAGAAAAGTATCGATAAACGATAATTGCACCTTGTGGCCGCCCTATTTATTACTTTTATTATTTTCGCCATTTTGGAATTTGGAAATTCGGCTTCCAGTTCACGCGCAATTCTCCCAGAATACAGGTGTATTTCGCTGCCTACACGCATCGCAATTATTTATCGTAAGATAATTATCGTATTATCGTAAGATAAATACAATTAGTCGAACAATTCTTTTACGGTGAAATAGACACTTATTAGTTAATTGACTTTGTGTGTGTAAATAGTGTTTTTAAGTACGTTTATTTTTATTATTTTTTTACTGTGATATTGACACTACTTGACTTTTGTGTATACGTTTTGGCGGCGGAAAATGCCAAGACAACAGCATTTTTACAGTGCGGCAGAGTATACAGACATGGTTTTATTGTATGGCGAATGCCACCAAAATTCAGCGTTAACTCTGCGTACTTATAGTGAGAGATACGGCGCAACTCGCGTCTGCCCTACTAGCGTCCGGACAATCCTAGGTGCTGTCCAAAGAATCAGGGAAAATCAGCGCATAGTGCCCAACACTCATGAAGGAGTTGCTCCGCGTCACTTTCCACCCTCGTTCCAACTACGAGTCTTAGACCATTTCGATCGGAATCCAACCTGCAGCCTTAGACAAGCTGGGCGTGTGTTTAGAGTGAGGCATAAAACAATACACCGAGTGCTGAAAAGGAACAAACTACGTCCTTATAAATATGGTAAGGTGCAGGCGCTGCTGCCCCGCGATATGCCGATTAGAGAATCTTACTGCCACTGGGTACTGGAAAAAATGTCTCAAGACCAACGTTTCCTAACAAATGTGTTTTGGACAGATGAAAGCACGTTTACTCGAAACGGCATATGGAACCGACAATCCATGCGTTACTGGAGCCATACGAATCCCCATTTATTTAGGGAATCAGCTCATCAATACCGATTTTCCATTAATGTTTGGGCAGGCATTCACGGAGATCAAATAATCGCTCCTATTTTTATTGACGGAAACCAGAATGCACAGAAATTTCTCAATATTCTTAACGGCCCAATAACAGAATATTTAGAAGGATTGTCTGTGGCAGCTTACCAAAGGGAGCTCCTCCACACTCCGTACTCCTCGCGAGAGAGCGGCTTAACACCATGTTCGGCGAATAATGGATAGGGCGCTATGGCCCTCGCAGGTGGCCAGCTCGATCGCCCGACCTCACTCCTCTAGACTTCTTTTTATGGGGCTTTATTAAAAATGAAGTGTACTCAAAGATCTCCGAAACCGAAGATGAACTGCGCAATCGTATTGTTGCCGCCTTTAACAAATTAAAAGCCCTGGCTCTGGATCCTGAACGAAATTTGTTGAGCAGGCTTCAGGACAACATTATGCGGCGATGTAACTTGTGCATTCAAGAACGTGGCGGACATTTTGAAAATTTTAAAATTTAGGGTTTCATTAAATTTTGCTACTAATATGCAATAATATTTATTTCGTTCAGTTCCATTTTCGCGAAATAAAAAAGTGGCGGTAAAATATCTAAACAGTTTAGTGAGTAAGTTTTTGTTTCGTCGCACATTGTCCAACAAACCATAGGCCGTGCCGACAATCGCTATGCCACCCGCGTGCAACGTTGTCACTCTTCCAAGGGGTCAAGGTACGTTGTCTAAACAGAGTGTTTACTTTTACTGGATTTATTTTAATATTTATTTTGTTTGAAAATTTCACTTTTTTATTTTACGGGTTTTAATTTAATATTTAATTTTTCTACACTTCTACGGACTAGTATTACTTGTGGTTTCATTTATTGCATATATGTGGGACCCCATTCTGTATCGTTTACTGAATCGATTCCTATCATTTTCAATATAGGTAATTTTTTAACCCAAAAAATAATTAAAACTACGTAAATTACAGTCACACTAAATCTGTACAGTCAAAACGAACTAAAATGAACCGTAACTTTAGGCAATAAGACTTTTAAGAGTGCAGTTTTATTTGTATTATTACTAATTCTGTCATTCAATTAAAATAAAGAAAAATGAACTTTATTTCAAGCACGTTAAAGTCTGCGTTCGTGGATTTGTACTGTGACCACAACATTCGTCTTTTCATTTTCTTTCTTTCAACATTCGTCATTTTTCATTATATAACTAATTTGATAAATAATCGGTGCATAAAAATGTTTAACTAAAAATTCAGTATATGTATTATGATTATAACATAATATACTAATTGGGGTGTGGGCAGGGTGTGCGTTAATTACGTTACATACACACACACACACACAACATACACACACACATATATATATATATATATATATATATATATATATATATATATATATATATATATGTAAAAATAGGTCGCTAGCGTTTGCAATACAATGATTGTTGAAACTGTGGCAGTATGCGCCCTATTTAGTATTAGCTAATGATATCAATATCATAAAAAATATACGTCGTCGTCCTCGCCAACGGAGATGGTGGACGATATCCATTCATCGCAATAGCATTCTATTGCAATGAATTGATGTCATCCACCATCTCCGTTGCTTCCATAACGAGTGTTCGATTTGAACTGCGTTCGCGCGATTATATGTCCGGCCACTCGCGCTCATATTGCCAGTCTTTTAACTCGCACCCGAAAAATCGACAAAACAGGGAGCGATGGGTATGACGAGGAGCATGACGAGTATTTTTGCCACACTAGCTATCTGCTTTCTTTCCTCTCTACCTCCCATACCACTAGACGAGTGTGTGGCAGGGGGGGGGGGTAAAATAGAACATTTGTCAAAGGCATTTTCGGCCTTTTCTAAAGAATATAACCCCAACAACCTATAAATCTTATAACTCATGTTACCTTATTTCCTGCTGCGTTACACGTAAATCTTTCGTCATGAATGTCCACAGAATCCAAGTAACTCTTTCCAGCAATTGATCCGTAATTTGGAGGATACATGAAAAGACATCCGTCCAGTACATCTGAGAAAAAAACTTTGTTATTAATAATTATAACAAATATTTTAAAGTTGAACAAATCTGAAAATCGCTGTATATATAGTATGAAGTTTAGACGAAATAAAAACTCGAGTTTTTATTTCGTCCGAAATATGAAAATACTTAAAATAGCAAAATGTCCTGTATAAACGATCACAGTTTCATACTATTGTAGAGAAGCTCGTGATCAGAGCGTAAAAAACCTGAAAACTTAGCAGAAGAAAAACACGAAATATCTTATTAAAAATTATGTATTAAAATATGTCAGGCAACGTTACTATTGCCCGTCATTTTTTATTTAACATTTTAATAATTGCAAAAGTTACATACAACAATGTACTTTACATAATGGTCTGATGGTCTAGTTGGAATGATGAATTAATGTATATATATTTTTAATCGGATATGCTACGCTACTTCAAAGTACGTTCGATCTCGACCTGTCAGGATCGTATTCTCTGAGCGGCCAGACTTTAGTTTTTATCGCAGTACCAAAAAAACGCTTTCTGCTTACCGCACGGTTATTTTAGGTACATCTGAGTACGATGGTTAGGCCCGCCGCATATGCTCACACTTTTACTCGTTCACGATACTGTGTGGATGTGGCACTAATATTGGCCGATACGTATGAGTCTATATTTGCGGTTACGAGTCGTGCATCAGTTCGTCAATGCCAAGTAAGATGGTCAGTGGTCACACGCGCCACTACCACTCAAAAACCTGTCTCGGATATCTAGGACCACTCACAAGACACGCGCTTGTACGCTCATGTACGTGCCTGCGTCGACATGTGAGAGCAAATGCGGAGTTCGTACGTCGCATATTACGCTATAGGCTTTATACGCTGCCACACGCACGCGGCGCGTGATGACCAATGCGAGCGTGAGTATGTGCGACGGATCTTATACTGCCATCTATCGAAGCTATTGACTCTTTTTAGAATTTTTTATAGAATAAGGATGACAAATGACCTCACAGTACACCTGATGGTAAGTGGTCATTGCGGCCCATAGACATCTACATCTATCCTCGACAACGAATCAAAATGATGCGTTGTCACCCGTGAGGATTAGGATGGAATGCCTTCTTTTCCGGTAAGAAGGGTACGGTTCTTTACACTCACCATGTGAAACACAGCAGTGTTAAGCTGCTAGCTGATATTATGTGAGAGTGTGGGCCTTTCCTGGTCGAGTCGACCCATTCGTGCTACAACTATAGCTGCAGCATGGCTTCACCATGTATAACTTACCTCGTTTGTTGTTTTTTTAGACATTTATGGAACTCCATCAACTGTAGCAACTACGCAGCTAAAAATTACGGCTTATAAAGAAATATCTGTCAGCTCAGTGGCATAAAGGCTAAGAGTTTGCCAACGAGATCGCGGGCTCGAATCCTGTACCGAATATATTAGCACAGTCCTCTCATTTCAAATAATAGTCCGCAATTCATTTCAAATACAGTGAGCCCACCTTAATAATAATTACGGATCTAGTTGTTTGTCTATGAGCAAACGTCAGATGGTATGTGATCATCGTCGCCCATGAAAATCTGTAACATTAGGGGAATTTCAGGTGCGATGCCGGCAGTTTAGAAAGGAATTAGCTCTTCTTGAAAGTCCCTCAGTCCATTCCAAGTCAGTAAATTCCACAGTGTGGTCGATAGTTATACTGTCTCGAAAAACCGCTGGAGACGGTCAATTTCACAGTTAGGTCGAGTTGGCAGAAAATTCCGCCTAAATCGCACGTTAGTAGACCTCCAACCATCGAGGTGATGAGAATGGTATTTATATTAAATAAAACTATTTTACAGATCGTAAATTAAACGCGATAACACCCGTAAAAATTGTTTTATGCAATGTTTAGTATTCGAGTAAATATAGTAATCATTATGGAATTTCAATGTCAAGTTCCTGTATCATGGAGGATTCTTTTTAAAGATACATTAAGGATAATCTGTACAGCGGTAACTTGTTTATTATGCGTGTAGGTAAGGTGATATTGCGCGAAATGCGGTCGCCTAAATTAAATATGTTGACTTACATGGGACGGTTATATTTTCTTCTTCTTCGACGACTTGTGGTGTTGGTGTGGACTCTATATACGGCGGTATTGATACTATTCCGGTTCCTGGATCTCCAGGAACCAGGAACGGACCTGAGATGTTAGAATATCTGTATATATTATGTCTGAATTCGTTGTTTTTTTTTTTAAAACTATTTAAGCCAGTGATTGGCTACTATCTCACTTGATGGTAAGTGGTGATGCAGTCGAACTGAATTAGATTTTATTTTATATTGAATTAGAATTACCTCTGCTTAGCAGAAGCACATTCACTCCTGGAAGACACCGACATCGTAATCAGAAAGAAATACAGATGCTGGCAAATTATTCTACCTGCTCCTTTGCTGTACATATTATGAAGCAAACTGATTAGTTCGAATGCGTGGTATGTCGACAACAAATGATTTCGCATCAGCATTACTGAAATAATTAGGTATTATTAATTATAGCTAACGTGAAGGCCCAGCAAATAGTTCCAGAGATATAAAAATTTAAAAGGATGCGAGGTAACCCGTTCTGTGTAGTGAAATAGGAAATACAAACCAAATTTTGTATATATTCCAAGTAATTACGTCCAAAGTAAATAGCAGAGCTGCCGACCTTATTGGTGAAAGACAAGATATTGAAACATGGTGCGAATTAAATTTAAATTTAGAACAGTGGAGACCAGCCGAGCGTATGGTGGTCCGATGATGGAATGGAGTGGGAGGAATTAATTCGTGCAAGTCCTGTGCTCACTCTCCGAAATGTTTCCTGACAAAACCGAAGCGCTGGCTACTTTGCGTCTGTGCTCGAGACTGATATAGTTATTTTAATTCACGATGAAGGTTTGACTTTTGTTGTTGTTAGCCGTGCACATATACATTGTGTTAGTGTGCGTAGGCCTCGGGAGCGCTCAGTCACGATCGCGAGTCAAACGAATTGCAGTTAGACACACAAACGCGCCTGTCGTTACACGTCATTACTACATTCAAGGCGAAACCTTCATCGTGAAATAGAATAACTATAATATTGGTTCTTAATACATTGGTGTCACCAATAAGCCTCATATCACGTCTTTCCAATGAGTCCAAAAAACGCTAGGTGACATTTTACAGCATCAGCCGATAAATGGCAGCAATACTCCATGCACGACAGGACTTGTGCTTTTTACAGTGTAAACACCTGTTCCGGCGGAAGATATTGCTGCACCTTTGCGAGGACACCTAGCTTCCTTGCTTTGGTCCTGGACACAATGGATCGCTCAAAGTTCAAGTTAGAAGAAACCTCTACACCAAGGTGGTCGGTGAAGTTTGTAAATAGTCCAAGTACATAATAAAGACGCTAGTTGATATAGCTGTGAATAGATCAAGGTAGAAATTTTTACTGTTGAAGAAATTACTTCCAGTTTGATTTGGTCAACGATTACTTGTTTACTTGTAGACTTTTTACAGGATTATGATGATAGTACTTTTATGTTCCGACGTTGATTTTATAGATAAAAATATGTAGGTACATAGACATCAGAGTCTACACCACTTTGTTGTCGACAATCTCTCTTTCGAAAGTGTCTTAGTGGTTAATGCATACAGCAAAGGAGTATTTTGGAAGTTTCTGTCGTTCTATTAGATTTTTTATAAAATTAGGAACTAAATCTATCTTAAGAATCAAAATTTAAAAGCGTTAACACTCCTGAGGACAAAGATAAAATGCCTTGATAACAGTAAGAGAACAGCAGTTGGTATTCCGTGTAAAAGTGGTTCTTCTTCTGTTGAATCGCACCATTCCTGCTGCAGTGTGCCTCTACCACGTCTAAAAGTTCCTTGCATGGAGTATTATCTCTGCACTCCATGTTCGTTTGATTACAATGTGGGTGTCTTAGACAAGACCGAATAGGCTCCATGTACGCTAAGCCAGTGCCATTTACCATCTTCAGCCAGGTACACAACCACTTATCATCAGTTAAGATTGTGTTGAAGCACTGGCTTTTACTACAAAAATTACAATGAACGATGGACTTACCGCCGTAATGGTTAGTATAATTCCATTCGCAAACGTGATGGTCACATACCAAGGGCGTGTTCTTCTCCTTAGTGTAATAAGTTTGGCCGTTTGGCGCAGTCTGAAAATAACGGTGTATCACACCATAAAGTTGCTATGACTGTTTTTCTAAGAGGATGATATATCGTTAAAATGATATAGCGCTAAAATTATTAACATGGATAGTCCATGAGAAAAACTCTATGTCAGTAACTATGAAATTAAAGAATATGTCAAGTCGTAGACATTTAAAGTTTGTCAAACCTAACACATATTAAGGCAGCGAGGCGGACCTTTCGTTGCCCTAATCGTCTAATTACTTTTTGGATTATGGTCTTATAGCAATGACTTTTACAGTATAATAAATATCAACCTCTTTTATGTTTTCTTTTTTAATAATATATTATCTTTATAAGCATTGTGCACAAACTGCTCAAAATTGCCTATTTAGACTGTTATCAACAGATGCCTAGTGTTCAAATTTGATAACTAATACTGAAAATAGAAAAACATAGGGACACAGTCCTTCTCATTCAGTTTATGGAATATCTTTTAAGTTGGTGCCATATTGAAGGAGGAAAAAGTAGGGAGCCAAACCTCGAACCCTTTTGACTTAGGCTATTCATTCGGGTCTGCAGTTGTCGTTATAGCACTCGCGCTCGCACAGCGACAGCGATAGTTACTTCAAATACCTAACTTTTAAATTTCCCCTTAACACATGCACTGTCCGATTTTCAGACACAATTAGTAAGACCATAACAATGAACTGCATGTAGTACACGAGACAGCGAATGGGTTAAATGTTTTCTCTTTTTTTGTTCACTGGTGGTCACATTGTTACCTGTTCTTGGAAACAAGCAGCAGTTTACTGCTGTTTAGCAGTTTGAAAGGTATGAGAGCCAATGTCATAAGGAGTGATAAAGCATCTGCAGCCCTTAGTTTGAAGTCAGCTCTCCATGGGCTACAGTGGCCATTTAATATCAGCGGAATATAAATAAGTTCGTTCATTTCTCAAATAATAATGACCTCCAGACCGAATTTCCGTCACGGCGGCCAGTTTTAATGGACTCTAGCCATCTGCACAGGATAAGATTATACTCTATCCCCTTAATGTTAGAGTCCGTTGGGACGGTAAACCGACACGACCGGAGAGAGATCAGGCGCACGAGCAACGGCTTTACGTGCTTTCCGAGGCACGGGGGTGAGACGTCGCCAACTTCCTGACTCCGGGCAGCTACTGAGAATTTCCAGACACCCATAAGTGATTTCGGCCAGACCCGAGATTGAAACCTGCGACCTCATAACCAGCAACCGCATTTACCACAAGACCAACGAAGGCAATCAAAATTTATTATTTCTCAAATATTAGCATTAAAAAAATTGATAAGTACATTTTTATAAACTTAGAGCCAGTCTTGGATTCTGCAGATAAAACTAGAACTCAACACTGCTGCAGCAGCAGCCGGCGAAGTGCCAGGATAAGATTTTTAAAGTATTTCTTAATCTCTTCTCACTAGGTTCGGGCACATTTGACCCCTGTCCCTCCTCCTGATCCTTCGTCAACCCTTATCAAGGCTACTAATTAATTTTTAAAGTATAACTCTGTAACATATTTTTAATAATATTCGAAAAATGTAAAAAATAAAGAAACTATAAACTTCCGCGATGGGATCTTAGAACAAAACAGACATATTTATATACCTTAAACCAGAAGTCAAGAATAAAAAATATCATTTTGTTTCGACTTTCCCGCTTATTACTCGACAATCCAGCGAAGAAATCGTTAATTGGGGATTATAGGCGAACTTCCATAAATTTTGGGAAAATGCCCATGAAAATGAATATGTTTAAATAGTTTTGCATAAAAATATATTATTTTTGCGTACGACCATGAATCAGGATCGTATATCGTACTGATTTACCCTGACGATGAAAACCGCCCAGAACGTCGAATGAAACGAGCTAAGCCGTCAGAGGCGAGGGTCCACACTCCACGGACAGCGGTTAGATAGCTCAAGAACCACCACAGAGGCCACATGATGATTGGTAACAATACTAAATCATAAACCATCATCATCACCATCATCCTCATCACCGTCGCCTTTCCCTTTTTAATCGGCCTGAAAGGCCGCGAGCCCCGAGTCAGACGAAGCTGTAAGAGTCCTATAGGCTAACAACACCAACATCACCGAAGATAGATGACGTGAATCGTAAAATTATGATAATTATCGTACAAATTCTAACACTGTAGAGCTTTGCTATACTAAAATACATTTAAACATACCATACCAGTAAAAAGTCGTAATGTCGATACCGTAGACCCTGGATGTTGAAGTCGAGAATGAAGGAACCGGATGTAATGATACATGCTGTGGCGGTCAGCGGCGGCAATTTGTACATCACCAGTCCACACTTAACGATCGCTTTGGGCAAGGTTATCACGTCTCTGTCTTTTTGTAATAGTTTCTTAAAAGGAAACCTAAAAGATGATATAAATAAGGGAAAAAGGACGATGGCACTTAATACCTTTTGTCCTTTAAAGCTGTATATACTCATAAGTGACTACCTCGTTGGTCTAGTGGTTGTAATAGTGTGACTGCTAATCATGAGGTCCTGGGTTCGAATCCCGGGTCGGGCCAAAAAATCAATTATTGAGTTTTTCCGTCAAGAAATTCTCAGTAGCTGCCCGGAGTCAGGAAGTTGGGGGTGTCTCACCGTCGTGCCTCGGAAAGCACGTAAAGCCGTTGGTCCTGCGCCTGATCTCTCTCCGGTCGTGTCGGCTTACCGTCCCATCGGATTATGAGAGTGAGGGAATAGAGAGTGCACCTGTGCTTGCGCATACACTTGGGCACTATAATCCTGTCCTGCGCCAATGGCTAGCCTCCGTTGAGGCAGGCCGCCGTGACCGAAATTCGGTCTGGAGGACATTATTATTATTATTATATAAGTGTAAATACTTGTCACATGAAAGTCGTCGCCTCTGCATCCAAGCTCTAATAAATATAAGTAGACCAACTTTGAATGCATCAAGATCATCATCATCATCATCATTACAGCCTGTCAAAGTCCACTGTTAAACACATGTTTGCCATAGTTGCCACGCTTCGCAAGCAGGTTGGCGACCGCAGTTTTTTTAATTTGTATTGTTATCAAGAAGATGCTGCTACCCCTCTCCTGGTTTGTTTGACTCTGCCGCCACTTACGACAGCCACGAGAGGATATGGGGTAGTAAATATTTTTATACCGCCACTACACGTTAACTTTGCATACGAGGTCCTAATGAAATACAACACACATTTCTGAGCCATTTGCAGTCATCAACTTCCTGTATCCGTTAACGTCTCGGATCTTTATGTATGATTTAGTAAAAGCCACTTGAGAAAATTTATCTCCTTCATCTTCCTTAAAGTCCTAACAGTTATACATGAATAGAATAGAATAGACTATTATCACATTAAATATCGATTATTACATAAAATTTCTTACGCTTCGGAAAATACCAGCAAAAATCCCAACGGGATTTTTTAAACATAATATTTTACAATAATATTATTACGTAGGTACAATTATTATAATATAAATTATAACAGAACCAGCATGGTAGCGATAGAATGACGATGATGATGATGACGAACATTTTCGTACTTTTCACGTGGTAGAGTCATGCTGCAGCTATATTAGTAGTATAGTTGTAGCACGAATGGGTCGGCTCTACCAGGGAAAGACCACGCTCTTACAGAATACCAGCTTATAATAGCAGTTTGTAGATGTAGTGAGTGTACGTTCTATTTATCAACCAGTACAGTATACTGTGGAAAAGACCTTATGACTTCTCCTGTATGTGTTCGTTATTAGGAATCGCACGTGGATGCTCTATTACGTCGGGATTTTTTTGTAAGTACGCTCTCTATTTTAAACTCCGAGCGCAAAGCGCCCAATTTATGCTCAACATGGGAAATGTATACAAATGTTCAGACAAGCTCTTTTCAAAGCTCTAAGTTCGTCTCGCAGAGGCTCTATGCACCCAACAACAACAATCATTCTATAAACTAAGCATTCGTATCTCATAGGTTCCATACATCCTGCAACTATGATTTGTTTTTTAATAAATAATTTCGTTTCATAAGTGGTAATATAATATGCTTTCGCAATTTTTTTATTTACGCTATTTAGGAGACCCTTCTTACTGGAAATGAGGCATTCCATCTCAGTCCTCACGGGTGACAACGCATCTGCGTTTTGATTCGTAATCGGGGATAAATGTAGATGTCTACGGACTCCAGCAACCACTTACCATTAGATGGACTGTGTGCTCGTTTGTCACACTTACTATAAAAAAGAGCTCTTTACATTATATCCCTCGAAACAATTAGAAAATAAATATGTCTCAACTTACCGAAATATGCAAATACCGACGTGACATTCCAGTCCGTGTATATAGTTGTCCGTAGGGAAGGTGATGCTGGGATCCTCCATCAAGTAATACTTCTTCTCATCGTGAAAATGCAGGAATCCAAGGAAAACAAACGATCGATCCTTGCAGTATGGTGCTATACCTCTGCCCATGTTGTATATATCGCTGTAGAGTTCCGAGATGAAGAGGTAAACGTTTTTACCGCAATAGAACTCTATAAGAGATCGTAATAAAAATTATTAAAAAAAATAAGGTTAATAAAGTTATCCTGTTGCTAGATACTAGCAGTAGGATGACAATGGGTATGCATCAGTCTGCATCATCCTCTACTGTTAGGATTTTCACCTGATAATCCTAACAGTAGAGTATTAGAACGACAGAATTTGAGAGGTGGCAAAATTTGTCAGGATAGACTATTTGTTTGATGTATTGTCCTCAGGGACTTAACAACGTATCTGCATTTGGATTCTTAATTAAGGATAAATGTAGATGTCTATGGACCACAAAATCCACTTATCATCAGGTGGACGTGTGCTTGTTTGTTTGCACCATTATTACATAAAACCATAGACAAAATCTCAGTTAGATATTAGAATCGAAATCGAGATTGAATTATAATAATATAGCAGTTATTAGTTGCCGACATACCTTGACTGACGTAGAATTCCATGGGGACGGGTCCTCCGGAATACGTAGCTCTTCTCTCAGCTGCTATTGCGTTATGATTCTCGTACATTGTCAACATATTGTCGATTACATCATCCAGGGTTATTAAAAGCACCTTAAAACAATTTAAAAATAAATGACAAGGTGAAGACACCTCTTTGTGACACTTATACGTGGTAAAGCTGTGCTTAGCTATTTTATGGTGTAGCACTAATGGGTCGGCTCGACTGGGGAAAAACAACGCTCTCACAAAATACCAACGTAAAATAGCAGCTTGATGCTACTTTGTTTCGTGTGGTCAGTGTATAGAACTGGAGACACTTTACTAGATACGAGGCATTCCATCTTAGTAATGAGGGGTGACCTCGCATCTGGATATTGATTCTTAATCGAATCCTAAATGTAGACGTCTATGGGCCACAGTATCCACTTACCGTCAGGTGGACTGTGTGCACGTTTGTCACTCTTACTCAATAAAATAAATTGTATACAATTTACAACAGATTAATACGTTGAAGTTATCTTGACCGATTCCCAACGACGTTGTTCAACTTTTGAAAATTACTTCGAATATCTTTATTTAAAAACTTTAACTAGAACAATTGTAGAGATCTCACTCATTCAATACACTAAAATGAAAGAACCAGGCCCGAAGTAGCATGGTGATGTTCTGTTGACGTATTTCTACTTGGCAATAACTAAATACCATCAAAAACGAATGTGCGGTGGATATAATGGAGTTACAAGTGGGTCACTGACAAAGAGGTAATTTCTCTTCCAACCTAACAGTGCCTCATGTTATTTTACACTTATGCGATGTAGTAATGTGCTACATGATAAGATGCGATAAGATTGCAGATAGGCTAGGGTGTAGAGTCAGAGACACAGAAATAATTTCATCACAGCAATATTAAGCTGAGAACAAATTATCGGACGTGTCCGTCAGCCGCGGCTGACAGACGCGGTTTATTGAAATCTAGCCAGTACATTTAATACTACACAGTGCAAACTATCGGTCGTAAGACGCGGACATGACCTTGCGTCGCTCTTGAGCGTTCAGACGTCTGAACAGTATCTGGCCGGCTGGATGTTTGTGCGTCCGCGAACGTTTTTGAGTGTCACAAGCGAACCAACTGCGCTCGCGAAATGATGTGTGATGAAGAAAAATTAATTGAAGGTGTTCGTGGCCACGATTGCTTATGTATAACTACAAACTACAAAGCTATAAATTCATTCATTCTTAAGTACGTTTTATAACGTTTATCATCTTGTTCTAAGTCTCGATACAATGCATGAAATTCACCATATTAGAGTTGTTTTACATTAATATCATGGACCCAAACACTCCTTATCACTATTTTTTTCGGAAGACAACATAATGAAGCTGCCGCTAACTTTATAGATTCATCCTTGCTGTCGCTGCTTGTCCTGTTTCTCGGTTGACAAACCTTTATGGAATGACCGAAACGAGGCGTCCGAAGACGCCGTCTCGACTACCGTGCACACCGCTAAAGCTGAGAACAAATTATCGGACGTGTCCGTAAGCCGCGGCTGACAGACGCGGCTGACGGATGTGTCCGATAGTTTGTTCTCTGCTTTAGAGAGTTGGTAGCTTAGGAGTCGTTTTCACAATACGAGAGCAGCCCGGTTTAAAATTCCGCCGGCACCAAAGAAATTATTTATTGCAATTTTGATGAAGAAAAACGAGTAAGGGCCGCCAACACGCACTGGAGCAGTGCGGGGGACTAATTGCTTCTTATTTCCGTCAGAAATGAGCTGCGTTTAGTGGTGGGCGGTAGGCAGTAGTTTGTAACTTTCCTTTTTTTAAAGTGTGAAACTAGTGAACTATCCACCTGATGGTAAACGGTTCAAAGTACTTCGTACTATCTACGGACTCTTGTAACCAATTACAAAGAAAAATGCCGCAAATGTGATGTTATCCTTGAGGGCTATGAAACACTTAAACTTTTAATTATACCTTGTTCTTGTATCCTTCAAAATGAGACATAGAGTGTTTGGTACCAGCCTAAGCGAACTCGTAAATAGAAAAGGAGCTCTCTCTCTCTCTCTCTTAAAATATATATCTCTCTCTATATATATATATATATATATATATATATTGGTTATCTCTCCGGTCCTGTCGGAATGTCGTCCCATCAAACTATAGTAGAGTGAGGAAGAACACCTGTCTTTGCGCCTGTCCTACGCTGATGGCTAGTCTCCGTACAGACTGGCCATCGTAATCGAATTTCGGATTAAAGTACATATTTTTATTATTTTTATTTACATAATTTAAGTTATATTTATTAATAATTAAGTTCTCGTTACCTAATTATTTAAATGAGATACACACACCTTCAGTTCCTGAATATGCAGTCTTATGAAACGTCCCAAATGATCCGTTGCAATATGTATCCGTTCGTTTATTAAGTACTGCAACAATAAACTTATAGTGAAATAAATAAAATGGACCGTGACGTTTTAAGCTATATTTCATTATAAGTTAGTACTTGAGCCTGATTATTAAAATTCCTCGATCGTTAATCGAAAATCCTCGATCGTATTATTTTAGCATAACCATAGGATGTTCACCCTTACCTTGAAAACATCTAGATTGTAATAAGACGAAAAGTCAGACGCTGGAAAATTATTCCAATAGTTTATACGCCTTGAGACAGACGTGTATAGTTTGTGAAGTTCGAGCGCGTGGAATGCCGACGACAAAGAGGTGGAGACCGGCTCAGTGTCTCATTACACATGGGTGGAAAGGCGAGAGCAAAATTAAAGAACGCATTTTTCTTCTACGCTCTTAGAAATGATTCCTGTAGAACACTCCTGTGCTCGAGACACATAAGATAAGTTTCAACTAAATCAAGGTCATCTCTCCTAGTTTCCTTGCTGCTATGGTCTTGGGTTAAATAAACTGCCAAAAGTTTAGACAAATTTCAATCCCTAAGTACAGTCAGTAGTTATACCCTACATACGAATTTTAAAAGGGTTTTAGGTCAAAGAAGTGTCCGCTGCGCTGCCCATAATAGAGCCAGTGTACTTCTTAAAAAATACATTCCAGAAAGTAGAGCCAGAGTGAGCGGGTCCCTTTTTATATAAACGGTATTACGTTGAAAGGACACGCTTATGTTTGGAGGCGTTGAATCTGACAAGATTGGCATCCTAATTCGGAAACTCCCCGCCGTGAGAGCTTTACACGCTCAACCAAAGCTTCTCGATCAGACTGGATTTGACCCTGACTGACCAGAGGCACCGATACTCTGTACCCGAGAATTCGACTGTTATCTTTCATAATGATTCTCTGCATATCCATAGATTCCGGGAATGTGTAAATCATTAACTTGACATACTATTTCTATCAAGAGATCATCAGATATACGAACATTTTTATATGACAAGCCGGCCAGGCAGCGTCATTTTGCCCTTTCCGGCGCCCCTTCTCTGTAAAAAATCCTTTAATTCGCAATTAAAAATATTGAGGGTCACTTTCAAATTTCATTAAAATCGTTTGAACGGTTTCGGAGATTAGCGTGAATGAAAAGTAATTATTCGTATGGTACCTGATCCTCAGCAGTCTTGATACGCATCATCTCAGTCTGATATAGCCATAAATTGTCCAGTTTGTCGGTTGGATCATGACCGTAGATTTCGAAGGCGTCGATAATCATGGCCAATGTGAGATTCTCGCTGGGCTCCAGGCAGCATGGATGAGTTCTGATGTTGTATGGTATCTACAATATTACAAATATTACTCGAAAATAGCATAGTATTTTAATTAAGCCAGTGCAGACTAGAGGGTAGTCTAAAATTTTTAAGACTGATATGAATAATCAAATTCGAATAACGTCTTGAATATTGAGAAACCTTTTTTATTAATTCTGGTGTATGTTTTTATTTATAAATTTGGATTATATAAACAAGAAGTATAACACTGAAAAGTTAGGTTGACCTCTTTAAGCTCTGTAAATTGGTCAAATATTTTATTCTTGAGTATTTTTTATTTATTTTGAAAGCTATGATATTTCCATATTATTAGTATTAAATAAAAAATTGAAAACAACAAAGTTTAGGCTAAATCTTAAGTGGAAAATAATTGAATCGGAATCTTATTAGGATTAACTTTTAGGAGGGACTTAATAATATATAATTTCTACTAACACACGGTAGTGATAAAAGAGAATCTATAGTTTCATTTCCATACATCTTTATAGAAAAATTTTTAGTAAATAAAATACTGGCATGAGAGCATGGTAATTAAAAGATTTAGCTAAGCTCCTGGAGTATCTGGCGGCGCGGCGTGTTGTTGATGTTCTACAATGATGACTGATGATAATGAAAACAATTTTCTTACTGACTGTATCGTAATAGATATATAAATAATTGCTCTATAGACATTTTATATTATTTATTTATATTTAGCTTACATAATTGTTATAAATATATACAATACATCATTTGGACCATGAACAATTAGAAATGGGTATAATTCTTATGGTGACCACACACGGTCAGTTAAACTGATCATTCCAACTGATTAGTTCAAACTAAAACTGTTGATATTTTTTTAAATATCGGATTTTCGATATATCCATAAATAAACTTACTTATATGTAAAACTCCGATATTAATATATTTATAGTGATCGATATATCGAAAATCCACTATTTTAAAAAGATATTTTTTGTTGATAAACCGTTGATAAACAGTTTTAGTTTGAACTGATCAGTTGTACAAACAAAGTGTTGTACCTGTGTTTAGAAGATACAGTCCTGTCTCCCCTTTAGTTTAGGAGTACATAGTTGTATAGTTTAAAGTATAATAATTTTTGTAATTTCTTGCAAGAACTTTCATCTATTTATGCAAATTTCTACAAATAACCAGTGATACATACCGTTTCCTGTAGCCAGGCCACACATAGTGCAAGCAACACGCAAGCGTGAGTAAACGTGTCCATTTTGTCAGCATGGCGACCAGCGAAAAGTGAAACAAAAGATGTAACCACCAATTAGCTAAAGCAATTTGTTTTATTACTTTGTTAACATCGTTAACCTTGCACTCTAAAATAATTGCGATCATAAAACAAACTTGAAATTTTTATTAGATAGAAATTAAAATTGTTTCTCTTTCGTTACGGATAGGAATGCCAGTACGGAAGACCAAAATATCTGGACAAAATTTGAACATGTCGGAATTTTGTGGTTGTTGTCGGAGGAAATTAATATTGAAAATATAAATGCAAAATAAATAGTTTATTTTTTAAGTTAATAGGCTACAAAAAGACTTAACATTGTTGACACGTAACTAATTTAAGTACACAAAATTTTTAGGTTACCACATGTATTTGGCATTGGACTTTACTGAGTCCAATAATTTGGATATTTTAGTAGTATTCAGAGAAGATTAAAAATTCAAACAATTTACTTCAAAGTTCAGTCTAAGTACTAATTCAGCTTTTATTAAATCAAAGGCAGCTGTTATGTAAAGACAAACTGTTCGTCTGGAGATTTTGAGTTTTGTCGGGAGTCTTTTTTTTATAGGATAGGGTGACAAACGAGCACAAAGTCCACCTGATGGAAAGTGGTTGCTGTGGCCCATAGATATCTACATCTATCTTCGATTACGAATCAAAATGCAAATGCGTTGTCACCCGTGAGGACTAAGATGGAATGCCTCATTTCCAGTAAAAAGGGTCTCCGGTTCACTACACTCACCATACGAAACACAGCAGCATTAAGCTACTATTTGACGCTGGTATTCTTTGAGAGCTACAACTATACTACTAATATAACTGCAGCATGGCTCTACCAAGAGTCTGGAGATCATTTAAAACGTCGGGAGAATCCAGACGAATTCCGTCCATAGTCACGGACTAGGTGTTTGGAACCTCTTTTCTGGCTAGGAATGCGTCTGGGTAATTACCCTCTTCTCTAATTCTGCTTCTAAACAGCAATGCGCTTACTGCTGTGTTCCGGTTCTTTATAGCCTTTTAAAGTTCATTGCTGAACATAGGCCTTCCCCAAAGGTTGCCTCATAGGGGGGATATTTGTCATAGTTGCCACGTGTCATAGTGCGTGTTGGCAACTGCAGTATTTTTTAATTTTAGTCGTTATAAGGAAGATGCTGCTGCCCATCTCCTGATTTGTTTCCCTCTGTAACCTCTTACGACACCCACGGGATGATATGGGGTAGTCGATATTCTTACACCCCTACTACACGGTAACGGTAACTACATGGTGTTCCGGTCATAAGGGTATAAAGAGAGAGTATAATTCCATCATGTGAGGTATTCTATCCTGGTCCCCAGAGGCTTGAGGTGACAACGCATCTGTTGTTTCCTTTGTTAGAATTTGGCTTCAGGTGTCCATGGGCTGCAGTAGTGAGTTATCATCATGTTTTTTTATAGAATAAGATCGACAAACGAATTCAGAGCCCACATCACGGTAAGTTTATGCTGTGTTCATCGACATCTATCCTCGATTAAGAAACAGAATGCAGATGCGTTGTGACCCCTGAGGACTAAATTCGAATGCCTCGTTTCCAGAAAAAAGGGGTCTCCGGAAACGTGAGAGCGTGGGCCTGATCTCCGGTTGAGCCGACCCATTCGTGCTACAACTATAATCTACCATTCGACTCGACTCTGACTGCCTCGTTGGTCTAGTGGTGGTAGTAGTGGGACTGCTGATCGTGAGGTCCTGGGTTCGAATCCCGGGTCGGGCCAAAAAATCAATTATTGAGTTTTTCTGTCAAGAAATTCTCAGTAGCTGCCCGGAGTCAGGAAGTTGGCGGTGTCTCACCCCCGTGCCTCGGAAAGCACGTAAAGCCATAGGTCCTTCGCCTGATCTCTTCCCCGGTCGTGTCGGTTTACCGTCCCATTGGATTACGAGAGTGAGGGAATACAGAGTGCACCTGTGCTTGTGCATATACTTGGACATTATAATCCTGTCCTGCACCGATGGCTAGCCTCCGTTGAGGCAAGCCGCCGTAGCCGAAATTTGGTCTGGAGGACATTATTATTATTATGGGGTATATATATAGTTTTCTCATCTGGTTGGGTTCTATAAATATATAATTATAAATTAAAATGAAAAGATAAATATACATAAATATCAATAAAATAAGAAAAAAATACAAAAAATACATAAATAAATAAAGATCCAACCAGATGGAAGCCCTCGGCAGGGGAGACCAGACGGCCGAGGGTTAGGAGGAAAGGGAAAGAAACCGGCGGACGATGCGGGCGGTATCGAGGAGCACTGCCTTCTGCATTTGAGCCCGGAGCGGTCCGTCACGGAGTCCCAGTCGCCTCAGATGACCCGAGAGGCTGACTGGTATTAGCCTATTCGCAGAGACGACTACAGGCTATAATTTCGGCAGGCAGACCACATGTCAGTCACCTCGTGAGCCAGGTCTAGATATTTTGTTCGCTTATCTGTTTCAGCTTTCACGAGGTTCTCGTCATACGGAATGGTAATGTCGACCAAAATATCCTTGACTGTGCCCGGTCCATCAGCACAATATCAGGCTTATTCGCAAGAATGGTCCTGTCTGTGATGATGGCCCGGTCCTAGTAGAGCCTGGCGCGGTCATTTTCGAGCACGGCTTCCGGCAAGTACTTGTAATACGGCAGCTTCCGGTCCGCGAGATGGTATTTCAGAGCGAGCTCCTGGTGTAGAATTCTGGCTACTAGGTTGTGTCTGTGCAAGTACTCAGAGTTAGAAAGCGCCAAACAACCGGAGATGACATGCCTAAGGGACTCACTGGGATGGCAACAAGCTCGACAGACGTCGACGGTGCCATCCTTTAGGATGTATCTCCGATAGTTGTTGGTCTTAATAACCTGATCCTGTATTGCACAGACAAAACCCTTGGCGACTGTATCTACGAAGGGTTCATGTAGAGCCCTGTAGTACCTCCCGTGGAGCTCCTTCTCCTTCCATACGGCCTCCCGGTCGGAAATACTAAGCACTGCTGGGTCCTGCCATTACTCGTTGGCTAAGGATAGAGGGGTAAGCCCCTTATCACTAGAAATTACGTCATTATAGAATGGATCATCCGATCTCGCCAGGAAGTAATGACGGAGGCTGCACACTTCACGATTATGCATGGTGAGCGCGCTCAGAAAGCCACGCCCGACGATCTCGGATGATGCATCCTAAGGGACGTCATGGTAGTGCGGACTTTTCTATCCAGGGCGTTAAGTTCAGTCTGAGTCCACCTGAGTATGCCAAAGGTATACATGAGGACAAGCATGACCCAACCGTTATATGCGTGTGTCTTATTCACACCGGACCAAAGGCTATTAAGCACTTTGGTCAAGCGTGCACAAAACACATCGCAAACTGACTGTTTCATACCAGCCTCATCGATACCGATGTTCTATGAAATATCCAGGTATCGGTATGTTTCAGCCTCGGAAAGGGTCCTTAAGTTGACGGGCATAGATAAATCCTCCCTCAACCCTCAGAGTTAGCAACCCTTCCCCTTTCAACATGGAGGATCGCACACTTGTCCGTCCCCAGCTCCATTCCAATGGAATTGCTAAATTCACAAGTGATGTTTAGCAATTCCATAAGATGGGAGCGACTGGAAGCGAATAACTTGAGGTTATCCATATAGAAAAGGTGGGTCACTTTTGTCCCTCCTTACCATAGCTAAAATCCCCTCCCGGATCCCGCCAGTAAGGTACTGAGAGGGTTCAGAGAGAGGCAGAACCAGATTGGACTCAGACAATCGCCCTGGAAGATACCCCTTCTTATCCTTAAGTGGTTCTCCGCAGCCATCATCCGCTCGCCCAGATGACAAAGGATCGTACTCCACTGTCCCATACACTGCTTGAGGAAGTCTGTAACTGTACAGTCAACCTTGTACAACTCGAGGACTCTCTTTAGCCATGTATGGGGCACCGAGTCGAATGCCTTTCTGTAGTCTATCCAGGCGGCGGAGAAGTTCCGACGGTTGCGTTTCACCACTTTGCCAATGACCGCGTCAATGAGAAGTGGTTCCTTAGTTCCACGACCACCGCCCCGACATCCATTTTGAGGGCGTGACATCACCTGATTTAGCTCCAGGTGACGAGTGATTCTCGCGCTCAAAATGGATGTCAGTGTCTTATATATGGTGGGTAGACACGTAATGGGGCGGTATTTGCTCGCGTCTGTGGTAACCTCGTCTTTAGGAACCAAATGAGTGCTCCCAGTAGTGAAGAAGCTAGGGAGCGACTTCTGGTTGAGAGCCTCTTGAAACAGCCAGTAGTGATGCAGCCCGTCGAGTCCCGGACTTTTTCAGTTCGGGGCTCTACGGACCGCCTCAGCTACGTCATCCGACGTTATGACGACGGGGTCTATGGGCGTAATACTCGCACACTGACTCGCCACAACTTCCGTCCAAGGGCCCTCGCTGTGGTTTGCGGGCTCTGACTACAGGCCACGCCAAAATGCGACAGTGTTAGCCTGATCCGGTCCTAGGCCCGCTCCACATACCTCTGGTCGCTCCAATGAATTATAGAGCCTCTTCTGATCACTCTGGAAGAGACGATTCTGGTTAAACCGCCTTGAACTCTCGGTGAATCAGCGAATCCGCTTCCCCCAAGCAGCGATCTTTTGCTTCAGCTCGTCTATGCGCTCCGTTAGTTTCTGCGTGATATCCGGCTGGGACTAACTGATATTTGTCCCAGCAAACGCCATTCTAACGGAGCGCACCACCCTCGGTCTATTATTACCGGACCTGAAGCTTGTCAGTCTGCCGATAAGGGCCCTTGCCTTTGCGATACGGTCCTCAATTCTTTTTCTCCAGGCTGGGATGGCGCTACTTTGTTTAGTAGCGCGTCCAGACATGGGAAGTTTGGCGCCAATAATACGGCATGTTGCCACTGCGGCGCCAAAAAGAACTGAGTCCGTCTCGCAAAGATCCCGCCTGGCTTCCAAATAGGTTACCAGTATTGGGTTAAGAGCCCTCACGACAGCCCGATTTCGCTTGCTTAGGGGTATGCGGGGAAGTCGCGGTCGATTTTCGAGAGGCATGCTGCGCGTTTTCAAAATCGCCTCTTCCAATATACTCCTCATTTGCTCTAGTTCGTGGGAGACCATTTCATCATCGTCCGAATCAACCACTATTGGAAGATCCATGGCAGCTTCTACGCGTGGCAGCTGGTCTGGTCGCCAATTCATTCGATGAGGGAATGGCCTCACGTCGTAGTTGTTCGAACTCGGTATCATCAAATATTTTCGAGCGCATGATGTACCGGACTCGGTCTGCCAGGTTTTGTTCCGTGACGGAATAGGCGGCTCCAGCTCAGCAAAAAAGCAATGCATCCGAGTCCGATACGATATCCCTGCAGTTTCTTCCCCTTTCGCCCTATAGTACGCCCGCAATGTGTTTGCGTTCATATCCCTTGTCCAACGCATGCGGCGCACTCCACCAGCGGCAGGTGCCGCTTGCCGAGTCCGAGAGGACCCTGCCGACATCAAGCCGTCTGGTAGGGATGATGGATGCGGGAGTTTGCTAGGTGATCTTGCAGCTCCTCGCGCTCGGCTGGCGGCCCGCATGCTGCCGCGTCCTGCGCCAGTTCCAGACGCACCCCGGCGACCCCCAGGCAGTTGCCCTATACGCTTTCTATTACAATCCATCATCCATTTTCAGGCGCCAGTTAACGGGAGACGCCCAGGCCTAACACCGTTTTATTGTATCATTGTACGGCCGTAAGCACAAACGGGCCTTTGCACCCGGAGTGCTGTCGAAGCACGGCGCTCACACCTCTTGGCAAGGCGTTGACTGACTGCACCGACGTAGCAGTTTTTTCACTTAACTGTCGTCAGCGGGCGATGGGGTCGTCACTTCCTTACGCCGATTTATTATAATCCCGATTTATAAATAATAACGATTTATTATTATTATTATAATCTACCACGTCAAATAGTGTATTTCTTTCTATTTTACTGTTTTCATATAATATCATTATCATAATTAGTTACAGACCTTTATAAATGCACAGCTGAACATAGGCCTCCCCCAAGAAATGCCATAAAGCACGGTTCTGAGCCAACTGCATCCATCGACTTTCTGTAGCTTTTACCAAGTCGTAACTGGGGGGCCTACCCTTCTCTTAACGGTCAAAGTTATACAAAGGCCATGTATGTCATGTAATACATAAAAATCTTACACCAGAAATAGTAAAATTAAATGAATGAGTAACGTGGCTCCTGATCATACATATGGTCCCGGGCGCGAATCACGATTCGGGCCAAACATCAGCTGTTTAATTTTTTACCAAGAAATTGTCATTATTAGCCCGTAGTCAGGAAGTTGGCGGTGTTTCACCCCCGTGTTTCGGAAAGCACGTATAGTTACTACATCTGATCTCACTCTGTTCGCGTTGGATTGACTATCGAAGTATGAGAGTGAAAGGTCAGAAAGTGCAGCTATGTTTACGCTTAGACTCGGTTACTATTATAGTATTGCGGAGAGGAGCTCCGTTGATATGTACCGACGTGACCGAAATTCAGTTTGGAGGACATTACTAAAATTTTATGGAACGATGCTCGAATATATGATATCCCTTTTTGTATTATACTTTAACAAATAAACAAATTGTGCTTTTTCTTTCTTCTTCATGGCGAACGGTAAAATGGTGACGAGATTTATTAATATCAAACAGTTATACCTAACATCTTTTTTTAACCCTCAACGAAAACAGAGGGGTGTTATAAGTTTGTAGTGTCTCTGAGTACTTGTGAGCCTGTTTGTGGCATCATAGCTCCAAAACTGGTGAATTGATTAAGTTTTTTCGTTCAAAAGGTGTCTTAATCGAAAGTCTTAACTGAATTATTATTATCTGGGCTATTTAGCATCTGAATAACTTACCTTTTATTTTTGAAAAAACGAAAAATTGATTAAATAAATGGTCTTCGATTACTTTAAATATAAATACGGTTACCGTCCACTGCTGAACAAAGGCCTCCCCTATAGATTGCTTCATAGACGCGGAGATATTTACCATATATGCCACGCTCGGCAAGAGGGATGGCAACAGCAGTTTTTTTATTTTTAATCATCTGGCCGTCTCCATAATGATTCACCTATGTCGCCTATTGCGACACCCACGGTATGATATGGGGTAGTGGATATTATTACACCGCTACTGCACGGTAAAATCTAAATAACGCCAAAGTCTTATCAATTTTGTGAACAGTTTACATTTTTGCAATAAAACCACAAATTTCGAATAACATTTTATATTCATTAAAATACACACTTAGAATTGTCCATATCATCACAATACATGCGTATTTGTTATATTTTATAAAACATTATTGCGTTTGGATACACCTCTAAAATATACCTCAAATACAAGCACTACCTACATAACAAAACAGATGCCGTTTGTATGCTTTTTAAATTTTATTGTCTATAATAATGGAAGCCATCGTTTTCTAATAGTATGAGGTGTACAGAATATAAACCAATACACAGAGTATTTACATGAGTAATAAAAAAGAGTAATTATATGAGTAATTACATACATGTAATTTTTAAAAATTTCAATTTCTTTAGCGTTTTTATATCGATGATTTGAAAAGTTTATAATATTATCTTCTTTCTGTTAATTATTTGTGATTGTTTGATTCTGATTGATTTTATACAGAACATAGATAGTTTTTTTGGTTTGAGTTTTTTCACGCTTGTCATCCTCTGGGGTTAGGTTGTAGGCAGAGTCTAAAATAAGTAGCAGCGAGCTACTTGGACCACTTTTAGCTAAAAATATGGGAAAAGTGTAAAAGAAGCATAGCCTTTGCCTATGTCTTTTACGACATGCATACCCATAATTTTTTATCAGTTCTGCATAAACATGGGACTTACAACGCCTAGATTTTATTAATAAGGCTGTTGCAAATCATACGATACCTAATCGTATGATTAAAAAATATTCATATGATAATCGTATTGTTGTAAATGTTAAAAATACTTATTCTTCCGATAATTTTTAAAATTCACATGCTTAATTCTTTCAACACAAGACTCCCCAGCGGTACCTACCTTAACCTACTGCCACTGATATTGCAAGATTGGTGTAATATTTTATTAAACGCAAACAGCCTAATCATACCAAGTATCAGAGTATATAAATATATATTTTGTTTTACTTAATTGTCTGAAGTTACTAAAAATATTATTATTATATCGGACGAATAAAAATAAATAAATCATATGACAATCGAACGATAGTTTTCTTCCTATTTATAATAAGAAAAAATTATCGTTCGATTATCGTATGAATAGACAATTCCTTAATATCCTTAGTAATTGGATTGTTTGTTACCATTGAAATAACTTAGGAAAATCTTATTGTCTTTAAATTTCGAAATTAGTTACATAAAAATTAATTATATAATGAAAATAACAAAATGAAGTCCTCGGATTCATACATACTAATAATTATTGTTCATCCGTAAGTACGCAATATTTTTTACTTTGTTCTTAGATGCACTATTTTTTTGTTAATAACACAGATAAAAATTTACATCTATTTTTATTCATAAAATACATGTCCTTTAATATTGGTTAAGTAATTGCAAACAACAAACAGAACCTCTTCATTTAGTCAAATGTTCCCAGCTTCGTCTACAGATTGCCTGATCGGGAATATTTTCCATTGTTGCCTTTCTACTACCTTTTTTTACTATCCTCTTTTTTAGAGGAAAACTGAAACAGGCGATAAAAGATTTAATATATAATAAACTCCGAAAAAAAAAATGACGTACTGTCTGTACACCTTATACCATTCGTGTTTTATTTTATAATTTGGGAATAGGTAGTCTCGCGTAAATGCATTATTTTTTTCTATACTATTATAGAGTAATGTACATAATTTAAAATCTATGAATTATTCTATGATATGATCAACAACAATACATTAGATTATTAGACATGGAAGACATTTTTAAAATCAATATTTTAATTAACAAATAGGAATAAAAAATAATAATCTATGTTATTTAATTGAGTACACTCGAGATATTTTAACCTAAAAGCTATTAAGTATATAACAAACTTATATACTTAAGTAAATTACTATAAAACTTTTGAAATATTTTCATATAATACCTAAGTACTTTAGATTTATCCAAAATTAAGGACCACATAAAATGTTATTTTTACGGTGTAAATTTAAATACATTATGTTATGTTTTTTGACACAATTTAAACACAAATGTAGATTTAGAATATCTAGCGAAATAAAAACTCTTTGGTAGTCCACTGCTGATCAAGCGATAATGTTTCATTTTGATCATGGCAATATAAATATAACTTGGTAATAAGAAGTTTATATGCGTTGTTTTTGTGCCGTAAATTTTCACATTTGTTTCTTCTCACCTTATCATAGCCGATGTCCTATACTATAAAAACAGCGGGGCGAACGGCTCGATACGTTATACGAGTAACGCATTTTCGTCGGTGAAAAAATTATTGAAAAGAAGTTTAAACCGCATCTCTAACTATATTAGGCAGATATGTTTATCAATGTGCCAAGCGGATTTGAATACCTTAAGGCGCGCCACTACGTAGTATCCGTTTCCGTAATCCGTTTCGGGATTCCGAATTTCGAATCGGAATTCCGAAATGGAATCCCGAAACGGGATTCCGTATATATGAGGTTGCCCTTACGCATTATGTATTCCGTATCTAAGTGGCCTTACGGCGGCCACATACGTATAGATCGTCACACTGATCACATTGATACTGGCCATGCACGGCCTGAAGCTATACTATAAGAAATATCGTGACAAAATGTTTTTTTTTTTTTGTAAGAATACTATTAAATAAAGTAATTAAATTTTTTGGTATATTTTGGAACAAGAAAATGAGAATATAACTTAAATATCATTCGGTTTTGTTACTTTAAAATAATAATAATAGCATAATAGCTTTGGCTTACATAATATGTGAACAATAGAGCTTAAATTAAATAGATAAATCTTCGATTTATGCATTAAAATATGACATACTTGGGTTGATTTATGTATTAAAATATCTAAATAATTAAAAAGCTTATGAAACAAAATACCAATAAGTCACAAACCGTTAAGAAACAAAAAAGCCGTAGTAGGTATTTAAACAACTAATATACGTACGTGATGCGAGTATTTTATAGGTTACATCTATAATTGTAATACAATATCAATTTCTTTAACAATTATATTATATATTATATTTAATAAACTGGAAGACTTCGTTGTCGAAGATCAATTATAACACCGATATGGAAGACATTGGATTATTTTGTATAATTTAGTGTATATAATATTTCTAATTTACATGTTTATATACATAGAACTATGTAATGGAAGACATATGATTCGAATACCAACATTAATTATTGTTTTCTTAACCCCTAAACAAATCTAAGATATAAAATATTAAATCACATCGGACTAGACGATTAGACTGTAACACTTCTCGCAATGCCAATGCCGCTTTAAAATAAAATTTGCATATTTCTAGAAATAGTTCAACAACGACCTAATACTACGTGAAATTAAAACGGTAAACCTATCTTGAACGCTTTTACAAGAGCGGAACCGGAATCGTACATTCCAATTATACCAAACAACACTCCTAGACAAATTATAAAATAGTCATAGGCAATCGTAGTGCTTTCAAGTTGATTGCCCTTAAGTCTTAGATGAAAATATGCGGGCCAAATGAAACTCAGCATTGTCCCCGTAAAACTGCCTATAAATCCCATTAGTATAGCAAAATGGGGAATGAAAATTGCCATCAGTACAGTAAACATAATAACGCCCAAACGCCAAGCGAGGCCCCAAACTTTCAACTCACCATCCAAAGCATAAATAGTTGGAAAAAGAGTTTTAGGTTTTCCTCGAAATAGAGCACGCTCTAGCAAATCACATGCAGCATAATATGGTAAGGGGTAACTAAGTACAGCTTTTGTTACAAGAAAAAAGTTAACCAGTCCCTTGAATCCAGCCGAGTGAAGATTGTTTGTTATAACTTGTTGGGTATCGTTTTGAAAAGTCAAAAAGCATAAATATCCAAAAATAGATTTAAAAGCAGCAGCTGCAATATGCGACCAGTTTAACATCCATTCAAATTTGGATCGATCCTCCATGTTGCCTTCCAAGGTTGGCAGAAATATTTGAGACGTGTAAGAGAAAACAATGACACCTAAACTGATAGGGAAATTCTCGAAATCCAAACTCCATTTCACTTTCGACCAACCCCAATCCCCAATATACAGAACGCAATAGCCGAGTACAATGGCGTTTATGATCAAATGACTCATAGTACACCAAAACGATAACATACTGACACTTTTTAGAGATTTGAGGAAGCCAAGTGGAAGAAGAAAGATACCAGTCAACATCATCCAGGAGCGAGTATCGATGGAACCATCAGGAAACGTACCTATCATAAGATCGCCACAGACAACAACGTATAGAATACAAGTCATGAGTAGTTCGATAATTTGAGCCATGTTAACAATTCTAGCTCCGTATTTTCTACCAAAACATTCTTTGGCGATAGAGACGTAAGAATCACGAACTCTGACTCGTTGTCCTGACACGGGGTCGTCTTCATAGAGACATTCTACCAAGATCTTCCCAGTGTAGCAGCAGATATGGGCAATACCAATCATCGCAGCTATAGCCCAGTAACCTCCTTGAAGTACAGCAAAAGGAAGCGACACCACAAACATACCCTGTGTGATAAAGATTATTTATTTTAGTTGATTCAAATACAAGAATTGCAGGTAGCAAAGCTTATTATAATGTTACCTGGATAGCATTAGTGACGTTCCAGGCGGCTTGATATTCGTTAATTTTAGCACCTGGTTTTCCACCACCTTCTTCAAAGCCTCCCTCTTCAGAGGAAGCGTAAAAATCAACACTTTGCATGCTTTGTGTTCTGGAAATAAATATTTTAAACCTTTATATTATTAAAATACTTAATTTTACGTAGTTTTTTATACATTGTGTATTCTTATAGTGGTATTTAGCGTTGATGACAGTCAGGGAAATCTTTTGAAAAATTCGTATTGCTTCTAATATTTGAGTTAAATTGTTTCAATTCCTTAATTTTTTTTTAACAGATCTTAGTTTAAATACAAATAAATTGTAAAAACGAAACGGAAGACTATCAAGGAACTTCTGAAATTCATAAACATCTAAAAAGTTATAATTATATTGATCAAAGATCCTAAGTAATCTCTAATTGGGTTGGACCACGACGATGAAATCTTATTACTATTGGATTTTCTCAACTTACATGTGACCGAAAACATCTAAAATATTGTCAAACAAATTCTATATACTATGAGGTAATTAATTGGGGAGGTCATTGTTCAGCAGTGAACTTTTGGTAAGGTAGAATCACACTGCAGCTATTTTATGATTGTAGCACGAATGGGTCGCCTCGACCGGGAAGGGATCACGCTCTCACAGAATACCAATATAAAATAGCAACTTAATACTGCTGTGTTTCGTATGGTGAGTGAAGAGAACTGGATACCCTTTTTGCTGGAAATAAGGCATTCCATCTTAATCTTCAGAAGTGGCAACGCATCTGCATTTTTGATATCATAATCGAGGATAGAGTAGATGTCAATCGGCCACAAAATCCATTTTCCATCAGGTAGGCTATGCGCTCATTAGTCCGCCTATTCTATAAAAATGAAGTTATTATAGTGCCAAAAGTAATCATGCAACTACAAAGGACACTTATTATTTCTAATTTAATCGTATTTGATGTAACGCCTACACGCAATAATACTAGAGGTAACCATGAATACAGTGTCAGATACACGGGAGCAATCGCAAATATGGCCGTCGAATTATATTTTATTATATTTTATTCAGCTTTCAAAATTTTTAAATTTTCAAAATTGGGAACGTCTGCCTTTGCTTGCCAAACTTATTCTACAAAGTCGTAAAAGGAAGGTTTACCGTGGAGCACCATCTTGCTGGGGATACGTATTTTGGTAGCTGGTAAAGGAATCCTCAGCCTGTAGCTGGCCACTCAAGAATGGATTGGTAGGATTGGTAGACTGGTATGTTGGTGACGTAGTTTCGTTCATTGTAGATAGCTCGCAACTTTCTCCCATATCTGTTGTGTCTAAATGGTTATCATTTTAATATTAATATTGACAAATTTGGTTTATCGCCTGTCAAATAATCAATGAAATTTGTTTAAAATTATGTTTTTCTTAAGTTTTATTTTTTTCTTAATAATCCGTGTAGTGGTGGCCTAAGACCCATAATATAATCCCGTGGTGTTGTAAGAGGTGAAGAAGGAAAATAAAACAGGAATATATTCCTGATAATAACTTAAAGTAATTATTAAACAGTGCGGTTGCCAACCCCGTCCGTTAACCATGGAATCCATGGCAAATGAATGGACATCTATGAAGAAAACCATATGAAGTAATCAAACCCTATGTTAATTAACTTTTGAGAGACTGGAGTGATAAAGATGATGAAGTCTTTAATTGTTACCCCAATGGATTTTCTTAGGTATGTAAGACTGCATTAAAGATGTTAGTATTTTAAAATTTTAAATTCTTCGTTGAGTTTTGAATCTAGGGTCCATGATTTTAGGGGAATATTTTCGAACATTCTGTCGCATAATTAACAATTATACAACTTCTTTACAACGTATTGACTGAGAATAAAGAGGTGTTTGTGCTTACCGAGGTTCGCAAATCTCACATTTTGCGGTGGACGCGATGATTGTCCTGTTTTATCAGGAATTTGTTGTCTGACGGTCTGCATGGCTACGTCCAGCACATTTTTCAAAGGGGGCATCCTAATACGACCCAAGTTCATCTTTTCTTTTGTTTTCTTCTTATATTTTCAATTCAATATCTTGTTTAATATTCCAATACCCTATAATCTTCTCTTCTTTATTGATATAAGAACATTACCAAAAGAGCGCTTTTAAAATTTCAAAATTGACTGGAAGACATTAATTTTAAACTTTACTATAACATTTTTAACTACATTAGCAATAACAATTTAATTAAACCTAATTCGGAAGACTTGTCTCACTAGTACCATATGAAATGGTATCACATTATGGTTTAAACGGGCTTTTTGTTCAAGTCAGCCATTTTTGTCTTAATTTATTTCACTCATTTCCTTCTCACGGTTCTGAATTATCGGTATAGTGGCACTTGAAACACTGATTTTGGATTTCTTAAACGGTACTAGCGGTGTTTTTGTTAGTTTTTACCATTTTAAAATGGTTTTTCTTTTATACAATTCTTACTCGGAACAGAATCCGCTTGTGAGAGGACCTCCAAGCCCTCTGCGGCGCGGGAATGTTGCGCGGAGAGACGATCAATAGCACGGAACTACGGATCAAGTTTTCTTCCTTGGCACAATGACATGGTCTGTAATAACAGAATATAGGCTATTTGTTATTACTTGTTGGCTTCTTACGTCGCCTCAAGTGACAACGAATGTTATTAAAATGTGGATTCATTTTTTTAAATTATTGGAGTAATTTATCTTATTTTGGGGTTTGTAATTCAATTATTTTGTACAATTGATGGAATTATTTATTGAAAAGTAGTTAATGATCTATAGTACACACAAATGGTAATTTAGCTAATTAAAAATCCAATAAGCCGTATTTAAAATTATTTAAATTTAAAAGTAATATAAATCACAAATTAGAAAATAATTTTAATTTCTAAAATTATTTCTAAAAACATTAAGATCATTGTTTATCTTAATATATATAAATTACGTGTCACGTTGTTTGTCCGCGATGGACTCTAAACTAAGATCGCAAACTACTTAACCGATTTTATTCAAATTTGCACACCGTCTACAGTTTGGTCCAACTTGAGAGATAGGATAGTTTTTTTGCTCATGAGTGACCCATAACTTTTTTTTTGCGAATTTTAAGATTTTTAATAGGACATGACAAAGGGTCGTCGAAAAGGGCAGAACAAAGTCTGCCTGGCAAGCTAGTATATTATACTCGTATATTGTATAAAGCATATATTTATGCTACCAAACTCCTTCCTATCGGCAATTTTAAAGATTGTGGAATATTTGGATAATGTTATCCTGCTCATATTCCTTTTTGTATTGTTCGTTTATCATCTCAATTTCTAGCGAAGCGGAATACTTATTTGTTAAAAATAAAAATTAAACCACGATGCTAAACTTCCAAGGGTCTTAATCTATTTTTCGATTGTAGTGAAACCTTTTTAGGCTTACTCGTCTCGCCAAGCAGGTGGTCGCCTTTCCAAGTGCGGTTTGGCGAATGTAAGACTTGGTCATAACTGAATTGTATATCTCAAAAGATATAAGATCTTTGTGTTATTTCTCGAAGTCGTCACTTACAAACACCCATATTTATTTATAAATTCATTTATTTATGTTAATACTAAATGTATATCTCATCCATTTATCCATTACAGTCTATAAAAGTCCACTACTGAACATAGGTATCCCCCATAGATTGCCTCATGGGGAAATTTTGCCATATCTGCTACTAATATAAGCTTGGTAGGCAGATCAAATAAATGAAAATCGATTTTAAGAAAACGTTGATTAGTAATTCCAAATTATATTGCGAAATTTGGGTATAAATTTTTATGCTAGTCACATAATCTTTGTTTTTTTTTTCAAAAGTCGTGGTGATGGATTGTTTTACGTCTCTACACGTTTTTTTTTTAATAGAATAGGGTGACAAACGAGCACACAGTCCACCTGATGGTAAGTGGTTGCTGCGGCCCATAGACATCTACATCTATCCTCCATTAAAAATAAAAATGCAAATGCGTTGTCACCCGTGAGGACTGAGATGGAATGCCTCGTTTCCAGTAAAAAGGGTTAGTAATTGGGTACATTGAAATATTCTGAGCCTAGATTATATTTTATTGAAGTCGTAGTTTTCAAACGCAATTTACTTTTGTCGACCATTATTCCTAATTGGTCGTTAGCACTGGATTATCGTCATGTTTTGTTACCTCAGAGTTAGCTAAGCATGGCTCCGAGCAACGGCTGCTGGTTTTTTAAATTATGTATTTTGATCACTTCCAGTGTGTTATCGGTAAGATTTTATGCGTAAATATGTATGATTCTACTTTTATATCTTTTGAAAAGCCCATTGTAGTACAGAGGTTCCCATCTCGTCATTGGAAAATTTAGATTCAGCCTGAATACATACCACTGATGGGCACAAGGTTCCTCTTATTTCGCGGAGTGTTTTGGCGCAGTTAGTCCCGTCGCGCTGCTCATTAGTGTATGCGGATATAATTTTATACACGAATACCTTTTAATAGCAATGTAAATTTAAACATTTGTAATTTTTATTATAGGATAAGGGTGACAAACGAGCACACAGTTCACCAGATTGTAAGTGGATGCTGTGGCCCATAGACATCTATATTTAACCTCGATTACGAATCTAAATGCAGATGCGTTGTCACTCTTGAGGACTTAGATGGAATGCATCGATTCCTGTAAAACGGGTCTCCACTCGGTTCTCTACACTCACCATAAGAAACACAGCAGTATTAAGCTGCTATTTTACGCTGGTATTCTGTGAGAGCGTGGTCCTTCCCCGGTCGAGCCGACCCATTCATGCTACAACCATAATATAGCTGCAGCGTGGCTTTACCACGTAAGAATTAGTGAAATGTATAAAAGCTGTTGGTGTTCCGAATGAAATTAATAAAATAAATAATTTTAAAATATTTTTTAATTGGTAGAGCCATGCTAGTAGCACGAACGGCTCGACCGGGGAAGGACCACGCTCTTACATAATACAAATGTAAAATAGTAGCTCAATGCTGCTGTTTCGTGTGGTGAATGTACCGAATATGCTTTTTACTGATAACGAGGCATTCCATCTTAGTCCTTAGTGGTGGCAACGCTACTGCATATTTTTCATATTCTATATAAAAAAAAATACATATCTTCGACATATTTTATTTCTCAGATATGCAGGTTTTCTTACGATATTCACCTTTACTGCCGTGCACGTGATAAATCAGTGCTTAAAGTGCTCGCGTAGTATGAAATTTATGGCGAACGCTTTGTCCCTACGCTACCTTGGCATTATTGGAAGGAATAGCAGCAACCGCAACACTCAGAAGGTGGCTGGCGACTGTACTACCAAGCCTACAAGCCTTTGACGCTGCTCCCCATCGTTGGCCTTGGTACTATAAATCTGGCATATATGAGATGGTAAGAATCCATTTCGGCCTAGAAATTCTTTTTTTATAGTATTGGATAACAAACGAGCACACAGTTCACCTGATGATAAGTGGATGCTGTGGCCCATAGACATCCCCATTTATCCTTAATTAAGAATCAAAATGCAAATGCGTTATCACCCCTGAGGACTATGGAAGATGGAATGCCTTGATTTCAGTAAAAATGGTATCCAGTTCTCTACACTCACCATTCGAAACACAGCAGCATTACGCTGCTATTATGATTATTATTGAGTTTTTCCTTCAAGAAATTCTCAGTAGTTACCCGCAGTCAGGAAGTTGGCGGTGTCTCATCCCCGTGCTTCGGAAAGCACGTAAAGCCGTTGGTCCTGCGCCTGATCTCTCTCCGGTCGTGTCGGCTTACCGTCCCATCGGATTATGAGAGTGAGGGATTAGTGAGTGCACAGCCTGTGCTTGCGCATAAACTTGGGCACTATAATCCTGTCCTGCGCCGATGGCTAGTCTCCGTTGAGGCAGGCCGCCGTGGCAGAAATTCGGTCTGGAGGACATTATTATGATATAGCTGCAGCGCGGCTCTACCAGGAAAAAATTTGTGTGAGTTGGAATCACTCATTTGCCTTTTCCTGCCGACAAATAGGAGTCCTGGCACTGCTGGGTTCCGGGTTAAATAGCAAGGAAACCATTAAAATTTAGGACTCTGTAAGGCATTCTAATTTATCCATCGGAGACGACAAGCCTTATTTGTTTTAAGTCGGCTGTAAGTGTCAATGGACTGCAGTAACCGTAATTTGTTTATTACACCAGTTTTGTAACAGCCTGTATACGTTCCACTGCTGAGTGCAATTCTTCTTCTATCATTTCTGAAATCGTTTTAGAATCGGGAAATGTACACGCTATGCTAGTACTTGTTAGTACAAGTACTAGCATAGCGTGTATCTCATAGTATCTCACATGTCCTTAAAAGTGCTTAGTAGACTGCAATGCAGTGGACGATATGAATGATAAGCTCGTGGAAAGCTGTCCATGCGGTCGGAGCTAAGTTTCGCAAGACCCGCCGCAGAAGAACACAAAAACTCTCCGATCACACTCTTAATTTATGGCTGTTAGACGGGAAATCAAGCTGCAGTCTTAAACTAGAAATGCAATTTTCTACACGCTGTTTACTTTAACCATATAGTCAGTTGATCAGCACTTAAATTCACGAAAATTTGAGTGATGCCGGTGTTCAAACCCGAGTTGATATCGTGTTATTAAATGTAAAGCTATCAACCAGACTTTTACAAACGTTTTACGGTTTATTTGTAAAATTACAATATCTACTATATAGTGACGGCTATTTACGTACATGAATTACACGAGGACAAACATCCCGACCCAGATCTATTATTGTTAGCCATACAAATGCTTGTTCCGTGCGGTATTCGAACCGGCGGCAATGCTAAGTCTTGTTATAATAATATTGAAAATTTATAAGTCTTGCAGTAAATTTTATAGATCACGAATAGAGATGTGTCAAGCATGATTGATTCTTTCGTTTGAGCCGGTACACTTAAAAGTATTGATGGTTAATTCATCTGTTTTTCACAAACAATCGACGGAACCTTTTTAATTCGTGATTGGTGTGAATTGTGAATGTGTCGAAAACCGACCGAATCCCGAATGAATAGTTTTTAGTGCAGGGTACTGGAGCCCGAAATGAAGCATTTGAATAATCGATCCGAATGTACCGGTACGCGTGACGAAATGTACTAGAATGATTCAGTCACGAGAAATGAATGATTGACACATGTCTAATCACGAATGATAGTGTTAATTGCAATTTTAAGTCATGTTTAATCATGTGCCATGCAGTAAAGATAAACTACGTGAGGAAACCTGCATGTCTGAGAGACATTATATTTAGAGGACGTGTGATGTCCGCTAACACATATTGGAACACTGCTGTGAATTCCTCCTCCTTAAGCCCCTCAGTGTTTGGAGGCCTTTGCCTAATCTAGGGACGATTACAAGTTGTAACTTTTATTATTTTATGATGTTTGTAGAGAGCATACGATGTGAAGAACCATCCATGTTGCCAAGAGCCAGGCGAAAACCTAACCTTGAGTATGATAATTGATGCCTATGAAATTTATGGTCATGACCCTACGGATAAACTTGACCACCTCGCACATTACCAGATTGAGATGATGAAGGTTAAGCGCGCACCTGATCAGGTAACCCAGCAGTAGTTTACAGTTGATTAATAAATGAGAAGAGAAGTAGGAAGTAGGAAAAACTACTACGAAAACGATATCTCGAGGATGTATGTAGGTATCTAGTCGCGGGCCTGCACTTCCTAAATATTCTATAAACTGTTCAAAGTAGTCAATCGTGTAATAAATGCGAATAATTTAAATCATATATTTTTCAATAAACTAAGTATTTCTTTGTAAGTTGTTGTACTTATGTGGCATCAGAAATTTGAAGTTGTATTATTAAAGTATTAAGTCCCCAGAATAACAAAAACTTCATCATCATAATCGGAACCAAACAGTACAAAGTAATAACAACATTTTCGTACATTAATTATATAAATCATAATATTTAAATTTAATGTAAGATTTCCTATTCGAGTGTGTAGAGGGCGTTTGAGGAATACGACTGAGGTTGTCAGATAGTCGGGATTCGTATGGATCCTCTCGACAATGATCTCCAGACTCCTGATAAATTAAAAATGCAATAAAATAGTGAAAATATGTTACCGCAGGTTTCATAACAAAGTGTGTGCGTTTTTCATAAGATCATCATCTTTACACGTCCACTGCTGTATATAAGCCACCCCATAGACTCATTGGCAACTCCACGAGATGTCAATATCATGATGAAATTTTCAAATTCAAACAAATTTCGTAAATAACAAAATATGATGGCTGTGCCAAAGCAACTATATTATAATTACGCTATTAATATTTAAGTCAATGATAATAATATAAATATTTTAAGTGTGACTATTTAAGGTCGTCTTTAATTAAAATACTTTTTCTACGTTCGGGAAGAAATAGGGGAGGAGGGAGTTATGCTTTTCTAAGAAGTCTCAGATATACACCTATGTAAAATTCATTATATTACTTACATTTCAGTATATTATTAATGAGCACATACATATTGCAACTGATCATTTGGCGAGGTTTATCAAATTACATATTAAGGAGCTGAAGGTGAGACTTATTTCAATTCTATTCTATTCAATAAAGATTTGCAATTACGCAAGCCATTTATCACAAATCGACGAACGAGATAGTAAGCAGACACTATGAACTGCATACAGTTGTGTCTCGCCAGCAAAGCATTAATTAAATCAGGAAGTTGCATTAAGAAAAAGCCAAAATTAGGGGTTTTTAGGTGCTAATATGGTGCAAAGTTTAAGAATTAGGTGCTCTAAAATTTTCACCGCAACGGACTGTTGAAATTTGCGTTGTTGGAAAAACGTATCGCTAGTAACCCAGTGACGATAATAGATATACGATAAATATTAATAAAAGTAAAGTAAAGTAAAGTTACAGCCTATATACGTCCCACTGCTGGGCACAGGCCTCCCCCCATTTCTGAGAGGGTTTTAGAGCATGTAAGTATTCGCCGCGTTGCCCCAAATGCGTGTTGGCGAACTTCATATGTCTTCGAAATATTTTTTTTCTTATTCCTCAGACATGCAGGTTTCCTCACGATGTTTTTCTTCACCGCCGAGCACGTGGTAAATAAGCACTTAAAATTGCAATTAACAATTTCATTGGTGCCGGCGGGGATCAAACCCGGGTTACTCGCGTTCTGTTGTATTTACAACGAGCGTTAACCATCTGAGCTACCACGGCTCCTAAAATATTAATAGCAAGGAGTTAAGTGCTAATTAAGTGCTGCAAGTACACCTACATCTATTTTTAATAAAGGTTAGCTGGTACCCGGCGGTCAACTTAAATTTGGAAGTGTTATATTGTTGATAATACATTCATTGAAGTTGAATGACATATATAACTTCAAATCAAAATTTCTCGGTACGATACGCGTGCCACTTAATGTAAGTTAATTGTACTATGCCTATAACCTTGGCGCAAGTGCAAGTAATAATTTGACAAGGTTTTACCGCAATCTGGTGAACAATATGGCAGCGCATAAAATACGAACAAACAAACATTAATTTTTATATATTAGATTAGATGCAGATAATTAGAACGCCATTTGTAAAAAGGTTTTAACGTTATGTACAGAACATTTATTGTTATAAAACTATATACGGAAACAAATCTGACGAAGCTTTTAGAGTACTGCGCTCTTCCACGGGTCCCAGTTTTCAATATCGACCACAACTAACATTTATATAAATAAGAAATTGTTGATTTTCGAGAAAGCTTGTATCGTGGTTGTTTCATATCACAGACAATGCATTTCGGCCTGCCTCTAACTCGACTTGACTATGAACGATAAAACCCGATGCAAAAGCTCAAACCCGCTAAAGAACAAAATCGATACAGTAAATGACTGTAATCTTTTGTTGGTATTAAAATTTATTCTGCCAGTCGAATAGGTGGTCATTATGAGCTATCCGCGTAGTTAATGCCTCAAAAGAAAGAACAATAACCAGGCATGTTTTTAAAAATGTGTGAACGAAAACAACACCATCCGTATTTTTTAATGCCGTCTAATAACAGTTTTCCTCAATCTTTAAATTTATCATTGATTTCAAATATTTGTAAAAAACTTATTTCATGACACAGAAGCCTGAATCATATTACATTAGACTGTTTACATATTACTTTAATAAAATAAAATAAAAAGTAAACGATTTGTCTTTCAAACTGGCCACAATTTACAACTAACTCCAAAATGTTGGGTTTTGTCATCAAAAATCATTAAAGCTTGACAAAAATAAAATAGTCGCACTGGACAAGTTGGGTTCAAATGGTTCTAAATAGTCTATATTACCTCCGCTTTACGGCTTTGCATCGACCTTTCAAACATCCTGTATGTACTTATGTATCAATGTGTCATTACCTTCTTCTTCATTATTACTACCGTAATAGTTTTCTACATATTAGGATTTTCCTCTGTATTTTGACGGTGGTCTACATCCACAAATTGCGTAAGGACACACATCCAGACCATGAACAATTATATTTAGGCCATACATATACTAGTTCCGTGCGGTATTCGAGCCCGTGGCGCTCAGCGTTAGGGTTGCCACCTTTTTTTGAACAAATATAGTATTTTTCCCAAAAAGATGCAAAAATATAGTACTTTTGAGAAATTCAGAAGAAAAAAAGTACGCATTTTTTTCCATATATAGAGTCTGATAGAGTCTGAACAATTAAGATTCATATTAAATGCTCAACACACGCTATTTTGCTTTCTTTTTTCAATTTTAAATGAATGATGGAAAAATTATTTCCGTAAAGCTTATTTGTTCCAGACTTCCAATCACAGTTAATCTAGAAAAGCGCGACAATTGAATTAGGGATAAAAATATAGTACTTTTAGTACTATAATATTTTTCTATAATAGTATACGTTACGTTATGTTACAGCCTATATACGTCCCACTGCTGGGCACAGGCCTCCCCTCATTTCTGAGAGCGTTTAATAGTATAATTGACTAAAATATAGTACGATACTATATATTATAGTACAGGTGGCAACCCTATTCAGGGTCGTGACTGAACGCTTAGCTACTGCACTACGGAGACGTCAAATAAGATTCATCATCAATAGCCCTAAAAGTTCACAGCTTGAACATGACTTCTTCCATTGTATGGAGGATTCATACAATGGTCACGCTTGTCGGATGGATTAACAATCACAGTACCAAACGTTTCGCACTTTTGACAAAGCTTCCCATCGCCGGTCTAGATATTTTACTTCTGGTGAAAACAACAGTTTTATACGCGGTAGAGTTACATTGCAGCTTAATTATGGTTGTAGCAAAAATGTGTCGGCTCGACCTGGGTAGGACCACGCTCTCACAAGATAGGCGTAAAATAGCAGCTTAATACTATTGTGTTTCGTATGGTGAGTGTAAAGACCCGGAGACCCTTTTTACTGGAAACGAGGCATTCTACTTTAGCCCTCAGACACGATTCTTAGTTGAGGATAAATGTAGATGTCTATAGGCCACAGCATCAACTTACCATCAGATGGACTGTGTGCTCGTTTGTCATACTAATTCTATATTTAAAAAAACTGGATGGTTTTACCGCCATTTATCGGTCATAAGTACGTGGTAGAGCCACACTGCGGCTATTATTTTGGTTCTAGCAAGAAGGGGTCGGCTCCACCGGGGAAGGACCACGCTCTCACAGAATACCAGCGTAAAATAGCAGATTAATGCTGCTGTGTTTCGTATGGTGAGTGTAGAGATCCGTAGACCCTTTTCGAAATCTTTGTAGAATCGAGGCATTCCATCTTAATCCTCACGGATAAGAACGCATCTGCGTTTTGATTCTTAATCGAGGATGAATGTTGATATATATGGGCCACAGCATCCACTTACCATCAGGTGGACCGTGTTTGTCACCTTTATTCTATTTTAAAAAATAAGATCTTTTAGGCGTATCCCAGTCTTTCGACACCCACGGGACGCATGGGATGTGAGGGATTATCTAACGACGTCACCTGCGAATGTCATTAATCACTGTCTGTAATTAAAGGTGTTACTAATAGCCCTAGAGGACGCTATAGATAACATGCTGACGATGTACGACAACCATAACGCTATTAAAACAGAGCGTGTGGCTACATACAATTCGGCGGCGGGAGGTGCAGTTCCCTCCGAGTTTTATTTGAGTCAAGGTAAAATTATATATCATTTTAAAATATTAATACTGCGTACTGCACTATACATTCAGTATAGTACATTTTTATTTATTTATTTATTTATTATTTATTGCACCAACAAAGTACACACTATTACATGCAAAAGTATCAGAAAAACAAAAAGAAAATAAAATATACAAAGTGCTACTTCAATTAGAGGCGCAAACAACATTCTCTTAAAGTCTCGTACATTAACTTATGTTGAGAAGCAATTTATTTTTTATATTAAAATGTATGCATTTATTATAAGGAAGTTATTATACAATTAATAAACTTATTAATACTATTAACAACAACAACAATAATAAAATTTTATCAGTGCAATACATTTATTTAACTATGTCAAGAACAATATATTATTTAAAAATTAATAAAGATAAAAACATCAATTTAAACAAGTAGAAATGTCATTAAAATAAAAATTCATATTATAAGTCATAATTAAAAAATGAATGTAAAAAAAAATAACGCTCACACATATTTTAATTTAAAATTACCTATCGTACATAATAATGGAATTATTTTGTTATTACTTGAGCTGCAAAATTTATAAATTGTGTTAAGGAGTTTGAAAAAATATCTAGCTGAGAAGATCCTTTTTCGGTTTCACTAGATGTAGAGTTGTGAATAAGATTGTAACAGCTGTTTAATGGAGCATAATGACCCAACTTTGACTTAGCTGAATTACTTTTATAAGGAGGTTTCTTAAGTCTGAGTGGCTTTCTAGGTACAGCAATATTTACTCTAGATAAAAGATCAGGGGTGTCAAAATTTCCATTTATTAGCTTATACAGGAACATGACGTCAAGTAGTTCCCTACGGTGTCGGAGTGATTTGAGGCGAAAATGTAGTAGTCAATCGTTGTAGCTTGGGAGTTTCTTGGCTAAGTTGCAACTGTAAGACAAATGCCATAGAAATCGCTTTTGTACACTCTCTAAGCGTTTGATATATGTACCGTAGTGCGGATTCCACACAGTACTGCCAAATTTTAACATACTACGTACAAGGCAGTTATATACCTACCGTAATTTTTGTCATGGTATTCCTAAACCATACCATAATATGTCACAATTACACAGTAGTGTAACACGAGGGACGCAATTACACGATAACACCAAAATATGCAAACCAACAGCAACACTACCTATCTCATTGTAAAACAAGCAGCCTCTCGCCAACACCTTATAAATGACTAAAACGGAATCTCTCGGTCACGGCGGCACCTACAGCGGAGCTTCATACTGCACAAACGAGTGGGGGTTTCCTGATCAACCCTCTACTCTACCCCGCCACCATCAATACATTACTTTAAAAGAGCCTAGATACAAAACGAGTTCGCTGCCGCCGTCGTCACTGATTCAATTTCAAATGCTGATGATATATTACGTGCTCGATGGTGAACTAAACTTTCATGAGTCATCATTACACCCTTCACAAGTCCTGCTGATCATAGGCCTCCCACAAGGAATGACATAAAGCACAAAGCGCTAGATAGTGACGACCTGGTAAGATAGACAGGAAGTCTATGGATGCACGTGGCTCAGGACCGTGCTTTCAGAAGTAGATATTAAAAATGTTGGGGGCATCGAACTAGTATTGTTTGAGCCCCTACTTGTACTATTATTTATTCTGTGCCCCTGCTTATTAACTGTTGCAAATACTACTTAATATGGGTGTACCATGGAAGGCCACTCTAACAAATAAACAGTTATTATTCGTTTGTTTACTGGATAAATGAAAGTAACAAACATTTAAGCAATACTTTGTTTAATTACGTAGCATATAAACCACTTTTTTATACTGCAGATTTATATTGATTGAACACAACAACAGGGCTTCTTAGAAGGCCATTATAATAAATCAGTAATTTAACACTAAAGTTTAATAAATAGCGATTAAATCTACAATAAAAAGAAGTGGTTTATATGTTACGTAATAAAACAAAGTATTACTTAAATATTTGTTACTTTCATTTATTCAGTAAATAAACGAATAATAATTGTTTATTTGTTAGAGTGGCCTTCCATGGTCCACCCACCATAGTACCAATATGAACATGAGCTATGCCTATGATGTGTTGAATAGAGAGCGACTAATATAGCTTTAATTGTAATTTGATTTATCGTTACCTAATTAAATACCATTATAGCATATAAAAGCTCACTGCTGAACCAGCGAATTAATCGCTTTTTCAGCGACCATCCTGTAGTTATATGCAGGCAAAATCGATGCTATATGATCTCAAAAGTATGAGCGATAATATTGTTACTATCTTTCATATAATATGTCGTTGCTTACAGATACTTAACGAGAAATATAAATTATAGGCCTCTTCCATAGGCTGCCTCGTAGGAGCAATATTTGCCAAAGTTGCCAAGCGGATTGCAACGGCAGTTTTATATTCAGCTGTTGTCAGGAAGATTATGCTGCCAATCTAGTGATTCAGTTTCCCACTGACGCCTCTTACGACACCCCTGAGAATATGGGGTGGTAAATATTCTTACACCACGACTACATTTTATTTTAGTATGTGCGAGCAGCTATGCAGGTCTAGGGAAAGAGACCAGTATCACTGCGACCTAAAAGATCTATTGTGATCGCTGCTATGGCTATAGTTCACTGTTAAGCCCTATGTCTTCAATGAATAGAAGGAGTTGCTTAGCCGTGAGCAATTTCACTTCTTCTGGGCGGAGTACATAGTTTCCCAGATGAGTGTTACGTTTGCGCATTAAGGGTCCGCAATCAGTTAGGATGTGCAGAGGCGTTTCTTCCGTTATGGAACAGAACCGACACACCTTTAAGTTGCTCAGTCCCAAGATGGACATGTGCTTTTTAAGACAAAGGTGTCCAGTTAGGGCTCTTGCCAGAATGCGCAATTTATTTTTACTTAACCCCAGGGCTTCTGAAGCGAATTTACGATCAAAAGCCCGGATTAAGGTTTTAAAATGTTTAAGCCTGGTGTGTCAGACCAGATCTTAAGTTTAATTTATTATGATAAAGAGTTTCAAGGGTCAATCGGGCTAAAATTTTTTTTTCCCAATTTCTCCTTAGGCTATCTCTGTAGATATCCTAGGAGGTCGCTTTTGGATCCCTAAAAGTAACGACTACATAATTAACCTCATTAATTTACTGTTAGTAATGACTGTAAATAATAATTATGACGTAAACATTTTTTTAGAGTACTACTGTGGCAAAAATATCTATATTTTTATATCGGAATTGTACAGCGATATTTATAACATGGGTCGAAGCCCGGCGCCATATTGCAAGAATAGAGGATTTCATTTCCTTGGCTTTGTTCATTTTATGGACGAAAATAAATACTATCTAGAAGAGGACCCGAGCCTTGTGTTTCAGATGGACAACTATATTCACGGATTGGAGTGTCATTTAGGTTTATGTATATACAGGCAAGTAATTAGTTATTTGTTACATCTTTCCATATCATTTATCTAGTTTTTTCGGCGGCTTTACTCGCGAGAACTTAAGCAAGAACGTTTATACCAGCTGACTTTTTTAATGTCCGAAAACATGGTGATAAGTGGCATAGCTATTTTTTTAAATAAATTTAAAATATTTTTTAATATTATAAAAATAAATGCAGGGATTAAAAATATCACAACTCAAATCATATACACTTTAATATACGCGTAGGAATTATCATTGAAACCGTGAGACTCCATCGATCTTTAAGCAGGCCGCAAGTTCAAAGTTTAGTAACATTTTAATCCCGACGATAGAAAAGTAAGCCGGTATATATTCACCTTGTCGTGGCAGTCCTCCTGTGTGTATTGGAAAAGGCTATTAGAGGAAATGCCAGATACTCGTAGATAGAAGTTATAACCAGCGCCGGATTTAACTTTTTGGTGCTCTAGGTTTTTATAGAAAAAAGTGCCTTAGTTTTTCATTTTATATTGGTTTTTATTTTAAGTAAAATAGTTAAAAAATTTAAAGTTATGGGTATGGGTACCTACTTTAGTACCTAAAACATTATTTCCTTGACTTGTTAATAGCCAAACCCTTGTGATATTCCTTTTTTAAATAATATTTTTAAGCATACTACAAAAAACCTGAGCTATTGTTTCCTTTTCACTGTCAATTTTCAAAGTTATAAATGAATAATATATGTGCGATATGAAATATGTGAACAAAAATAGCAATGAATCTCGTATTATTTATTTTTTCATTTTGATTTTTGTTTCACAATTAAATCAAATGTGATTGTTGTTTCTAATTTGATTGACTAGTAACATGAATTTTTTCCTTAATAAAACATATAATTTTTTATCAGAAACTTAATAATCGGTAGCCTCTTTTTTATAGCATTGGTCGACAAACTAGCACACTTTCCACCTGATGATAAGTGGATGCTGTGGCTCTTAGACATCCACATTCATCCTCAATTAAGAATCAAACTAAAAATGCGTTGTCATCCCTTAGGACTAAGATGGAATGCCTCGATTCCAGTAAAAGGGGTCTCCGGATCTCTACACTCACCATACGAAAAACACAAAATAAGAACAAGGGGAAATGATAAAAAAAAACCTGTTGAAGAAAAAAAAAAACAAACCAGCACACCACACCACCAAAAAACACAGCAGCATTAAGCTACAATTTTACGCTGGTATCCTGTGAGAGCGTGGTCCTTCCCTGGTCGAGCCGACCCATTCGTGCTACAACTATATATATAATATAGTTAGAGCGTAGCTCTACCACGTAAACTCTAGTAATAGTTCTGTCTAGTATTCACCTGCTACGTTTGTAAGTCATCAGTTAAGCGATCTTTGGGTTTGCCTTTTGCTTGTTTACCTTCTAGGCCTTTCCACATTGTGACCAGCATCTTACATCTGTTGTGCGTGACATATGACTTTCCTAGTCTAAACCAACCAATTTATACACTGTGCATATTATCTTATACATTATTTATGTACTTTGCGTTATGTAATACTATTTGTCTTTGAGCATTGCACGTTGGCATGATCGTATTTTAGTTTTTATGGTATGTAATGAATTCCAGCGTGACCCGGAATCCATCTTAACACCACCCTGTTGTTACATCCCAGGGCGTTTAGACGATTAACGCAATCTCCAACTAGCTTCGAGTTCACTAAGTTTGACCTCAGCGCTAGCAGTGTTGCTTGATTATCAGAATTTATATAGATTATATAGTGACGTAGTGTTTTTTTCAGATTGATACCGGCACACTGAGTATGGCGAATTTTTTACTTGGAATATAGAGGTGAATCTACCCAAATTCAGAACAAGTTTGAATTTGGGCCGTTTACCAAAAATTTCAAAGCCTACGTCGAGACCCATTTTTGACCCATCGGTACTTATATAAGGCTACCGATTTGACAGATACCCTGTCCATTCAGCCAGTCTTCTCTGGAGGGTAGTTCCATTATGTTTTTTTTTTAAGTGTGTTAGTACTTATCTATATTATAGATTATGTACAGTTGTAGTTTTCTTTAATAAATAATCTTTATCAATACAATTTTATTCGACGGTTCCGTAGCGCAGTGGTTAATAGTTTGGTCTCGACGCTGAGGGTCGCGGCTTTGAATCCCGCTCGGAATAAGTTTTTGTATGGCATACCAATAATTCTTGCAGGTCTGAATGTATGTCCTTATGCAATTTATGTATGTAGGCCGCAGTCACGATACAGGAGAAAATCCTATTGTGGGGATAAATATTAAATATATTGTGGGGATAATTCATATGTTTTGCAATTATCAATAATGTTACAGATTTCCATTTAAAAAGAACTTACAGCATATACGCGATGTTTCAACAATGCCGAAGGCAATCGTCAAATGCGGTACGGACATGTACAAGCTGCCTCCGCTGACCGCAGCTTCCTGTATCATCACCTCGGGTTCCTTTATTCTCGACTTCAACATACAAGGCATTCGCTTTCGACACTTCGACTATTTGTTGGTAAGTAACAATAAAGTGTCATTTTTGAGTGCTGATTTACCAAGTGCTCGGCGGTGTAGGAAAACATTGTGAGGAAATTGCATGTCTGAGAAATAAGAAAAGAAATATTTCGAAGACATGTGAAGTTCGTCAACACGCATTAAGGCAGCGCCGCGGACATTTCCTTACCCTTTTCGAAGTGAGAGCAGGCCCGGACCCAACAGTGGGATGTGTATAGGCTGTATCTTTTAAGTAACCTTACAACTAATAATGGGCGTACCACTGTTGGGCACAAGCCCCTCTTTTTTTATAAGTAGACTAAGAGTGGAAATCGAGCACACAGTCCACCTGATGGTAAGTGGATGCTGTGAAATAGATATCTGCATCTATCCTCGATTAAGATTCAAAATGCAGGATTGTTAATAAAACTTCCATCAGTCTTCAGGGGTAACGCTGTCACCCCTGAAGACAAAGATGGAACGTCTCGTTTCCAGTAGAAAGGGTCTCCGGTTCTCTACACTCAATACGAAACACATCAGCGTAAAGTTGCTATTTTATGCAGGTATTCTTTACGAGCGTATACCTTCTCCGGTCGAACGAGCTAACATATTGGTGCTGCAGCAGTAGGTCGTGGCGTGCCAGTGTGTGTGTGTGTGTGTGTGTGTGTGTGTGTGTGTGTGTGTGTGTGTGTGTGTGTGTGTGTGTGTGTGTGTGTGTGTGTGTGTGTGTGTGTGTGTGTGTGTGTGTGTGTGTGTGTGTGTGTGTGTGTGTGTGTGTGTGTGTGTGTGTGTGTGTGTGTGTGTGTGTGTGTGTGTGTGTGTGTGTGTGTGTGTGTGTGTGTGTGTGTGTGTGTGTGTGTGTGTGTGTGTGTGTGTGTGTGTGTGTGTGTGTGTGTGTGTGTGTGTGTGTGTGTGTGTGTGTGTGTGTGTGTGTGTGTGTGTGTGTGTGTGTGTGTGTGTGTGTGTGTGTGTGTGTGTGTGTGTGTGTGTGTGTGTGTGTGTGTGTGTGTGTGTGTGTGTGTGTGTGTGTGTGTGTGTGTGTGTGTGTGTGTGTGTGTGTGTGTGTGTGTGTGTGTGTGTGTGTGTGTGTGTGTGTGTGTGTGTGTGTGTGTGTGTGTGTGTGTGTGTGTGTGTGTGTGTGTGTGTGTGTGTGTGTGTGTGTGTGTGTGTGTGTGTGTGTGTGTGTGTGTGTGTGTGTGTGTGTGTGTGTGTGTGTGTGTGTGTGTGTGTGTGTGTGTGTGTGTGTGTGTGTGTGTGTGTGTGTGTGTGTGTGTGTGTGTGTGTGTGTGTGTGTGTGATGTGTGTGTGTGTGTGTGTGTGTGTGTGTGTGTGTGTGTGTGTGTGTGTGTGTGTGTGTGTGTGTGTGTGTGTGTGTGTGTGTGTGTGTGTGTGTGTGTGTGTGTGTGTGTGTGTGTGTGTGTGTGTGTGTGTGTGTGTGTGTGTGTGTGTGTGTGTGTGTGTGTGTGTGTGTGTGTGTGTGTGTGTGTGTGTGTGTGTGTGTGTGTGTGTGTGTGTGTGTGTGTGTGTGTGTGTGTGTGTGTGTGTGTGTGTGTGTGTGTGTGTGTGTGTGTGTGTGTGTGTGTGTGTGTGTGTGTGTGTGTGTGTGTGTGTGTGTGTGTGTGTGTGTGTGTGTGTGTGTGTGTGTGTGTGTGTGTGTGTGTGTGTGTGTGTGTGTGTGTGTGTGTGTGTGTGTGTGTGTGTGTGTGTGTGTGTGTGTGTGTGTGTGTGTGTGTGTGTGTGTGTGTGTGTGTGTGTGTGTGTGTGTGTGTGTGTGTGTGTGTGTGTGTGTGTGTGTGTGTGTGTGTGTGTGTGTGTGTGTGTGTGTGTGTGTGTGTGTGTGTGTGTGTGTGTGTGTGTGTGTGTGTGTGTGTGTGTGTGTGTGTGTGTGTGTGTGTGTGTGTGTGTGTGTGTGTGTGTGTGTGTGTGTGTGTGTGTGTGTGTGTGTGTGTGTGTGTGTGTGTGTGTGTGTGTGTGTGTGTGTGTATTATTATTATTATTATTATTATTATTATTATTATTATTATTATTATTATTATTATTATTATTATTAATATTATTATTATTATTATTATTATTATTATTATTATTATTATTATTATTATTAATATTAATAATAATATTATTATTAATATTATTATTATTATTATATAATATTAATAATATTAATAATAATAATAATAATAATAATATATTATTAATAATATTATTTATATTAATAATAATAATATAATAATATTATAAATAATAATTAATAATAATAATAAATAATAATAATATAATAATAATATTAATAATAATATTAATTAACAAAATATTATTATTTATAAAATTAATTATATATTAATTATTAAATAATAAAATTAAATATTATATTAATTAATTATTATTATTATTATTATTATTATTAATATTATTAATAAATATTAATATAATTAATATATATTTATAATATAATAATAATAATAATAATAATAATTAATAATATTAATAATAATAATATTATTATTATTAATATATATAATATTAATATTATTAATATTATTAATAATATTATTAATATTAATAATATTAATAATAATAATAATAATATAATATTATTAATAATAATAATAATAATAATAATAATAATTTTAATAATATTATAATAATAATATTAATAATAATAATAATAATAATAATATTAATAATAATATTAAATATTATTAATATATTATTATTATATTATTATAATATTAATAATATTATTATTTATATTAATAATGGAATAATAATTAATAATTAATTATTAATTATAATATTATTAATTAATAATTAATATATTAATAATTATTATTATTATTATTAATAATAATAATAATTAATATTAATATTAATAATTAATTAATTAATTAATTAATTAATAATTAAAAATAATAATAATTAATTAATTAATTAATTAATTATTATTAATTAATTAATTAATTAATTAATTAATTAATTATTAATTAATTAATTAATTAATTAATTATTAATTATTAATTATTAATAATATTAATTAATTATTAATATTATTAATAATAATAATAATAATAATTAATAATATTATTAATTAATTAATATTATTATTATTATTATTAATTAATTAATTATTAATTAATATTAATTATTAATTTAATTAATATTATTAATATTAATATTATTATTATTATTATTAATATTATTAATATTATATTAATATTAATATTAATTATGTGTGTGTGTGTGTGTGTGTGTGTGTGTGTGTGTGTGTGTGTGTGTGTGTGTGTGTGTGTGTGTGTGTGTGTGTGTGTGTGTGTGTGTGTGTGTGTGTGTGTGTGTGTGTGTGTGTGTGTGTGTGTGTGTGTGTGTGTGTGTGTGTGTGTGTGTGTGTGTGTGTGTGTGTGTGTGTGTGTGTGTGTGTGTGTGTGTGTGTGTGTGTGTGTGTGTGTGTGTGTGTGTGTGTGTGTGTGTGTGTGTGTGTGTGTGTGTGTGTGTGTGTGTGTGTGTGTGTGTGTGTGTGTGTGTGTGTGTGTGTGTGTGTGTGTGTGTGTGTGTGTGTGTGTGTGTGTGTGTGTGTGTGTGTGTGTGTGTGTGTGTGTGTGTGTGTGTGTGTGTGTGTGTGTGTGTGTGTGTGTGTGTGTGTGTGTGTGTGTGTGTGTGTGTGTGTGTGTGTGTGTGTGTGTGTGTGTGTGTGTGTGTGTGTGTGTGTGTGTGTGTGTGTGTGTGTGTGTGTGTGTGTGTGTGTGTGTGTGTGTGTGTGTGTGTGTGTGTGTGTGTGTGTGTGTGTGTGTGTGTGTGTGTGTGTGTGTGTGTGTGTGTGTGTGTGTGTGTGTGTGTGTGTGTGTGTGTGTGTGTGTGTGTGTGTGTGTGTGTGTGTGTGTGTGTGTGTGTGTGTGTGTGTGTGTGTGTGTGTGTGTGTGTGTGTGTGTGTGTGTGTGTGTGTGTGTGTGTGTGTGTGTGTGTGTGTGTGTGTGTGTGTGTGTGTGTGTGTGTGTGTGTGTGTGTTTTGTGTTGTGTTGGTGTTGCTGGACCTCCGGGACTCCGAGTCTCGTCACCCACGATTCGAAACACGTGGGCTTTAAAACGTTAAGAAATGGATATAATAAAACAGGTCACTGGTATTCCTTGTAATGACATTAAAGAATGACTCCCTACCGAGAGCTTGCTACTAACAATTCGAGTACCTTCTAGCGTCGTTCGAGGTCTAATGAGTTTTAACTACATGTCACAGATTTTAGTAAATATTTAGCAAGTTGGTTAATTATATATATATATATATATATATATTATACAATGTCATCCTCGGTGTTGCCGTAACAATGACGAATATAAATTAATTTTAGATTTTGCCGAATGGTCACACGTATTACACCAAAGAGAAATTTTCGCCTCTAGTTTGCGATCACCACGTATGTGAATGGAATAACACTAACTTTTACGGAGGTAAGGAACTAATGTTGATCAAATTTGTTTCCCTTTCAATTACAAAATAATTTTATTTTGTTTTAATTTTCATTTAATGATAAGCCGATAAGATTTTATTTTTCGGTTTAATGTTATTTTATAGGACCATTCATAATCCCGGGTGATCCGGGGACTGGACTCTCTCCTATTCCACCATTTCTTGAACAAACAACGGAATTCACTACAGTTTCAACCGAAAATCCAAGTGAATTTAATCCCAATATTACATGTAAGTAATATTTTAGGCTTGGGTACATTTAGGTAACTATTATGAAACTTTATTTTTCAACCGACTTCAAAAAGGAGCAGGCACTCAATGCGACTGTTCGTTTTTTTCCTTAGAGCATACATTACATGGAGGGAGCACTGTGTGAGCAGAAAGCGTGTCGGCGTAGAGAGAGAGAGAGAGAGACTGAGTTTAGGTAGAGTCTGTCTCTCTCGCACAGTCACTCATTGGCTGTTTCATTGGGCATGCGCTATGAACGCAGTTCAGCTGAATACAATCAGAAGCATGTGCGAGAGAGACAGACTCTACCTAAACTCAGTCTCTCTCTCTCTCTACGCCGATCACGCTTTCTGCTCACACAGTGCTCCCTCCATGTAATGTATGCTCTAAGTTTTTTTCAGAACTTTTTTCTGGGTCCACGCAGAACAGAAAAAAGTTCTTCCGATTTTGAAAGCTGGTGCTTCTCGCACGGTCTTAGTAATTCTTGCATTATCCTTAATAATGCGTATTTATTTGACTTCGAATACTTACATTGATTATGTTTTCATTTTATTTATATTGAAGTCGGATGTACGAACTTTTTAATTTTACTACTTGTTTATATAAAACAAGTGAAAAACTAACTTACAGTCCACTTGGTCACAAGTGGAGTGCACAGCACTTGCACAGCACTTGCAACTTAGCTCTAGCAAAGAAGGCTATAGGGCACTTTTTAGGGCCAACATGGAATTCCTCACAGCCTTTAATTATATTACCTCTCTATAACCTTCAGACCGGAACACAGCACCGCAATTACAGAGATTTGGCGAGAGATAACTTTTTTTATAGAATAAGGGTGACAAACGAGCACACACCCCACCTGATGTACGTGGATGCTGTGGTCCATAGACATCTACATTTATACTCGATTAGGAATCAAAACGCAGATGCGTTGTCACCTCTGACTAAGATGGAATGCCTCGTTTCCAGTAAGAAAAGGTCTCGGGATCTCTACACTCACCATACGAAACACAGCAGTATTACGGTACTATTTTACGCTGGTATTCTGTGAGAGCGTGGTCCTTCCTCAGTCGAGCCCACCCATTCATGCTGCAAACATAATATAGCTGCAGCATGGCTCTGCCACGTATAAATCTGTTGTGATAACTATTTGAATATTTTGAAAATAAATATTTTCTCTTTAAAAACATTACAATATTTTCGTCTGTTTGGTGGAGGTAGTTACATACATACATTGCAGAAGGACACACATCCAGACCCGGAAAAATCATTTGTAGGGCAAACAAATAGTTGTTCCGCTCGGGATTGGAGTCAGCGATTCTCAGCGCCCCAGTACAATGCTAAGGCACTGCACCACCGCCACCTAGCAAATTCCACTGCTGAACAACTGGTTATTACCTTCAAGTTGTTGTTATAAGAAAGGCCAATCTAATGGTATGTATCCCCTTGTCGCCTCTTACGGCAACCCCATTTCGATAGGGGGTAGTGCGATTTCTTACATTGCCGTCACTACTGGGTCTGATAAAATATTTTATATTCGTACCTGTAAAGGTACTCGATGCGTACATTCAACCTGGTACGAAATTCGTAAACTGAATCGAAAACCGCAGAGCAACAACATGAACTGAACGTTATAATTTTTTTTAAATACGGAAGCAAAGAAATATTACGTATTACTATATTTACAGATACTCTCGACGGTTGTTGGTTCATGTTTCCGCCAAATTACGGCTCGATTGCCGGGATCAGTTATCTTGATCCTCTATCCGTCAATGAATACCGTTACACGTGTCAGGGATCTGGTAATAATAAGGTAAGAAAAAAAACACAATCTGTTTATTTGTTTATTTTTAGACATTTTAAGTTGTACTCAGTCTATTGATGACTGAACTGTAGATATAAACATCTCTAAAAAAAACCAATTATTTATTGCGCTTTATCATCATCAACACAACACAAACAAAAACACCTATTTTACGCTGGTATTCTGTGAAAGGATTGTCCTTCCCCAGTCGAAAAGACGCATTCGTTCTTCAAATATATGTATAGCTGCGGTAATATGACTCTAATGGGGACTGGACACAAAACATGACAGACTGTGTGGTCGTTTTATAATTGTCATCATCACCTTTACGTCTATCCAAGTTCACTGCTGAACATGCCTCCCCGTAGATTGCATCATAAATCATAAGGGATATATGTCATAGTTGAAACGCTCTTGCAAGGCGAGTTTGCACTTGGCAACCACAGTTCTTGTTTTGTAATTATTTTAAGGTAGACGCTGCTGCTCATCGAGTTTTTTATATCCGTCACCTCATCCGGCACCCTTGATATCTATACAAATAAATAAAATTGAGGTGTCTGTTTGTAACATAGAATACTATGATACATACGTAATAGAACGGGGGAGTGGGCGGAAACAATGTAGCCACTAAAAGTCACTTACATGTCAATTCACACGTATAAATGTCAACACAAGATATGTTTTGATGTTGCAATCGTTTCCAAATTTCGCATGCAAATTATTTAGAAAATGCCTAATTGCAAACTCATTACAAATAAATATGTGTATTAAAATTTAAAGGTGATTTTTAAATGATGATCTTGAACATTAATCAGAAGTCTTAAATATGTAAATTAGTAAATAAGTCTGTCAACACAGCGAATCAGGTTTGTAGTAGTAATAATACGAAGTAATTGCATCTATGTGTGCTCCCGGCGACGCCAAATATATATAAAAAATAAGGTTGACAGCCATTCTATTGTGTATTATAGTATTCTTTCTATGGTTTGTACTGTCAAAATAACAGCTTTTTACTAAATGCATATGAAGCCCATATATGGTTACTAATAAGAAAAAAACAATTTAAAAAAATCCTAAAATACATGCGGACGAAGTCGCGGGAAACAGCTAGTTACTAATAAATTTTATATTTTGCTACAAAGATTATAAACGATACTTTTACTTTTAAGTTAATTACTTATTTATTAAAAAAATTATTACATTCTTTTTCGCAGGGTTTGTACTGGTATCCCCAATGGATGGGCGCACCACCACATCACCCTTATCCTCAATCTGGCGATATACCGGTAGACATACCTCAGGGTCTTCCTGGACCATATTATCCAAACTTACAAGGCGATGTTCCCATAGGCGCGAATACGAATCTCGGCGCTTAGATACTTTATCAAATTTTTGGATTATATATTTTTTAAGTATTAAAGCGTGTTATTTTATTTCACAAAGGTGTCTGGATGTTCTTTTATACAAAATTTACCTAAGAAATCTATATTTCTATTAGTAAATTGTATGGTTATTAGTTGCAGAAGCGTGGCAAATTACAACAGGTTCTAAAAAGTTGTTTGAAAAATAAAGTAAGCAAAAGCCATTGCAATTACAGGCTGTGAGAATTTTCATCTTATGCCCATAAGTTTATTACATATGCCTAGAAGATTTGCTACCGCAACCAATATTTGTTATTTCGGTGCCATCTATCAATAGACGACCTACACAATAAGATACATAAAAGGATAATACAAGGTGTAAGTGGCTTTAATATAAAAATATTTATCCGAATTTTCAAAAAATTTAAAAAGTTACTGTACGACACTGTCCGTAAATTCATGAATACATGACGTAATCACTGTAAAGATCACAGCCCGCCCTAGCTACCTACACAACATTCCAATAAAAACACAATGGGTACACATAACCTGTGATGTAACTTTTCCTTCATACTTTCATCCTAGTTTAGGACAGGCAAAAATTGAGGAATTAAGGAAAAATTTAGATTTTACTAAAAAAAATGTTATTTTTCATTGAATTTACGTACTATAAGTGAAACCAAACCACTGGTTTCAAAGATAACGGTGTTTACACTAACACCCTGTATAGTTTGAATCACACGGTGACACTAAACTGATCAGTGGGACTGATAAGTTAAAACAGATGTAAGCCAAAACTATTTCCCAATACACTGGCTTCAAATCGGCCTTCATTTCTATATTTTTCTTGTGCTTTTTCCACTTGGAGGGGGGGAGGGGTTAATGTTTAAATTTTTAGTTTACGGCCCTGAGTTACTCCGACAAAGTCGACCGGACTAGGGCAGTAGACTCGACGAGTGACAGAGGGGAGTGTCCAATGACCTATGGATAACTAAATTATAATGGCTAACAAAGAAGCAAGCACCACTTACCGATTGGCGGAGGTAGGGTTGACCACGAGGTACCTGTCAGGTGGGAAGTGATGTGCATGTAAGTAGTGTGTAGTTATGTGTACAATGTGTAACCTGACATCCCCGCTAATCGGTGGCCAAGCCGAAGAGTCGAATTTCCCCTGGATGCCCTTCCCGGACATCGCAGCAGCCAAATAAGTCCTGTTGCAGGACAGAAATTGGACGACCACCTTCAAATATCTATCCGTGCGCCTACAATGCGTTCCGCAATCCGACCGGATCAGGTCCGGCTAACCGCGACGCGATAAGAAGCGGCCCAGAGTGGCCACAAAGGCTTCAGTGCTGAGGGCACTTACAAGTTTTAAGTGAACGGCCTAAGTGGCGAGGCACACGGAAACGCAAGATAGGCCTCATGTGAACGCTCGTTACGTAGGTTGGAGGACTTGACGAGGAAGGAGCCAGCAAAGTCGGTTCCGACTCCAGCGAATGGTCGGATGGCCCTGACGCGGTCAGGTGGTAAGTCACACATCATCGGCTGCATATGGTGGCCTTCAATTTACAACAAGGTATGTTCCCAAAAATGACGCTCCGAATAGTGCGTCGGCCAGCCAAATCCAAAACTTCCGCTGCAAATTAGCGCATTCTGAACATGATGGTGAGTTACCATCAACCGAAGCACAATAATAAAGGCACAAGAAAAAAAACACAAGAACAAAAACAAAACCAAAAGGACACATTTCAAGAGCTACATCGCAAAAATGTAAAATGTCACGAACTCTGACAGTAAGCTCTACTAACAATCTTTCAACATATCCAATTTCTATTCATACTTCTACTCGCCCCGGTGTACGCGCACAATTAATCTATATCCAACATGAAGCGATCTACTCTCGGGTCACACATTCTTAGCGTTTCAAAACTCAAAAGGGCCTCTTGTCACTTAAAGCACGAGAGACAATCAATAAGAGGCGTTTGTCACACGGCCGAGCGCTTCGCACGTAACCATCATACTTTAAGAGTAGCTTTTCCAAACATGCAGTTCTAGGCTCATGCTTCATCCAAGCCTCAAAGCAGCAGTACTCAAACTACTATGCAACCTTGAAACAAACTATAACAAACTTATTGCCCGATGCGCATTGATCAAAACAGATAAATTAAGCAAAACGATAAACATAAAGGACAACCAAATTCCCTATTTTCCAAAATAAATATCTTTGACAATGCCAACAAAATGTGAAAGCAAAAGGAGGATTAATTTTTACTTCCTTCGGCACGAATAGTCACTTAATTACAATTTTATTTATAACAAAGCAAACATAATGATCAAATACATTTACAAAAACACATGTACACGTATTCAAAGAGTATTTCAAATTCACCCTTTTTACACACAACCGCTACAACCTCGAAACATTTCGCGGAAAAACCAAAGCAATTTTTTTCTAAGCATTCAAAGCTCCAGGTGAGCCCTCGTTTCCCCACCAACCAAGTGGAGGCCACACCGCGTTTGAACCCGAATACAATAGAGCGCGAACCGTTACACAATCGCCACTCGGGTGGTACACCTTCACTGAGGCCGTCGGCAATAGAATAGTTTGACAAGTAGACTCTTGACGGCTCAAAAGGGTCAGTGGAGGCGGCCGTGGTGGGAGCTAGGGCGGCAGCTACCTAGTTGGAGCTGCCTCCATTGGACCGGCACTCGAACCGGGGGCACGGTAGCCCGCAGGCGAGCGCCGAGCGTCGCCCGACAGGGGGCATGACAGACAGAGAGCCCGGCAGTGCCCCGAGAGGAAGCGCCGGTCGCACCCAGGCACAAAACGGCAAGGTGATTGCCCTGGCAGTGCGATGGCATCACTACTAAATACAAATTACCATCCAATTAAATTCAATACAAATTACTGCAAATACAAATTACTATTTATCAAATTAAATACAAATTACACTACAAATACAAAAACACACTACGGTCGGTCAACAAAGATGCCACACTCGGGCGACTGACCCTTCGGCAATTAATCTACCATAATTATACAATAACGATAATACGATAATTACACGATTATGTGATAACGATAATTATCCACCTTACCCGACGCGTGACGGTACCTAAACCTAAACTACACTCCCGCTTGCTCAGCCTAGCGGGCGTGGTCTCTAATTCTACCCATCGCTTACAAACAAAGTAAGCGAACAAAGAAAAAGAAAACAAAAAAAATATTTTTATTACGTATTACGGCCGGGAGTGATTGTAAACAATCAACCACGCTCTGCTACCAGAATGCGTGGTTCTATCCACCGATCCGCTAACAAACAAAAAAAATTATATTACGGCCGAGCGTGATTGTAGAAACATTCAACCACCCTCTGCTACCACTATGTTACGGCCCTGAGTTACCCCGACAAAGTCGACCGGACTAGGGCCCACAGTAGTCCAACTCTACGAGTAACAGAGGGGAGTGTCCAATGACCTATGGATAACTAAATTATAATGGCTAACAAAGAAGCAAGCACCACTTACCGATTGGCGGGGGTAGGGTTGACCACGAGGTACCTCTCAGGTGGGTAGTGATGTGCATGTAAGTAGTGTGTAGTTATGTGTAACCTGACATCCCCGCTAATCCTGGACTGCAGATCCCAAGGCGCTGCCTCTCTCCAAATGTGGGATCCATCCAAGGGGGCGTTCACCAATTGAAAACTTCTACTTCTATTTTCACTATATTAGTTTATAAACTTTATTGTACATTTAACTAACTTGTAAAGTTATAGTTTTGTTATAGTTTTGTGCTAAGTAAGTCCCAGGTTCACTTAGCACAAAACTATAACCACGAGAAGAACGCGGTCTCTTCTAGAGGCCCAACGCTCAGCGTTCTCCCGACAAAGTAAAAGTCTTATCACGCTATCAACCGACGCACTAATAACTCGTCGATGCAATTAACGGCATAAAAGTTCCTTTAATCACTCCAAATTCAAGTAGGCCCTTGTTACGTAACACGTTCAAAACAGACAACTATAATTCGAGGCGGTCTAATTAGACCCAAATGTTTAATAGTAATTCAAAATGGCGCGCCAAATTAACACAAGTCCAAACACCGGCCGCGCGCAACCGTATACGAGTCACAAACAATACTTAAAACGGTGACAACAACAATTATATGACTCCGGCCTCGTTATCACGAAAATGAATTAAGATAACGCTCTAAGAGGCTCGCGATGTATAATCGACCCGGGATTCGCGCAAATAAACTCAAAAATAAGCCTCGTTGTCACGTATAGTAACGACAAAATACAACTTCATGGAGGCCGTCCTTTCGACGCAAAATTATATCAAACTCGCGACCTCTAAATCGACCCGGGAGTCGCGCCACAACTATTATGTAACGCCCGACGTCTAACCGGCGCGGTTTCACCGCTCAAGGATTCCGGCCGACTGGGAACGCGACAGCGCCGCACGCCCACAGCAAGCCCCCACCTCCCGCGCAACGCTAACCGTTTCCTCACCCCGCTCGAGACGCGCGTCCCGCAAGCTTTAAATGACACAAATTGGCGTAAACAGAAGTGTCCCACACTAAATTGGCTCGAAATACAAATATAATTTTCATACAACATGAAAAAACAAACAACAGAGTGGTGGTCCTGATAGACAGAGTGGTGGTCCTGATAGACAGAGTGGTGGTCCTGACAGACAGAGTGGTGGTCCTGATAGACAGAGTGGTGGTCCTGACAGACAGAGTGGTGGTCCTGATAGACAGAGTAGTGGTCCTGATAGACAGAGTGGTGGTCCTGATAGACAGAGTGGTGGTAGTGGTAAAGTAAAATATTGACTTTCAATACGAATTACTTGTAATCTATATTGAATAAAAAATATTCTATTTTATTCTAGTAAGACTCCTTTTCTGCTGCGAAGTTCATCTGGATAGGGACTGCCCCCTATCTTCTACTTTGTGCTGTCAAAAAGCAGTGTCTGCACTGCTGTGCTCGTCTAGTAGTCAAGGGAGCTAGTATAGTTACAGACTATGAGGCCTTCCATCTGTCCTCAGAGGCAACGCATCTGTAATCTTCTTTATTATAGTTGGTTGCAGGTGTCCATGAACCGCAAAAGCCATTTACCATTAGCTGGACTATAAGTTTGTTTATCACTTCAGTTTCATTAAAAGGATGAAGTTCACGTCAAAGGCGTAAGACGTCTGGTACTAAGGTCAAATCGCTTGTCAAGTCAAATCCTCCCCACGATGTTCGCCAGGAGGTTTTTACGGAATGATGATGGTGATGAGTGATAAGTCGCGGGTCTATGATATGACCTGTCCGAAAATAATTTTTTTTAATTGTTTAAAAATTAGGATAAACGAAATGCAGTAGCAAAAAACATGTTCGTGCTCATTTTCTAAAATTGCTTCATAACTGCTAAGCTCAGTCATCATTAGTTGTCAATCTAAGTAAATCTTACATTTTATTATAAAATATATATATATATATATATATATATATACAGGGTTACCGGTAACTCGACGTATTCCCGCTAAGGCGTGATAGTTGGGGTCATAACCTATCAAATGAACCATAAAATGCATTATGCAAATGTGGACCAATTTCAAGATATTTAGGTTTAATTATTTTTTTCGAAAATCCCAAAAGTCTGGTGTCAAAAATTTCTAAAAAAAAAACTTACAGCTGTATTATTTTCATTTTATTATTTTTACTTAATGAAAACCTGGATACTTATTTATCAATACTACAGTGTGCAAAAAGTCTCATCATTTTCGAAGTAACGCTACTAAAAGTACAACTTTTTCCAAACAGAAGATAAGTAATTAAAAATAAAAATGATTTTGTGAAAAATAATTGTATGTGACCAATTGTGCAAATCATGTTAAAAACATCCCTACTTATCTAGCTACCCAACGAAGTATCAATTTAGCTTGTAACTTAAATAGTACAGAAAAAACATGAAAAAAAGGGGCCAAGTAGTCAAGTTCCGAGTAGCAATGTTTTGGGTAATCCCAAACAATCGCTTCTCGGAACCTTATCAACAGCTGCGGGAATGCTCGTAAAAGATTGTGCGTTTGAACTTACGCTATTGTTTACATTTAGTGTGAAATTAGAAACAAGTTAAACAAGAAGAAACTGTTCAATCAGTCATCAGTATTACAGGCATCGTACACACGCGCGCATATCCCTCCCTGTTACACTTAAAGAAGTTGAGTTTCAAAGTTTTATGGCGGCGGAACCATTATCCACCGGAACAGTAATATGCAGATATCTTTTATCTCTATGGATATTCACTCCGCTAAGGTTGACTGGAGAAAGCTTTTAGCACAAACAAATAAATTAAGAAATGCAACTTCACGTAAAAACAATAGTTTTATTTTTACTTTATATGTCACAGTATAAGTATACAACGGTAAGACCACTGAATGTAGCAATTGTGACCTTTTTTTTTTGTTTTCAGTGCAAAAGCACCACGGAGCAAGGGCACGTTTAGATCACAAGAAAACCTCAATGAAAAGTAAGTGTGTTAGCGAAAACTGACATCTAAAAACAAATTATTATTTTACTAAGTTAATCCTGGTCATATACTATCTGTGAACTAAATTTCATCCCAGAAACAAAATACGCTTTGGCTCAACGAAAAACATTGACTAATGTAAAAATTTTAACAATGCGGAAAGCAATTGTGAAAGCCATAAAACATCACAAAGTGTCGCAGAGTCCTCGAGATGTTGTAATATCGACGTTACACAACGATATCATTAACTCTGTGTCACATGCGTATGGTGACCATAGATTTTGCCAGGATTATTACTGTACAAAAGAAAAAAAATGATAATGAAGAACTTAAAAAATTCAAAATTCAACCTTTATTTTCGGGATAAATGCCATTGTTTCCAGTATTGCAGCAAAATCACGAAGTTTAATTGAAGACGTGGATACCAAAAATGTCGAATGCTTTAACAGTGTAATTGCAAAATTTATTGGAGGAAAACGAATCAATTTTGCTTTGAAAGGAGGTAATCAAGGTAGGTTCAGCGGCAGTAGTGTCATTTAACACCAAATCGGCAATATCCACAGTTCAATCGGCTTTTACTGGCAAATGCCCCGGAGGAAATGTTGTGATTGTAGAAAGAAAAATGTCTCAAAAACGGAAGATAAATTTTGAACATCCAAAAAATAAAAGAAGAATATTAAAGGAAATTAACAAAAAGCAACATGTTTATGGTCCAGCAAGTGCAGCACCTGATATGTCTCCTCAACATTTAGAAAAAGCTAAAGAATTTATGAAAAATTTTAAGGATGTTACATGTGATAGGAATGTTATTGAAAGGGCTACCGTATTGCAAAGGGACAGCAGTGAATGGCTTGAGTTAAGAAAAAATCTTGTTACATCCTCAAATTTCGGCCCTATATGTAAAAGAAAAGCTAATACTGGCACTGCTTCACTTTTTAAAAATATATTATATCCAAAGAATTCGTTAAACGTTGCCTCCATTTGCCACGGAATCGAACATGAAAGTCAAGCTCTACAACTGGAAAAACAAGAAAATGTGAAAATTATGCAGCTCCGGACGGACTGGTAGGAGATGATATGCTAGTCGAGATAAAGTGTCCCATTACAGCTTCTAAAAAAGGTCTTGAAAATTCAATTAAGCAAAACAAAATTCAAATTCTCAAATACGACAAAAAAAACAGGCATAGTGACCGTAAACAAGAAAAGTGACTGGTACTATGAAATTCAGGGCCAGCTGCATGGTACGAGTAGGAAAGTTTGTTTAGTAGGAAAGTTTGTTTTTTAGGAATTTGATCAGGTGACAATAAAACAATTTTCACAAAATATATTGAAAGAGATGATGACTTTTGGAAAACTACGGAGCCAAAGTTAGTACTTTTTTTATAAAAATTGCTTACTCACAGAAATTGTTGACAGCAGATATGCGCGTGCGATGGCGATCCGAGATCTAAAACTGGAATGTGACTCCATGTCTGTAATTGATGTACCAGACAAAGAAAATAACAGACCTGATTTATTCAGGACTGACCATCAAACGTCTAACGAGCCTGACAAAAATTTTGAAAGAATTCACCAACTCAGTATGGAAGAGTTTTAGAAATTGTTTCATAGTTGATCGATTGGTTAAGATGTAGTTTTAGATCATTATTGTAATTATTTAACTTTGAATAGTAGTGAATAGTAGCATTTGTAAAACTTACATAAAATTATTAAAAAGAAATTTAATTTAACATTTTATACGAAGTTTTTTTGAAATAATCGAAATCAGTAAAAAAAAAACTAAATACGTATAAATTTAATATAACATCATACAAAATGTTAACTAAAGACGTAATTTGTAACTACTCACTACAAACTAAAAACAGTTCAAATCATAAGAAGTGGTCCTACTGCGAACTATTTTGTACTGTGGTCTGTAGTAACGCGGTGCCGGGATCAAGTGAGTTCATTTTTTTTTTGGGTGTTTGCGTTGTTTATTACGCGCGCGCTGGAGACGCGCTAAATACCTAAAGTGTCAGTATAAGAGTGCCTTAAGTCCGCCTTTTGATCTTGTACTGATGTAAGGTTCAATAAAGTTTAAATAAATAACTTATCCGCCTTACAACTCCAATCTAGCATCATGTAATTTTCATTTATTCCTAAGAAAATCGAACATATATTTTGAAGTATTTATTCTCTGTAAAACCCTGAGATTGCAGTGACTGTTCGAAAACGACGGTGGAGCTCTCTTAAGAAGTGTATGAATCTTTTTTTTTTATAGGATAAGGGTCACAAATTCTCTACACTTATCATATGAAACACATCAGCGTCGAGCTGCTATTTTACGCTGGTATGTTTGAGAGCGTGGCCCTTCCGGTCGAGCCGAACCATTCGTGCTACAACTATACTACTAATTTAGCTCTACCACGTCTCTCTTTATGTTTCAATCAAATACTAAACATAGACAGAAATAGAGACTAAGAACTTTGTAAAACAATAAAAAGTCGTGGTAGGGCCCTGCTGGAGCTTTATTGGTTTTGGTATTGAGCTTTATATATGGTTGTAGCACGAATGAGTCAGATCGACCAGAAAAGGACCTTGTGCTCACAGCTAAATGCTGCTTTCGTATGGTAAGTGTAGGGAACAGTATTTCCCCTTTTTACTGGAAACAGGGCATTTCAACTTAGTCCCCAGAGGTGACAACGCATCTGCATTTTGATTTTTAATCGAAGATAGATGGAGATGTTTATCGGCCACAGCGTCCACTTACTATCAGGTGGACTGTGAAAAAGTATTTTTAAATTGGTACTTTCACTTACATATATCTTTCAGTATCATCCACGTTAACGTTGCTAAAGAAAAAATACAAGTACAATTTTTATTAACTTTAATTCATAGTCTTAAAATCATACTTTATAAAACATAACGAAACTTATGTCAACTCAATACAACGCGGATCAAAATTCTAAATAATTATAAAAACGTAAATTTTGTTGTTTAAGCATGTGGCGAAATTACAACATCACTCATATTTATTAACTACATTTTTGTAATTATTTACCATAAATAAACATGTGGCGAATATATGCCGTGTAATTTCACTAACAGATAACTTTTATTGCACTAAAATATTACAATTACGAAATAACAAAAAATGTCAACACGCATTAATAAGGATGTCAAAATGTATTGTCCATATGAATACTTTATTATTTACCGTCTAATGGTTGATGCCATAGCGTATTATAGCGCAATTCTTTTGGAGCCTAAATCAATATGTATCTTATGACATAGCTATCGCAAGCACACCATAGGATAAGTGACACCATAAATATCGTCTTGATACACAAACACTGAGACATCGACTTAAAAAGCGCAGAATGTATAATAATAATATATCTATTTCATCATGTCAATGCCAACATACAAACAATCTAGTAAAATTGATCTATTTAATACACAATAATCCGTAAACTGATTCAAGATACAATAGTCGGATAAACGGTGAATAGAAATGATGTATAGTTGCATAATTATCACGTTTCTCAACTTAATATAATAAAATAATTAATAATAACACAATTGTTTAGGTAATAAATAACTAAAAGAAGGTACATGGTGCAGTAAGTCTTAGAATTACTGGAAGTGAAAAATAAATGCATTTGTGGGTAAAATGAGCATAATTTAGCATTGCATTTATAATTTAACAACGTATTCGATAATATGCGATGGGATCAAACTTATTTAACAAATGATTTTGTTAGTTCAGTTGTTATTAGGTCTTTCGACAGTTCTAGAATCAAAGCGTCAGATTCTAGATTATAAATACCATACCACCAATATTTACATTGTAACATTGAACAAAATTACTTGTTTGAAGGAATACAAACGAAAATATAAGCATATTTCCATATAGATTGTTTACAATATGCTCCGAGAGTAACTGACGAATTTGCGGTAAGTATTAAGGCACTATCTTTTAATATAATAATTGCTATACCTGGCAAATACAGAATGAAAAGTGTCAACTAAAGTTTGATTTTTTTTCTTACCGCTTATCTTATCTTTATCTTTTATAAATTTTCATAAGCCCACAAATATAAAAATAATGTTCTTGAGTACAAAACTCACGGTCCTATTGCCGAATATACAAACACTACTCAAATTTTAAGATGTTAATGTCTTGTGCTTAAATCTTGGACTTAAAGTGATAGAGATAGCACGAGACTTGAAATAATTGAGTAGCGTTTGAGTATTTGGGCATTATACTCATAAAAACCGACATAATTTTTTTTAAAACGATTAAAGTTGCCCTCTCTCTCTCTCCATTTTCACTAAATGGCAATAGAAAGAGACAGATATAGATTAATACTTAAGTAAGCGATAATCAACGAATAGCAGTGAACTAATACTGTAAACGAGCAGCTAGTCTTTCCATTCCCAATTTGTCCAGTATATAGGTTCAATTATGTAAAATGTTAGAGTGCCTCAAATTTGTCACCATATGTCCGACCAAATCGAGCATTACTTTTCGAACGCTTTTAACTTTTTAAGAAACTTTGAATACGCCTCTACATTTCTAAGCTCGAATAATTTCCATTATAACGCCAAAAACTATTTACTATAATTATTTTAGTAAGTATGACAGGGATGGGTGAAGTTAATTCGGTACGAATGATGACTAAAATGTAGTTTTTTGGTACTAATCTAAATATAAGTTTAGTTATCATCCTCATATTTCTTTATCAACTTGTGATGGCTTACTACTTAAGCTTTTTGGAAATAAAATAAGTTACACGACATATGAGTATATTACATAACTCATATTACATAGATCGTAGGTATATTTACATAACCTTTCATTTCTTTTTCTAATGATTTCACCTTATCCTCCGTTTATTATATTATTTCATTTATGTCTACGTAAAGAAATATATTTATAATTGATTTCATGAAGTACCGTTGTATAAGTAATAAAAATATTTTTTTTTGTAATTGCAGACCTTTAAATACGGTTATATCATAAGACTGGATAACACTATTTTCGGGCAAAGTAATTTTACTAATAAACAACTTATTTGATATTACAAAGGGGTTATACGGTCCCAGTCTCGAACCAATCCTTACTTGAATTTTGCGTACTTGAAAAATTCCACGTAATTTTGAAGTTCTGATTAACGACTATACGCGTTTTTGCCATTTTGTCAAACACCACTAGCATGCAATTTTAAAAGACCGTTATTTAACGAGTAAATTCTATTGAAATACATCATGATTTTATATTATTTAAAGTTCGTGAAATTATTTTGTCATGAACTATTTTTAAATAAAACTTATATAATATCAAACAGATTTTTAGAGATAGCTTTTTAGTATATTATGGCCGGATTGGTTAGAAGGTAGAATCAGGCTTTTTGTCCCACAGGTTCCTCTATTTCGAATTCCTTCTCCCAACTCTCGTCAGAATTTGCACTAGCATCGTCTTTAACCTGATTATCCCCAAAATAGTCTTCCACTAAATTATTTCCACATTCATCGGATTTAACCGCTTTTTTTGGCGTCCTGCCAGTTTTGTTTTTCTTGTCTATGGTTTGATTGTTCATTTCGTCTTTAAGTGATGGAAGTTTCTTTCTGTTTTCTGAATTATTGTTAACCACGTCTCGTGAGGATGACGATGACCGTTTGTTTATTTTCTTTGAAGTAATTTCCTTTTCATATTCTTCTAAAAGTAGTATTTGTTGTTCCTCTGTCAGTTCAACATCATGTGCAAAATCTTCTGTAAATAAATAGTAAAATATATCATTTGTTTTGTTTACAGAGTTTAAATTATTTGTTCAGAATATATCTTAACTGCTGGGAATTTATTCTGTTTCAAATTAACACGATTCTTTCTTTTTTTTTTAAATATTAAATAAAATTTGACATAGAAAAATAGCAATTGATTACTATTTCTTTAAATTGAATGTCACCATTGGTTTAACAATTTACTTACCATCCGACCATGCGACGACTTCGTCTTCATCTTTTTCATAGGGAATATCACTGTCTAGTCCAGATAGCACTTTCTTAGGACTCCTGCAAAAGATATATCATCTTATATCCAAAAGGAACATAGTGACCAGACGATATAAATACAATATTAAATTTATGAAAGTAGTTATTCCATGTTAGGGTTTGAATATATTACGATAGACACACAGTCTTATCAACTTATTACATTGACTGTGGTTTCTATTTTATTTAGGGACTTTCATACACAGGAACAGGACAGTAGGACAATACAGGATATGAAAGAAGCCCCGTCGAACCCTAAGCTATACAAAAATAATATAGATAAATAACTTAGTTTGTTGTTTTGGACTGTTGGAATATCAGGACCAGTATTTTTCCGTCGGTTACTTGTGGCATAAATGTAACGTGGTAAATTGACATGACGACGTAAGAGGATCCATTGTTCTATATTCCTACATGGTCCTGTGCGTTTCGTAAGAGTAAAAAATTACAGTCTATAGAAAGTCCCTTTCTAAAAGAGTCAAAAATTACAGTCTATAGAAAGTCCCTTTCTAAAAGTCTCGTCCAGGTCTAATATCTGTTCCACGAAGCGCAAACAGTCCGGTATGTTATTAAGAAATCTTAAAACAGTTATATACTTATACGTGGTAGATCCACGCTGCATCTATATTATGGTTGTAGCACGAACGAGTCGGCTCGACCAGAGAAGGACCACGCTCTCACAGAATACCAGCGTAAAATAGCAGCTTGATGCTGCTGTGTTTCGTATGGTGAGTGTAGAGAACCGGGGACCCGTTTTACTAGAATTTTGAATACTGGAATCGAGGCATTCCATCTTAGTCCTCAGGGGTGACAACGCATTTTACGTCTTAATCGAGGTTAAATGTAGATGTCTATGGGCCACAGCATTCAATTAGTACAGGTGGAATGTGTGAATGTGCTTGTTTGTCACCCTAATTTTATATTAAAAAAATTATGTTTTTTGTAACTGCTCGCACAAAATATCAGCATCATTTGCTGTATTTCGTATGGTGAATGACTAGAGACGGAGAATTTTTACTATCGTTAACGAGGCATTATAATTTCACTCAATACTAATGTTTTTTTTATATAAGAGGGGGCAAAAGAGCATATGGCTCACCTGATGGTAAGTGACCACCGCCGCCGTCCATGAGCAACTGCAACGCCAAGGGAATTGCAGATGCGCTGCCGGCGGTTTAAAAAAGGGACTCTTTTCTTGAAAGTTCCTAAGTCGTATTGGTCAGAAAAAATTGCTGGCGGTAGTCGATTACAGAGTGAAATTGTGCGAGTAAGAAAACTTCTTGTAAATAGCACAGTGATGGACCGCCAATCATCCAGATGGTATGGATGGTATCGCGAGTTTTGAGTTTGAGTTATTGAGCGGCTGGATTTAGTCCGAACAATTTCTCTAAGCAATCCACGTGGTAAATGTTTCCCTCTGTAACCTCTAACGACACTAACGGGACGTTATCTGGTAGTGGATATTTTTACACCTCCACTATACAGGTCATAGAGTACTATAATACATACATAATAGAACGGGGGAGTGGGCGGAGCCCGTGTAGCCACTAAAATGTCACTAACACGTCAATTCACACGTATAAATGTCAACACGAGATGTGTTTTGACGTTACAATCGTTTTCAAATTTCGCATGCAGATTATTTAGAAATTGCTAAATTGCACGCTATTTACAAATAAATATGTATTAAAATCCGTCTGTCAACACAGCGAATCGGGTTTGTAGTAGTGATAATACAACGTAATTGCTTGTGTGTGTGTTCTCGGCGACGCCCATCGTCGTACAAAATAAGTTTGACAGCCATTCTATTGTGTATTATAGTATTCTATGATACAGGTAATATTTAATTACATCACAGTATTAAAAGCCGGTATAAAATCTAGTTTAATATAAAGACGCTAAAATTTTAGCAAGCATTTCTTCATAATCAACGAGCTACAAAAACATATTTAAAAATAAATCTATTTTACTTTAATTTAGCTTGACTGTGATAATAATTATATTTTGAAATTGGATATTTTTAGATTTTTTTTGTCAGTGGACTGATATAGTCTGTTCGCGCAGATACGGTCGCCTTTGTGTCGAACCGCCTTGGCACGTGCCACTTCTTGTCAAAGACATTAAAAGTCGCCACGTGCAGTGCATCGTGCATTTTAAAACGATAGGATAAGGATAGAATCTTTTAAAGATATTATAACAATCTGTAACACTCATAAACTGGTCTGAACACCAAGCAAGAAACATTATACAATAATAATTAAAATAATGACAAATCGTTTCATATTCGTGTTGAAGCAAATTCAAGACGTCCTCTACATCGTGTCGTTTTATGTTTTGCCAAAGAATAAATTTTTTCATTCAGAATACAATTAGTACGCTCGAATGAAGAATTGAATAATCTTGCAAATATGTGTTTAATTAAAATGTATAGATAAGAACTTTTAGTTTGGGAAAGGAGTTCGCGCACAAAAATGTAATTTTTGCAGCAAAATAAAACTGTCTTTCAAGTTTTAATAAAGAATAATATTTATTGAAATTTGTTTACAATATCAAAATATAGATAGTATACTCGACAATAGCATATTAGTGTCAGTAGTAGTAACTTTATTTAGAGCTAAATAATTGTAATCAATAATTTGGAAACGCAACGTGTTACATTTCGAAATAAAGCTAGCTGTAAAAAACTTTGATTTAAGTTAGTTACGTTAAAATTAAAACAGAAGCTACGTTGGTCCCCATAGGAGGTATATGTATATTGTCACAATTTGAAAGCACAATCTAGTTTTTGTTGTTTGATTAAATAGAATTTAAAAATATAAATAAAAAAGAATATTCAGAATTAAAATTTGTAAACTAATAAAATACGCACAAACAACTGATTGCTACACCTATTTAATTATTAATAATATGGTTAATTAGATTTCATATATTTATACGTGGCCGTAAAATTATCATAACAATTCTTAAAAAGAGGCTTTCGGCTTAGCTTCGGATTTGTAGAGCGTTGTCACTGTCCTTCACATGGCGGGGTTACCCAAGTTGACTTTGTAGTCTTTTTTACGAAAGAAGTACCTTAGCCGCAGCGCCACAGTCTTTACGAAATTTTAGTTTTACAATGCGGTTCAAATAAGAATGGGAACGTCAATGACCTCGAATGACAGCGATCTGTCAACTGTCATTTAAAAAGTACAGCTTGCAAAGAAAATTAACTCGCGTATTAATAACGTTTTTACTAAGCTTTATTTAAATGAGTCTTAATATTACCAAATCTATTGAACTCATAATTATTTTTATAAATTAATTTAAAATATTGATACCAGTCTGTGGAATATTTTAAACATCTACAAGATTTCTTGTACTATTTTATAAGGGAAATCAGCAGTGATTATAATGATGCCAATGATGATTACTCAGACAGCGATGCAGATGCGAAATTGAAATACTAGATTCAGATTAATACTTTTTCGTTCATGGTTCTTTTGTAAATAACTATTATTTCAAAAATATCTAATTTGTTCACCCTACCTAACTGGTTTGAATTGACAGCTATGACGTCATAATATGGCGCCAGGTTAGTCCAATTCTTATTCGAATCGCATAGTACTGTCGAATTCTACACTTTACGTTATCTATATATAGGACTTCCTTTGTTAAGCACTTCAATCATCAGCACTAATAAAATACCATTAAAAAGATGAAATCACTTACTGATTTAACATTGAGATATGTCATTCCCGTTCATCTTTAGTTTTTTATTAGCTTTAACGATTGTAGATTCAACTTCGCTATGTTACTGTGACGTTAAGTTGCTAACTGATAGTGTCATTGTAAGTTTTTGAAGGTTTTTCGTTCTTTAATATTCGATAGTGTTGTGATGGTGAATCTTTATTTTATAAAGATATATATTTTTACAAACCTGAAGTCACCAAACCAACTTACAGTCCACCTAATGGTAAGTGACTACTGCAGTCGATGGATACCTGCAGTCAATTTCAAACAAAGAGGGTATGCAACCTTCTTTGTTTGTAGCATTGTTAGGTCTGAGGACTAAGATATTGCAACACCGCCTGCAATTATACTGGTTCGCTGGTAACAGGGGACGAACTGTCAGGCATAAAAGAAGTTCTACCAATAAGTAGGTATTTATTTTCAAAGCAAGTTATTGTTTCTGGTAATGGATACAAGACTATTAGTACTTCGTGCGACAGAGAACATGCTCTACAAATACAAATATAGCCGATAGTAATTTTCAAAGCTAGATATGTATTATTTAAGGCTAAGTATTATACGAAAGACAAAATTAAAAAGAGATTTTACATATTTTTAAATGTCTATATATTATAAGTTTTTTATTCTATAAAATAATGTCATGAGTGAGTCAATAAGCCTGCTACTTATGTCATTATCGACTTACTGTTGAATAGGCGATTGGAGAGGCAAATTGGCCAAAACTGGATCGGCAGAGGGCTGCTCCTGCGGTTGTTTCCGTGAAGCAGCGGCAAGCCGATCCTGAAGTAACGCCACGCGGAATAAGTACCTGGCGATATATTTTTATGTAATTCAACAAAATATGTAATCTCTATGATTTGAAAATCATTAATTTACCACAGGTTCTGAAAATACCGATGTCCCGGGAAGGACCAGCAAAAAAAACCCAGCGAGACGTAAAAAACAAAACAAAAAAATAGCTTGGTAGAGATCACCTCATCCTCAGCGGTTATTAACGTAATTTCATAAATTCTTATAATATGGATGATATAGCCCTTATTAATACACTTTTTATTAGTTTCGCATGTATCTATCTATCTATCTATTCAAAGGAATCTTTTAATATAATTTTCACCAACTTGTAGACGGCCGATTGATTTGAAAATTTGCAGACGTATTATAAACCGATGACAATACAATAGTTTCATGTCAGTCCACTTCTGAAGATTGCTTCTCACACAAGGCCACGCTTCACAGGCGGTCGTAGTTTAGGCGTATCGCACCTCTGATCCTGTCGCCAGTATGTTTTACAACAGATGTATCCATCCATCCTCAATTACAGCCTGTAAAAGTCTAATGCTGAACATAGACTTCCCTACACGAATTGCCTCATAAAGTGGGTTTTTTCATGGTTGCCATAAATACGAAATGGTTATACCGCCATCTTTCGAAGGACATAAGGTTTTGCTAGCATTTCCCACACAGTTACGGCCATAGGTAGATTAAATAAATAAATTAATTAAAATTTTTCGACTTACGACTTTACGAACGGCAACAAAACAATAGTAGGCATCTTTGACCTTGTCACTTCGCAGGGTCACAGGTTCAAGGGCAAAGTAATTGTTAAAAAAATTTCAAACGCTTAATTCAAAATTTTTGTTTTTATTTTTGTAAAATATCAGTGCCATAGGCTTCTACTTCGTTCACATGTTACACCCACGTATTTAGATTTACTATAATTTTAACTACATAAAACTTTGATGGCGTGATTTAGGCTTCGTTACGTTTCGATTGTGGCGCGACGACAGCGCCGCCACACGTCTATATCTACGAAATACAATATCATTTCCTTACGCCTTTGAGACGGCACTAGTATCAACGTAAAATCACCTACGGGAAGAATAAAGCAATGGATTCTTCAGCGTCGCCACCAAGGTGCTATAGCTGTATTGTATAGTAGTACTATCGTGTTCGTTTAAAAAACTTTTTATTTTGTTTTTTTGATTACATAGCATAGTATTAAATAACATAACACATAAAGAAAAGGACAGATAAACAAACTTATTGTAAGAATACGTACTCACGCACACCTATGCTCTAAAGACTGATTTACACTTCGACAAGTAGCGAGTTAACTTGCGAACCTGGCGAGTTAAGTAGAAAATCTCGTTTAAACGGCAATTAGCAAGTTAAGTAGCAAGTTAACAATTAAGTACAACGGGATAGCGGGCGGGAAAGTGTTGCCCTCCCGCGCGTCTCCCGCCACCCGTACTTTTTTTTCATAAAAAAAAAATTACATTCCAATATAGGCTATTAAAAAAAACCGAGGTTTACCTTGATGCTAATAATAAAATTTAAGTAAGCGAATTATGTACAAAAACATCTAATTCAATAGTAGGTATATGAGTAGGTAGAAGGTGTAACAAGAATATAAAGACTAAAAGGTAAGTTAACAACTTAGTTAAAGTCAGAAGTAGCAAGGTAAAAGTAAAAGTAAGAGCTAGGCAGTATACAAATATAATTTAGATAGGAAAAAGCTTTTGAGTTTAGTTTTAATGTACTAAACTCGCCGCTTGTGTTAACGAGCGAGTTTAGTTCAGTGCATAAATTGACAGGACGCAATGTGTTCGCGTTCGATCCTCAAAATATAAAATAGTACTTTTTTAAACTAAACTCGCCACGAAGACATTTGAACGGTACTGTCCAATTAACCGTTTACTGTCAACTGCCCTGTAAATAAACTCGCTCGCAACAAGTACAGTACTTGTCGAAGTGTAAACCGGCTATAAAACCTTGCTTAACTATCCGCTCAACAGTATCTTTCTAAATGGCGTCATTTCTTATATATTGCAACCATTGCGGTTTGTATTTACTGCCCGGGAGAAATAATTTACTAATTTCGTGTTTTCTTTAAATATATGGGGTATAATGGTTTATACAACAAAATATAATAAACATGTTTTTCTCATCTAAATTTATATATTATTATAAACATTAGTGCTAAAAGCGAAGTATAATAGTAATTTCAAAACAACATAAAAAACAAAATGGCGGAAAATGGCAGGAAATGAATCGCCGCAATGGATGACCAGTTACTGACAATAAATATTCGACACATAGCTGGGATGAATGTTTTCGACTGTTTGATATGCATTTACACACACATTTTTCTTTTCTTTTTTTATCAGCCAGCTAAAATCCACTGCTGGAAGGATATATATACATATATCCTATACTTTTAAACGAGCAAGTCTTGTATATATATATATATATATATATATATATATATATATATATATATATACAGGGTGTCCAGTAAATAGCACGACATACTGCAGGGGGTGATAGCTAGGGTCACTACCTATCAATACAATATAATATATGTTCAGAAAAATCTTATGGATTTACAGTTTTACAAAATTTTCCGAAATACCGAAAAATCTCTACCTTGAAATAGATTTTTAAGCATCTCGTAATGAAAAAATCGTTTTCTAGTACTTTTTTTTACATCAAATTATTCGTGAATAGTTACTTTAACTCATTGATAAGTCTTTTTTCTATCAAAGACAAGAATGTTTTCAAGAAATACTATTTTTTGTTTAAATTTGCACAGAACTATTTTCTTATCACTTAAGTTTAACCTACAGTGGTGAAAAAAAATGTATGTGGCAGTTTTGTACAACGAACTTAAAAAAATAGCTTGTTTAATGGTGATTTAGTAAAGATACAATACTAGTGCATTTTCATTAAAAAAATACAAAAAAATATATATAAGCTATTTTAGTTAATAAGAGCATTTTATTTTAAATGCAAGTAATGTGACTTTGAATTCGAATAGGTCGTACTACGGTTCGAATTACATAATAATTAATCTACAGCCGACCGGCCGGCCGGTCTGTAAATGACATCTTGAAGGATAAGGTGATAGTAAAAAAAACAGAGGAGTTAACTTTAATAAACATTTATTTAAATAAATTACAATAAATGCTCAAATTGTATCCCTTGTGCCCTAATACACGCTCGGCATCTTCTTAAAAATGAGCTTTTGAGTCTTCTCAGGCTTATTTCCGATATTTTTCTTGCTGCAATGTTAACCCTTGCTCTCAATTCATTGTCATTTTGGATCGGTTTTTCATAGACTTTGTCCTTCATGGCACCCCAATAAAAAATCCAGGGGGTTTAGGTCCGGAGACCCAGGTGGCCATAATATCGGTTCCAGTCGCCCAATCCACCTGCCTGGATAAGCTTCATCTAAGTAGGTCATCTCTTACTTCCCGGCCATAATGAACAGGGCACCCATCATTTTGAAGCCACATCACCTCTCTTAGCTCACTCGAAACATTTTCAAGGAGCATGGGTAGGGTATCTCGTAAAAACTCCAAGTAATTATTGGCATTTAATGTAGGTGGAAGCTCGACGGGACCCACAATCTGGCCATTAAAAATCCCAGACCATAAATTTATTTTGAATTGTTACTGGGACCTGTCTTCTCTTGACACATACAGATTTTCTGATTGCCAACTATGTAAATTATGCAAATTCAAGTAGCCGTCCTTTCTGCAGGCTGACTCATCACTCCATAACACCTTATTAAAAAAGTTTGGGTCTTCCCGATGCATTTCAAGCATGCGGCGACAGAATTGAGCTCTCGGTAGATAGTCTCTAGTGAAAAGAGTTTGCGCGCGTCGTATGTGAAATGGATGGTATCCATACATCTTAAGTACTGAATGAACAGTGGACTTCGGTATCCCTGTGCGCCGTTGTATCGCCCTAACCGTAGTTGTCGGGTCTTGTTCTCGTTCTCGTCTGAAGCATTATGTCTTCTTCAACAACTTGAGGCAGTCCACCGCCACGTTGACCAGGGAGTCTGCCTTCCATGTAGGAGTTATGCACTCTGGTAAACATTTCATGGTGTGGATGTCTCCTATCGGGAAACCTTTCCCTGTAGAGGGTGGCAGCAGCTCGGGAACTTTGGCCAGCTTCTCCGTAAATAAGGTGCATCTCAGCATACTCTCGCTGCGTATAACCAGGAAAAACGCGGCGGTTGGCCATGTTATAAAACACAAAAGTCCAGGTGGTCGCCAAGTCGTCGTAGTGATCACAATAAAAACTCCAAATTGTAAGGCATACAAAGTCCGGGGTCCAAGGCACAAAACAGTCGTCAGTACGAAACAATAATTTGTGAACACAGTGATGCGTTGCGCACGGTTTAAGGTAGCGTACTGACAAGTATCGCAAATAAGGTTGAGAGTGAGACACAAAATCACAATGCAAGAAAGAGCGGGATAGCACATGCGCTTCTTTTGTTAGACATTAACCGGTCGGGTCGGGTCGGTCGGCGAGCAGGTAAAAACCTTTAGTCATTACGCGTGCATGTCGCATTTTACGTGTCACAACTAGTTTTATAATAATTCGCGTAAATGAGCAGCTATTACTTATTGGGTGCGTTTGGCAGAAAAAAGCGCTAGCAAGCGCTTGTAAGCAAAATGGCGATCGTAAGCGGTAAGCGCTGTCAAATCGTAAGTAGCTATTTTCCTCCAGGACACGATGTTAGTTTTAACGGAGAACCTAACCTAATTTAAATATATGTTTGTAAAGCATTCATATTAAAAACTTACCAATCATGAATTTTTAATAACATATATATGTTTATTCATGTCAATATATTACTTAAAACTAATATTGCACAAAACAACTTATAAACTCTACTTCAAAACAAACAAATTAAATAAGCAAAATGGCGGATTGTGTCAGCGCTACTGAAGTAGCAATCGTGTCCTGGCCGAAAACTATTTCAGCGCTTGTAAGCGCTTGCTAGCGCTTTTTTCTGCCAAACGCACCCATTCTCATAGTGGTTTCTGTCAAAATTACGTTAATTACATTTTCAACAAAATCAGCTTCTCTGGAACTAAAATAGCATTTTTTAATGAAAATGCACTAGTATTGTATCTTTCCTAAATCACCATTAAACAAGCTATTTTTTAAGTTTGTTACCTGTTAATGTCATACTTTATGGGCATGCCGACCTAATTAGTGCATATATAGTACCCGGATAACCGAGCAAAGCTTGGTCATCCGGGTACTATATATGCACTAATTATATTATATTAAAATGTACCGAGTCTTCTGTGTAACATACTTTGATGGTGTGATCTACTTAAATTTTCATAAACGATTTAAAAAAAAATGTTCAATGCCAATAATTAAGTTAACATTAAATTTTTAATGAGATTATATTTTTTAATAATCCTACCTCTCCCAAAACTCTTCGTGTGATACAGCATCTGGTACCAACTTTTCATACTGCCCTTTCAAAATGGGATTCGATTCAAGTCTTTTTATTGCCGAAGAGGGCGTTATGACCCCGGCCTCCGTATTCTCGAGGCTGGAACGCCAGGCTTCGAACTCGGGACTGTACGCGGGCACTATGTACGTAGCATCAACTCGCTGAAGAGCTTCTAGCTCTTTCTATAACAGAAACAAAAAATATATTTACAACCCTAACATTTCTCATGGTTATAGAACATTTTTTCGATTTCTTATATCTCCAGATTTTTTTGCCATACTGTTACAGCCTATTGAAGTCCACTGCTGAACATAGACCTACTCCATAGTTTAGGATGAATGGATATTTGCCATAGTTGCCACGCTGGGCAGCCGCCATTTTTTTTAGTAGTTATTAGGAAGAAGCTGCTGCCCATATCATGACTTGTTAGCCTCTGTCGTCTCTTACGCACCTACGGGATGGTATGCGGGTAGTTGATATTCTTAGACTGCCACTACACGGTACATTGTTCTACTCAAGTACAAGTGTACACTAGAACACTTGCACTTCGGTAGAAGACTTGCCAGCAGTAAAGGATCAAGGCAAGTGTTCTATTGGCAATGGAAATTGTAGTTAATACACCGGTCACTTCACAATCTGCTTACGAGGCTGCCCAACGGCCCTTTCCCAATGGTGGTCGTTTCTACTAGATATGTAAAAGGCCCGTTGTCACTTCAGGTTATGTATCATCACTCATAGAGAGATATTCAGGATTAAACAGTTCACAATCTAGCCCAATAACTTTTGAGTAGTATGAATCATCCATCTTACGATCGTATATTCCGATTCCGACAGAAAAGAACACGGATACTAATAATAAAAACAGGGTTAGTTTTCGAGTAACGCAAATCAAATCTCGTATTCGGAGACATCATCATCATCATTATAGCCCTTCACAAGTCCACTGCTGAACATAGGCCTCCCTCAAGTAATTCTACAAAGCACGGTCCTGAGCCACCTGCATCCATCGACTTCCTGTATATCTTACCAGGTCGTCACTCCATCTAGTGGGGGGTCGCCCTACACTACGCCTACCGGTACGAGGCTGCCACGAAACCTTTTCCCCATCGGTTATCGGTTCTTCGAGCTATATGGCCGGCCCATTGCCACTTCAGCTTACTAATCCATTGGGCTATGTCGGTCACTCTGGTACTGCTGCGGATATCCTCATTTCTAAGTTTATCACGCAGAGAAAACCCGAGCATAGCCCTCTCCATAGCTCGCTGAGCGACCATGAGCGTCCTCATATGGCCAGCATTCAGAGACAACCTCAAGTTAATCAATCTCAAGTTGAACTTAAATTCCATTCAAAGTCGTATCGAGCGAGCGACAATTGCTGTACACAACAACAACAGTGGATTGTGTTCACAGTATGATGACAAATAAGGCATAATACACTAAGGTGTTCAAAGACAATCTCTTCACAATGTCAAAATTTGTGTAACATAGTATGGTGTGGACTCAAATTTGACACTGTTGAGTTTGAGTAAAATCACGAGATTGTATCTGAATCCGAGCTAGACTTAACGTCACTTAAATCAGGCAAAAAGTGGTTTATTGATAGTCTTAGCTTTGAACTGTTTCAAGATTTTTTTTAACGAAAAAATTCCCTTAGCCGCGGCGCTGTCTTAGCGAAATTTGACGTTTTCTGTCAAAATACATGCTTTTTAGTTTGCATTTAGTTTGTTATTTATTTATTTTACATTTTAATTTGCATATTTATGCAGGTATCTTTTTTAAAACGGATTCTAGTTTAAACCTGAGACTAAGTATAAACCACTTCTTGTAATAAGGCCGAACGTCAAGATTCGCCTGTTTACATTCGTTACCTAGTCTCGTTGGCTTTATTTTAAATAAACTTACTTTGTATGTGGACAACATTGTTGTATCTCCCGATGACAAGATTACTTCCGTATCATCTTCGTCGTCGGGTTCCGGATTCAAAACCGTGCTCACTTGACCTAGAAGAGTTGTATAGCTATAATCCTTTAAAGAATTTAGGTAAAAACAATTATACCAAACTAATTTTCGCAAATATTTTTTTCTTTTCCTTTTCTTGTCGTGTATTTGAGGCGAAAGGAAGCCACTATTCCATAACATCCCGTAGGTGTTATAAACCTGAATAAATAATCCAGAGCCAGACATGTGCCCCCCTTTTTCTAGTCCGTAGGCACGATTATTTAAACGTAAAATAAGAGATAGTTATATGGATGTTTGATATCCTTGGCAATCAGATCCACCGCGCTCTTACTCAAATTACCTTTTATGATTCCCTTTTTGCGACATCACATGGCTAACAAAATTCATAATAAATATATTGAAAGTGTTTGTATGTAATGTCAAAATAACAGCTTTGAAGTAAAAAAATATGAAAGTACATACGACTTAAAAAAAATGTAAAATATTTTGTCTGCCTGTTTCTTCCGGCTAACTTCCGAAACTGCTGGACCGATTTTGACGGAACTTTCACTGGCAAATAGCTGATGTTATAAGGAGTAACTTGGGCTTCTTTTATTTTAGATAAAGAATTTGGGTATCGCGAAAAAAATTTAAACTCATTAAATCCAGTCGCAATATATTCCACGCGGACGATGTCGCGGGTAACAGCTAGTCAAAAATATGAGGAAAAAGTGTGGTATGAGAGCAGTCACTTATAAAAAGAACGCTACGTTTATCTTATCGGATTTTATTTACAATATTATCTAAATCTCAATTTGCAAGTAACTTTAGGTTTCTTAAATAGTAAACTAGTTTGTTTAATTGAGAATTGCAAAATATTTTTTCGAAATCCCGGCATTATTCTGAGATAAACTTGAGTTTAAACAGGTCAAAATTAGAGTCTGGACCATATTAGATATATTACACTAATTTTGAAGACATCATACGTCATTAGACTTTCAACTTTCAGTCCAATGTTGGACGCTGAGGGTTGGTGGGTCATACAGTAATCGAAATGCTTGGAAGAAATATAAAATATAGCTAGACGAATCAAAAATGCTCTCCGGTATCTGTCTAAATATTTAAGATCTAGTTATTAAAGATTTTAAATATAGGATAGGGTGACAAACCAGCACACAGTCCACCTGATGGTAAGTGGTTGCTATGACCCATAGACATCTACATCTATACTCGATTACGAATCAAAATGATGCGTTGTCACCCGTGAGGACTAAGATGGAATGCCTCGTTTCCAGTAAAAAGGGTCTCCGGTTCTCTACACTCACCATACGAAACACAGCAGCATTAAGCTACTATTTTACGCTGGTATTCCGTGAGAGCGTGGTCCTTCCCCGATCGAGCCGACCCATTCGTGCTACAACTATACTACTAATATAACTGCAGCATGGCTCTACCAGGTATAAAAGGTTGAAAGATGTTAAAAATTAACGAAATAGATCGGCATAATAAAATAATATGATGTGTCGCGATACTAGATGCCGATATTCCGCCCTCCCTAAATTGCATGTACCGTCCCCGTCACTACTTATCCCAACACTAGGAAAGACACCATCGTCGATGATATCACACGTGTTTCGTCTCTAAATGAGGCATCCTCAGGTGAAATAGACGCGGTGGCTGACTGCTAATTTTAGTTAGTTGCGGCAGGTGTGGTGCACGCAAAGCTTTTTGCTCTTCATTATGTAAGACACGTCTTTTTATTACCGACTTCATAAAGGAAAAGGTATTCAATTCGACTCTATGTTTTTTATGCGTGTTACCCCATAACTTTTCTCTGGGTGAATCGATATTGTGTGTCTATTCGTGTGGTCCCATATAACGTCCTCCAGACCAAATTTCGGCCACGGCGGGCTTCCTTAACTGAGGCTAGCCACCGGCGCAGGACAGGATTATAGTGCCCAAGTGCATACGCAAGCACAGGTGCATCTCCCTACTCCCTCATTCTCATAATCCGATGGGACGGTAAACCGACACGACCGGAGAGAGATCAGGCGCAGGACCAACGGCTTTAGGTGCTTTCCGAGGCTTTCTGAGACACCGCCAACTTCCTGACTCCGGGCAGCTACTGAGAACTTCTTGACAGAAAAACTCAATAATTGATTTTTTGGTCCGACCCGGGATTCGAACCCAGGACCTCATGATCAGCAGTCGCACTACTACAAACACTAGACCAACGAGGCAGTCGTGTCTGGTGCCATATACATATAATCAAGATATGACCACATGCGTATTTAATTGACTTCGAACACATTGGTTCGGTCATATTAAAGTCGGTTGTACAAAATTTTTAATTTTACCACTTGATTTGAGTGTTTTATCATACGAATCCTTAGCTAATTCATTTTTAACATCTTATATATTATGGATTTTCGCCAAGTAACGCCTGTTTAATTAATGGGTAATCAATTTTTAAGACGTTTCTTACAGAAGTAAGAGTGACAACCAAGCACATATTCCACTCGATTGTAATAGCACACCTTTCTTTTAAATAGAATAAGGGTGACAAACGAGCACACAGTCCACCTGATGGTAAGTGGATGCTGTGGCTCGTAGACATTTAACCTCGATGAAAAATTAAAATTTGTTATCACCCCGGAGGACTAAGATGGAACGTCTCGATTCCAGCAAAACGGATCTCCGGTTCTCTACACTCACCATACGAAACCCAACAGCTTTAAGTTGCTATTTTACGCTGGTATTCTGTGAGAGCGTGGTCCTGCGCCGGTCGAGGCGACCCATTCGTGCTGCAACCATAATATAACTGCAATGTGGCTTTACCACAAGTAAGCTCATACCTACACCTATCCTCGATAAAGAATCATTATGCAGAAGCGTTGTCACCGGTGAGGGCCATGATGGGACGCCTCGTAATATGTAAAAAGGGTCTCCGGTTCTCGTCACAACTATAGTAAACACAGGATAATTACCTTATTAATCACGCTTTTATTAGCTTACGTATATAATTTATCTATCTATCTATATATACAACGGAATCTTTTAATGTAATTTTTAATTTGTGGAAGGCCGATCGGCTTGCAAATTTGCACTCGTATCAAGAACCAACGACAATACAATTTTTTTTTTACTTTATCGTAATATCCCGATGAAGAACACCAGGATAAAATAGAATTACTATCAAGATCATCACAGCGTATCATCAATCCGTGTTACGTTTTTTTAAACTCTTATATTATTTATACGTTAGTGCGAATTGGTCCTCCGCCGACCGGACTGACCAGTGACTATGCGCTTCAATGTTACTCTACTACCTAAAAAATTTGTACAATTTGTCGTATCTCGCTTGTATCTGACGGTATATAAACAGAAACAGAAACTTTTTTTATTTAATGTAGCATTGAAATCACATGGTTCGCAAAAAAACCTCTGTACTGGGAAGAACCAGCAAGAAACCCAGCGGGACTATTACTCTAAGTACGGTACTTATTTAATTTTTGAGCTATCAGGTATGCTGTCTTTCGATTAGTAGTTTTCTACGATACTGGTTAACTAATACGGTTATCAAGTGTCATGTGTAAGCCATAGAGATAATAAATAACAGAATGAACATTTTTTATCTATCAGATATGTTCTGTTTTTCTGAAAACGAGACGTTTTCTTTTTATTTGCAATAATAAATCCCAGCTTAACTTGCTGTTCTTATCAAAGTAACTCTCTTATATTTGAATAACTAATCGTAAAAATGTAACGTTTACTCTATTAATTACACGTGCTAGAGCCACCGCAACAACATATATTAGCATTATAGTATAGTTGTAGCACGAATGGGTCGGCTTGAACGAGGAAGGACCACGCTCTCACAGAATATCAACAAAAAATAGCAGCTTAACGCTGCTGTGTTTCTTATGGTGAGTGTAGAGATCCGGAGACCCTTGTTACTGGAAAGGAGGCATCTTAGTCCTCACGGATGTCAACGCATTTGCGTTTTGATTCGTACTCGAAAAAAAATAAAAATAATTCCGTTACTTACCAATGAACGTGCTAAAACTTTTCTTCATAACATTTGCTGGGGACTCTGGTACGTCGAGCTGGGAGTAAGAAAAAGTATTATGCATTAAACATAAGTAGATAAAAATAAAATCGAAGGAACAACCCAAAAATGTCTGAAGCGCATACGTAAAACACACTGTAGGCCGTGTGGTGGTGACGTAAGTGAAGCAATGGTTTCCCATTTAGTCCCGTGGATATAAAGACTTCTATGTATCGTACTAGACCGGCAATTCAGAACAAAATGTTTCACAACTGTGGAGCGCTCGAGCGGGCGCCGTCTGGCCGGGTAGCTGCCACGGTAAATATGCCACGCAGTTGTATGTTATGGAAACGAGCGTCGTCGATGGAATGAAATGATATAATGTTGGTAAAACCTAAGTAAACTATAAATATAACAACTTTTCCTTTTGGGAAATATGAAAAATACTACCTCAAATGGCTTAGCAAGATCCTCCGTTAAGCCGAAAATATTGCAGCATTAATTTTGAAATAAATATATAGTAAAGTTGAGGATTAATGTTAAGTACTATGTTAGACGAAAACACAATTCCGTAAAATTTTCTCGATAGAAAAAATTCCAAAGTTACCTCCAAACTGAACAATAAATCGCTGTTATTCATAAAATACTTTAAATTAGATCATGAAAATTTGCATACTAATTGAACTAAATGTATAAAGCAGGGCTTATGTTTTTTTAAATTACCATTATTTTCACTGTAAAAAGAAATTACCTAAACTATTGGCGTCTTGAAGCTTGGTTCCTGCCGCCCGGTCAGTCTCGCTTCGGCATTTGAATGGGGAAGCTGTGTCATTTACGATCAGGATACAGCTTACGTGACGGACGACGTAAAATTAAAATGGGAAATAACCGTAATAAAAATAAGAAGCGACTGGGTTGGCGTAAAGAAACAGGCATAAATATGATAAATCTAATGAAATTAGTATCTAACGACCTATATACTTACAGTATTAGTGATTACTAATATGTCGGTCGGTTTGTTAGTAAATTAATGCGCTAAGTTACTAACAAACATAGCATAACGCGCGGGAAAATGAGAGCGAAATTAGAATTTGAGCTGTTACTATATCCCCTTAAGACACTTCGGTTACCCTTAAAAATATTTCAAGAAGCTAAAACTTTATATACTTTAAACATTAGTAGTTATCTCACCGACACTTAAGTAATGTTACATTGTCCTTATGTACCTTAAAAGTCTTTCCTAGCACATTGGAGGTAGAACTGAAAACATGGCTCGCTTCACACTTGACCGCTGTGCCAATCTCGTCCAAGTCCTTCTTCACCATCGTGTATACTTCTGCGGACTGGATAAAAATATCAAAATTAAATATTAATAAAAAATAACGTTAAAATTTAGGCGAGTTAAAAGTCAGCTTAATTTAATCAAAGAAGCTACAAATGTTTGCGTGGCAAAGATCGCGGAGGAATGTAAACTATTAAATTAGATATTCGTTGCCGATTTAAGTATAATTTAGAGCAAAATGTTACTCCCTGCGACCGTGTAAATAACATAACAATTTAATACGGCCCATGAGCCATTACGACTCTTAAAAATATATACCTGAAACATCACAAACAACGTAGGTAAGTAAAGTATTGAGGTACTGTCGTACTTAAGTATGTTAAAGGTACTTTCGGAATGATATAAAACAATCTATTGCCTAATTTATTTATCTGTATATAGGCAATGGGTCGGTCATATAGGTCAAAGAACCAACAAACGATGTCAAAGAAAGGTTCTCAAGGGGCAGCCTCGCACCTTTAAGTGAAGTGCAAGGCGGCTGTTTGACAACCTTGTCAGACATGCAGGGAGATGAAAGATGCAGGTGGCTCAGGACCGTGCATTGTGGTATTCCTTGGGTGAGACTTCTGTTTAGCTGTGCATTTGTGAAGGGTTGTAGTTATGATGATGACGATGAAACTTTTAGTAGTGCTATTTAATAGATTGCACTAAAAAATCAAAAATAAATATTATATACGATTTTATATAATATATATAATCGTATATAATATTAATATATATTTTTTATATATTTATATATATTTTTAGTTTAAGAAGAATTAATTGCTAACAGTTGTCCACACCTTTGTTATCCCTCATACCTTTCAAACGTTATAAACGTTAGTTTGTTGTGTAAACTATACTATAGTTGTAGCACGAATGGGTCGGCTCAACCGGGGAAAGACCACGCTCTCACAGAATACCAGGGTGAAATAGTAGCTTAATGCTACTGTATTTCGTATGGTGAGTGTAGAGAACCGGAGACCCTTTTTACTGGAAACGAGGCTTTCCATCTTAGTCTTCACGGGTGACAACCCATATGCATTTTGTTTTGTAATCGAGGATACATGTACGTGTCTATGCCGCAGCAACCACTTACCATCAGGTGGACTGTGTGCTCGTTTGTCACCTTATTCTATAAAAAAAAACAGAAATAATACAGTAGAAGCACTGCTGCCCGGCGACAGAAACTTACAATAGGGTGGTATCGAATAACAAAGTTCGAAGCAAAAAAGAACCCCACAATTTAAAACAAATTTACAGCCTATATAAGTACCATAGTTGGGCACAGGATTCCTTTCATTTCTGAGAGGGTGTCGCATTGGGACAGGGCGACGGGCATTTCCTTGCCCTAAAACCCTATAATTGTAATTCATAAAGAAATGCAGCAACAATAGATTGTACGTTGTAACTGAATCGGGCACTCCTTTACTTGCAACGTGGCATTCTTTGGCTTCAGTAATGATAACGCATCTTAAATCATACATCATGGAGACAACTTAGCTTAAGCCGTGGGCACAGCAACTTTTTTTCGCGCAATTTGTCGTAAAATTCAATTAATGTATTCATCATTATCATTACAGTCCTTCACAATTCCACTGGGGGCTTTCCTTTTGTAACTCTCGTTATGGGAGTGTATTGACATAGTTGCCACGCTTTTGGCGAGCGGGTTGGCAAACACAGTTTTTTTTATTGTTTTTTGTTGTTACCAGAGAGATGCTGTTCCCCATCTTCTACCTCAGTTTTCCTGTGTCGCCTCTTACGACATCCACGGGAAGATATAGGTAGTGGGTATTTATACCCGCCACTACACGGGAAAATTAATAAATAAATAAATTAATGTATTAAATTTAGTAATTCAGTCGATTTTGTAGTGTTTAACATTTAACTTATTTTATATTTTATTGCCAGGTTTTTCGAATAGATGGCGCTGATGTATGACTGTTTAGTTATAATTTAAGAAATTTGACATTGAACATCACGTTGCTTACAATGTAATCGAAACCGAGCTAACCGGTCCTAATACTCAATAATACGTTACTTCATATTGTTCCTATGAATTAATGTGCTAAGTTACTAACAAACAACCGCAAAGAGATTGTAGTTGTGTATTGATATTTTTTCTACTAGATTAAAAATATACCATTCTATATGTTCCGGCATAGATGAGTGATATTGGACCGAGCCGTGGTAGCTCAGTGGTTAACGCTCGCTGTAAATATAACAGAACGCGAGTAACCCGGGTTCGATCCCCGCCGGCACCAATGAAATTGTTAATTGCAATTTTAAGTGCTGATTTACCACGTGCTCGGCGGTGAAGGAAAACATCGTGAGGAAACCTGCATGTCTGAGGAATAAGAAAAAAAATATTTCGAAGACATGTGAAGTTCGTCAACACGCATTTGGGCAGCGTGGCGGACACTTCCTTGCCCTAAAACCCTCTCAGAAATGAGGGGAGGCCTGGAGCCCAGCAGTGGGACGTATATAGGCTGTAAATTTACTTTACTTTACTTATATGTTCCGGCATAGATGAGTGATATTGGACTTTGATTGATAGTAGGAATCGACGTTGATTATAAAATCGTAAGTTGTCCCTAAATTACATCACCCGTAGAAGAGTATAGTACTCGTATAATATCATCAATGTAATATTGACATTAATAAGCTAATAGATAATAAATAAGTTTAATGATTTCTTAAATTTACGCGAACACTTACACATTGAATAAAACTATTAATTTACGTATTATATCGCGTTTAATTACAACTTTAATTTATTTTTATTTATCCCGACGTTTCGGGTGCTTTACAGCACCCATGGTCACGGGGGGGGACTGAGATGTTTGACGTCCCAATGTCATATTAGTCCGGCTACCTTCAGTTTTTTGAATATTAATTTTTGGTCCGATTTACGCAAAACGAGCTTATAGTATCATGAACTTGTACAACCTTGAAGTTTTTGTGAATAATGCTACGTAAAATTCCACTTAGTTAACGACATAAATTTCACAATAATTTTGGAATTTTACGTTGTAGAGCCATGCTGTAGCTACATTACTGGTATAGTTGTAGCAAAAGTCGAAGGATCCTAATACGACGCTCGCACAAAATACTAGCGTAAAATAGCAGCTTAACGCTGACTTGTTTCGTATGGTAAGTGTAGAGAACCGAAGAACATTTTGTCACGACTACCTTTTCATTACACATACATAATAGATATACTACATAATAGAACATACTATAATGAGTTTAAGCTCGCGCACTCTAACGGGTATTGCAAACAACCTAGTTTTGGCGTTTTCTCTAGTATGTAATAGCTATATTATAGCATTATTACATTATCTGTGGCCTTGTTAGTTTGAAGACGATTACATTTGTCGATAAGCTGCGACTGACACCTACCTTCAAGTGGAATATTTGCCTGACAGTTTAAAATTATAAAAAAACTAATAAATAAAATCAGTAAGTATGCTTTTGTAAATCAATTACAGTCACCAACTTGCTTTTTAGCTAGCTGTAATATTTAATGCGAATATCTGTGCGATAAGATCAGACATCAGATCACAGGTCTGTATTTGGTGTAGAAACCTAATTTGTGGACTTCACCCACTGACCTCTATATATACAAGTACGCTGGACTGGCTATACACCGTGTCATGCTGAAGCGATTTGATTTCCGCCATTTTGGCGCTGACAGCAGAAGTGCACGTCCACGGAACTAATAATAGGGATAAGACAGTGTACCAAATTATATCGATAAAAATTCTATACCCTACCTATACCTTAATAAATAGAATGGACTCTATGGATAGATGGACTCTACCCGTAACGTCCATTATTTTTATGTATCATATTAATATAATGCCATTATCATTCATCATCATTAAAACCCTTCACAAGTCCACTGCTGAACATAGGCCTCCCTCGAGGAATGCCACAAAGCACGGTCCTGAGCTACCTGCATCCATCAAATTCCTGCATGTCTTACGAGTTTTTGACTCCATATAGTGGGTGAACGTCCTACACTTCACCTGCCGGTACGAGGCTGCCACTCGAGAACCTTTTTCTCCCATCGGTATTCAGTTCTTCGAGCTATATGGCCGGTCACGACGGTGGCCATTCAACTATAAATTATTAAGATTAAACTACACAAAATAAAAATAAAAACATAATTTCTAAAATAATTTATTGTCAACTGTTCATTTAGTTCTAGTATTATAAAAAAACAAATCAGCTGCTATAATAACGCCTATTCTAATCAACTACAGGTCTGTCTATGGACAGTAAAATATTTTCTACTATATAAAAATTTATGTTTGTTCGTTCTTTCTTCAATGCCATACCGTTCATCAGATTGTGGTCAAACTTAGTCAACTTATTGGTTGCACTTCTGCAAAAGAAATACGCATGGTACAATTAACTGACACTAGGTGGCGTGCGTATTATACCGACTATTTATTTGAAAGTTATAGTTATTGAAAGTTATATATCATTCTAATTCAATGATTTTATTATCATTCATATTATATTGTATAAATATAACTGTTCTGTACTGTACTGTTAATATAACATTTTTAACGATATTTCCACAATTATTTCTTCTTGCTATGCGCCGGTTACGAGCTAGAAAGATAATATAAAATAATATAAACTTTAAATTACATAGTTATCAGTTATTTACAAAGTCATTTTCGAAATTAAAATCACAATATTAAAAAAAATAACTGAAATTATCATCCCACCTATAAGTCCTACTTTCTTTGGTATCGTCCCAAGAATGCTGGCTACGTGTCCTCACTGAATGGCTATACTTAGCATTAAACCGAGGAAACAACTAGCCCTCTTATTACCAGTAGCGATGATCAGTCGCAGATACAGTTTTTTAGGAACTACACCGCAGGTGCACCCTACGGACCAATAGTCTCTACAGCAAATTGCACAAATATGTACTTATCTTCCAGATACTCGGCTATTTACATGGTTCAGTTGCCTCTAATGACACCCCTGCTTTAGACGAGGTACCCCTGAGATGGGATGCTGTCAAAGCGTTCGCAAGTAGCATCCCACACTAAAGCTTTATCTCTCTCTCTCTCTCTTTCAAGCAACCAAACCTATACCGTCGGGTCTCCTGGTATCGTCTCTAAATATTCTACAAAGATCTTAAACCGAGGAAACATTAATAGAGAGACGAGTTGCACTACGGACTCCCCCGAGCCCGATATGTGAATGGAGCCAGGGAAAAACAAGCACTTGGAAGCATCAAGTTGTGCAGCCTCACCAAAGTCGCAAAAGATAGTCGAGTGGCGCATCGCCCTTACGACTCTACCTCAACTACAGCTGTCCAGAAAGAGAAATCTCCTTTAGCCGCAGCACACTAACACACATCCAACGTGGCTCGACATCATCAGGCGATCTTTCGACACTTGGCTATGGCCCTTGAGTTTAGTGGAAAATGAGGAAAGAAGAAATAAAAAAAAAACATTCGAAATAATAATCTAATACTTTTATACTTACTGGTACTGGTACCAGAAAATATTGTCGGTATACTGCACTTTTTCAAAGTGATACAGTTCTCATGTCTAATAAAACAGTCGTCTGTAAAATGTTTGGAACAAATATGATCATTTTGTTTCGGACGCCAATTTACAATATTTATGCTTTTAAGCCATAATTTTAGTCTAGGTTCAGTTGGAAACCTGTTAATTAATAAACATTTGATAATCATACGTTGTTGGTGATTTTTTTGTTAACAAATATGGGTAAGAAAGAACATCGATAAGTATTATAGACAAGGAACTCGACAACCCTATTTAATTTTATTGTTTATCAAAACTCAGTAATATACACCCAAACATGTTAGTATATATGATATTAAGATTAGTAACAAATTTTTAAGTACTTATATTATCAAATAGTTTTAATTTGTTTAATATTTGCTGCAAAATCACTTACTTGTGAAATGTTATACCACTTCCCTTTTGGTAACGAGTTTTACAGATTACGCACACTCTCATTATTGATAAAAATAATTATTATTATGTAACTAATATTATACATATTCAAACAACAAAATACTTTCGTTTTGTAGTTTAAAAGTTCAAAATACAGACTTATGAAATAAGACAATATAAATAAGACAACAGACTTTGGCATATTACGTCAATTTTATTTTTCAAGACATCCTTTAGCGGCGCTTCAAATTGGCACAGTCATTTTGTATGGTATAGCCAGTCCAGCGTACTAGTATATATAGAGGTCAGTGACTTCACCGCATAGGTTTCATTTGACTTTAACTAAACCCAACATCTGTAATTTAGTAGCTTACTAACTTACTAAGCCAAAAAGTCATCAAATTATAGTCACTAATATATTTCAGTATCAGTTCAAGATTAAGTTAAAAACCAATACATAAAAACAACCTATTATACGGGCAGCGATCGATGTTACTTATCAGACATATAATTTAATACCATAATACAGATTAAGCATTATCTTGCTATAATAAATAGGTGAGACATTTATCTATCGATATGAATACACGATTATAAAACTGATAATATCGCATAACATGACTTTCACAGGGCCTATTTCAACCAAACATATTTATAACTTATCAACAGCGTATGTAGTAGTCGCACCCGGCTGAAACGTATTACGGGTGCAGCATTATTGAGTCGACGCGACAGGGTAAGGACTCCATAATGCTGCTGTGTTTCGTATAATGAATAACAAGCATCGGAGAAGCATTTCACTGGTAACGATGCATTCAATCTTAGTCCTCAGAGATAATAGCGCACGCGTTCTGGCACAGTATCCAAAGGACGATAGCAACACGGCCACAATTGTTTTTAAAAACTATAATCTTTCATTCAACACAAAAAGGACCGGTGGAAACCGAAGTTGGACTGCTCGAGTATTATGCTACCGCGATTCTGTATCATTACATCATCACTCTGTTACCAAGTTTAAATGATTTATTATACAAAAACTGTATAAAAAGGGTTATTATAATATAAACGAATACGTGGTTTTTAGTGGGAATCCCTGGGAATGATGAGGTCGTTTCCAAGCTGTTATTTTAAAATTTTACTTAAAAAAATAGTCGCGCTAGGTTTCTTGCTGGTTCGTTCCAGGACAGAAGTATTTTTCCGAACCATTGGCAAAATATTGGAATGGCTTTCAGTAAGCATTATTTTTAATCTATATTGAATAAAAATTATTCTATTCTTTTTTTACGTCTTCGCGACTAATAAAGCTCCTACGTCGTGTAATATTGTCAAAGATGTAAGTTTATTACACATATCACTGTGTCCCTTGATCCATTGCAGAGTCACAACAATGTGACTCTGCTGTGATAAGACACAGTGGATCTAGAGGCAAAAATGCAGCAGATGAACTGGCCAGAAGGGGATCGGCTCTGGCAACTATAGGGCCGGAACCTATAATACCAATCCCCTTAAGCTACGTTCGTTCGCTGGTACGCAGATACTTCAATATTTTACACGCTCAGCTTTGAAAAAATTTAGTAGACTGTAGACAAACTAGGGAGGCCCTACCTAAAATAAACAGTCTAGACGACTGTCTACTCTGACCAAGGTTCTAATGAGACTGAACAAGCCACAAACAGGATAGTAACAAGTGCTATCGCTTTGTTCACTATAGCTGTTACTGATAGCCCTCTGTGCAGAGCATGCATGGGAGAGGAAGAGACTGCGGCTCACGTGTTGCTGATATGTCCAGAAGTAGGGCTAAATATCTCGGCACGCCGGGATCGCCCCCCGAAGTAGCTCGCAACATCAAAGGACTGTTGAACTTCTTCGGGGAATTATCATGGCTCGAATAACCACATTATTCCTGCTCACACGCAAAATACGCGCTTAGTCGTGAAGTTGCGGAAAACAGCCCGTCGTAAACTAAACTAAACTAAAAAAACTACACATATCACGCTCAATCTAATTTGAAGGTGGCCTTTAGGTTGAGATTTACCCTTCCTTAGGAGGATCTCACCTTTTTTCACCACCTCACCCTGTCATGCGTAGTGTAGAAATGTAAGTTGTCACACAGACAATATGAAATTTTTTTTAATAACAAGCTTTGAATAGGTTTTTTAACTGTAGTTATTTTCTACTTTAATTTGTAAAAACTATTTTAAAACATGGTTATGAAAAACTATACTCTACGAAGATTCTACGCTAAATTGAGGTAAGAATAATTTCAATTCAATTATGTTATTAGCGTGTCCCTTGACCTAAATCTTAAATACTTTAAAATAAAGTCGATTTTTCATTGTTTTGCAATTCAGTAGCCGTCTTTCTGTGTAACTATGTAATCAATAAAGACTACCTACATACAATAGATTTTGTAATAAACTCAGATAGATATTGTAACCTTTGGGTACATACTCTTCAGCACATTTTAACGGGATAAAGCCTTACAACAACTATATCACGATTGCAGCACGAATGGGCAGGTTAAGCCAGAGGAGGACCACGTTTTCACAAAATATCAGCGTAAAATGGCAGCTAAATGCGTGTGTCGTATGGTGAGTGTAGAGAACCGAAAACCCTTTTTACGGGTAACGAGGCATTCTATCTTAGTCCTTAGGGGTGACAATGCATCCCCCCCGAACGGGTTCCCGCCTTGTCGTGGCGGGGGGGCTTAGTAGCCGTGGCGTGGTCTCCCACGGTGAACAAAGAGGAACCCACGTGGCTGGCCCGAGGTGAAGGGCCGGCCTGAGGTGGCCACTCCGAGTGGGCTTGGGGAGCCCACTTCGGATGTGTGCTGGTGGACTGCAGCGAGTGGGGACTCCGCACCCTCTACCGCTGCAGCCGAGGTGGAGTCGCGGAGGAAGAGGAGTGTTGGTATGGCGATGCGCCACTCGCCCTATCCTCCGCGACTCAAACGGGGCCGCACCGTTGATGCGGTGGTGATGGGGCTGCGGGGGGAGAGGATTGTCGGTATTGCGAGGCGCCGCTCTCCCTATCCTCCGCAGCCGAATCTTGGTTGGCGGCGAAGCCATAGACCAGATCCGCCGCTGGGGTCGGGAAGGCTAGTACTTCTAAGTCCTCGTTTTTCCTGGCCCCATGGCCTTCGCGCATCGGACGCGGGGGGCGACTGTTGCGCAGATGCAATTGGAGGCCGTGGAGGAAGGCGTGCCATGTGTTCTGGTGCGCCTTACTTGGGAAGGAGAACGGGGAGGAATATTCCTCTCCCGAGGAGGTGCTGCCATGGGGCGGCAGTCGCTGGTAGGGCCGCGGAATTGTGCGAAAGCGTTCCCGTAGCCCTGCCAATATGCGACGAAGGTGGAACACCATGGGGTTTTAGTCGGTGCGAGTCCAACATAACCAGTCCTTGCCCCCGCGAGGAGGGTATGTGTAGGCATTTCCCCATGTTAAAAAAAAGGGGTGACAATGCATCTACATTTTGATTCAAAAATCGAAAATATATGTAGTGTCTATTGGCCAGAGCATCCACTTACTATTGGGCTAGGTGCTTCTTTGTCACCCTTATTCTAAAAATAAACTTCGATATTCCCACAGTTAGTCCCACTGTTAGTCAAATTAATTACACACTGTATCCCACAAATATTACCTGAAGATTTGACTTACCTTCGTTTTGGCCGATGATAGCCATGAGTCCCACCAGTTTCCAGATGGTTTCTCTTCTTGTGAGGGTGTACTTGCTGTCTCATTGGTATTTGTTTCGCACCTAAAGCAAATGTTTTATCAATTTATGCATCTTGAGTGGTTGATTAAATTTGAAAGACATAAATATTATTTACTAAAGGAAAACTCTGTTAATTCATTTCTTATATGTTCTAGTCACAAAATCAATAGTTGAATACAAATTTCACTAAAGTTGAGTTAGGTGGAGTGCGATTTTTTTAATTACTTCTAAGCTTTATCACAATCTAGTTTATCCTTTCTTTTTTGAGCTACTTTCGACACTACCATAACTTTCTACATACTTATAATCTTGCATGTTTAATAAGACTCCCACAAACCTATTATAGATTTTTTTTATAACTTGGATAGATATTGTTATTAAGGTTTGAATTGTTATTAAGGTATGAAGTGTCAGTATTATTGCTCCCTGACTGACTCACTCATAAACAAACTAGCTCACTGATGATTAACACTTTTTTAGGTAATTAAAAAAAAGTGATGCGTAAACAAGCAAGCAGAAAAAATCTTAAAGGTCATATGTATACATATATCTATTCAAAAATTATGGATATCCACAAAATAAATGTGAAAGTAGACCTAATTTCAGTAAAAACAATGTTCGAGGTTGTCGCCTTGGCCAATAAAACAGTTGTATAATTTAAGAAAAGGTATTTAAGTTCCATAGCGCTTCCATAAATCTTGCCAAATTACAAAGACAATATCAAAGAACAACAAATTTTATTCTATAAAATAATTTATTTTAACATTTTTATAGTTACGATATAAGGTACTGTTATGGAACTTAGCACACATTACAATTACAATAGTTATATCTGCATAGCTGACAACTTCGATCATTGTTTGTACTTACCCAAATTTTTCAAAAGAATACTTTAGTATAATGTTGTATAGTATTTTGCTTTGAGGACATGCAATTGACACTGAAATTATAATTGTTTTACAGAACAGCAATCTAATCTTAAAGCCTAAAGAGTCGCTCAGACAAAAATTTAAGTAAATTAATATATATCAACCAAGGTTACCTTTCAATACATTTATGAAAATGAAATGTGCATACACAAAAATAAAAATAAGTTTAAAAAATAAGTGACATTCATTCTGTACATACTAGGAACACACACAAGCTAGTTGTAATAGTTACTCAATTCCACTGAATCAGTAATTCATTCTTGGGGATGGAGATGTATATGCTTTTACTACCCCAGAAAATATACAAAATTTGACCATCTTAAAGTTCAAAAACTTAATAAAAAAGTTTTTGTTTCTGTTTCCTATGTATAAAACTAGAAATATGCTTGAAAAACAAAATTAGGATCATGATGGAAAGAATTGTTTAACAGAGTAAGAAATATACCTAAGAAACACATAAGAACAAATTATAGATACAGTAAAGAAGCTTAAATGAAGATGTATCATACATAATCAGAAGGAAAAACAAGGTAGACTTCATCAGATATATGGATTTGAGGAGACATTAGGCCTTTGCAGTTACAAAACAGTGAATATTTCAAGTTTGGCAAATACCAATGAATTCTGACTATCTCAAGTATTTCATAAAAGTCACACAACAGTTTCTGAGGCAATTTAAAATATAAATATATGTGTAATGTCCAATGTCATTTAAAAATGAATCTATTAACTGTAATAGTAATTGTTATGAGATATTGATAAAGGACTATCATTATTATTATTCTAGTAATGAAAGGGGTAAAAATTGTAATAACATCTGCATCAATTTGTTATTTTTAAAGCAGTGTGTAACTATTACACAATGTGTTTGATGAAGCAATTTTTTTACAGGTTTTGTTTTTTTAATTCACATTCTTATATTCCCAATGTTTCAAATAATTGTAATCATTTGATGACCAGAAGGTAAATTCATCATTTATTATTCATTACAGCACTGCTGAAAATTACCCCTTTCTATAGAGTCCCTCATAAAGAGTATATTTGCAGTTGCCACTCTTGACAGACAGATGACTTACGGATCTGAGATGTGGTCCTTCACTGTTGGCCGTATGAGGACACTCAAGGTCGCACAGCGAGCTATGGAGAGGGCTATGCTCGGAGTTTCTCTGCGTGATACTCAGAAATGAGGATATCCACAGTAAAACCAGAGTGACCAACATAGCCCAACGGATTTGTAAGCTGAAGTGCTTATAGAAGGCCATATAGTTCGAAGAACCGACAACCGATGGGGAAGAAAGGTCCTCGAGTGGCAGCCTCATACAGGTAGGCGTAGTATAGGGCGACCCCCCACTAAATGGAGTGACAACCTGGTAAGACATGCAGGAAGTAGATGGATGCAGGCGGCTCAGGACCGTGCTTTGTGGCATTACTTGGGGGAGGCCTATGTTCAGCAGTTGACTTGTGAAGGGCTGTAATGATGATGATGATGACTCTTGACAGGTAGGTAAGCCAACTAAGTTTTTATTCTCTAATTGTTAATACGAAGATGCTACTGCCTTTCACAATTTTTGGTTCTCTGTTGCTTCTTAGATAACAATGGGATGATTTGAGGTAGTGGATATTATTAAACCACCACTAAATGGTCTAAAAAGTAAATAATTAAAGTTTATTTCAAATGTAAAGTACAAAGTTGTTTTTTTAATATTTAAATCTAGTCAATAATAATGGAATTAAAGCTTTATGCAAAAGTGATGGTGTGATAACAATTTACACATTTTTTATACAATATATATTTTGTGACTGTTTTGAAAAGTGGTTATTAACTTTCTAAAGATAAAAGTACGATAATAATTGGGAAAACTAATTTATAAGAGGGTTTTGGGCAAGTGAAAATAAACATTTGGGGGTGGTAGCAGACTTCACATTTCCCTGAAATTTACAGTAACCAAAGCCTTAAGCTCTAACGCAATATTTATAAAATTAATTTCTGTATTAAGCTTTTCATTTAATAATCTAAATGGCAATCTGAGGTTATTCATTCTTGATAAAGTATTGTTCAAATTATTTATGAATAAATACTAATGAGAACTTAAAAACTATATGAAATGGTACAAATATCCAGCTGAATGCATATTTTTTAGTTTTTAGACTAACTTAATTAAATAATGTTAGTGTTAATGCAAATATGATTATTAAGTCAATAAACACTCATGCTAAAGACTTTAAACTAATTTACTAATTCATTTAAAAAAATCTTAATTCCTAGGAGAAACAGTATTACAAAATGAATACACGATGAAATCTTTTGAACAAAGGTATAAACAACATTATCTATATTACCTTGATGCTATCGTAAATTTCTTAAATAAGTACTAATAAATAACTTAGGCATCAAGGCAGTAAAACAGGAGAAAAACTAGTTCCCTTAGCGATTATGCTTTTAGATGTGTTGTTATTTATTTTCATAACTGTTCATTTCATGGTGTCTTAACATCAACAAATACAAAACAAAGATAAAAGATAAGAACTTACTTTTCAGCCATCGTGTCAATTTTACTCTAAACAATGTTATAAAAGTAGAACATGGATTTTTGCACAAAAACTTTGTATTGCGTGAATATTTTTGTTAATAGGTACACGAAATTTAGAATTAATTTTGACTTGACATAGTTTTGTTTGCGTTGACAATTGACATAGTTTTGTTCGCATTTGTTTCTTTTTATTTTATTAAGATTTTTGGCTTGAATGCTTGTTTTTTAAGCCATATCCTCATTCCATTTGAGATCTTCGCATTTATAGATTATGGTTCATAAAAGATAGCTTAATCTCTGCGATATCATCATCATCATCATCATTACAGCCCTTCACAAGTCCACTGCTGAACATAAGCCTCCCCCAAGTAACGCCACAAAGCACGGTCCTGAGCCACCTGCATCCATCGACTTCCTGCATGTCTTACCAGATCGTCACTCCATCTAGTGGGCCTACACCCTACACTACGCCTACCGGTACGAGGCTGCCACTCGAGAACCTTTCTTCCCCATCGGTTATCGGTTCTTCGAGCTATATGGCCGGCCCATTGCCATTTCAGCTTACTAATCCGTTGGGCTATGTCGGTCACTCTGGTTTTATTGGGGATATCCTCATTTCTGAGTCTATCACGCAGAGAAACTCCAAGCATAGCCTCCATCCTACCATCTCCATAGCTCGCTGAGCGACCTTGAGCGTCCTCATACGGCCAGCGGTGAAGGACCACGTCTCTAATCCGTAAGTCATCACTGGCAACACGCACTGGTTGTACACTTTAGTTTTCAGAGATTGAGGTATACCTGACGAGAAGATGTGTGCATGAACCATGAACTGGACGCACTTATCCGGCACGAGAACATCGTCAGGTCATGTAAGTCGCAGCGACTGAGGTGGGCGGGTCACCTTGAAAGAATGCCGGACACTAGAGCCGTAAAAATAATGACAAAGTGGACGCCGCAACAAAAGAGACCGAGAGGCAGGCCTAAAAAGCGTTGGAGTGACTGTGTGGAAGAAGATCTCAGGAAGATGGGAAAGTTTACCAGCTGGAAGAAGGTAGCCAGGCAGCGTGACAACTGGAGAAGATTGAGGAGGCCAAGACTCACAAAGGGTTGTAGCGCCAACGGAAGTAAGTAAGTAAGTAACTCGCCTTCATTTCATATATCTAAATCAAAAGCTGGTTCGAAAAGCATACCAGTCTCTACCTGCGCTCATTGAAGGGAACCTGGTGCAGACATTCATCGACGGCATCCGCGACCTTGATGTCAGAGCTGCTGTGAGGCTCGGGCACCACGAGACGCTTAAGGACGCCCTGGCCTTTGCACTGGAGGTGGAAACCGTGCGGCAGGATCATCGTTCCGATCGCGTCATGGAGTATTGAATTGGCGATACAAGCGAAGACTTCGAAGTGATACACTTTGCGAACTAAAGTATTAAGTGTGATTAATTATAAGTGTGTTTTAAGGTTTAATTGGTGTTCGGTAATTAAAGTGTCAATTATGGTAATTCAATCGGCAGTTTTTTTATGAACCCTAAGCTCGTAACAATAATATTAACTCTTCAATACCCATAAAATTCCCATGCAGTCGCATGCGCCTGGTTAATCCCGAGCGATCGCATGCGACCGCACCCACCCACAGCACTTAAAACCATTAAAACTTATATTTAGAGACTACTTTTCTAGTAAGAAGTTCGACATTATAAAATCTAATCAAAAGTCAGGTTTTACTTCATTACAAAAATATTTAATTGTATTTTGATAACAAAAAAAAAATCCCAAGCGGATGTTGGCAGCGTGAAAATCACAATTATTTCTATATACTACTCGAAATTATTTAAGTAGAAAGGTAAATTATATTCACACAAGAACCTTTATAACAATTTTATAATAAAACACTACAGTAAAATAATAATAAAACACTAGAAAAATCCAAAAACCAACACAACAACATTCAAATGAAAATGGCGTACGTAGTGTACGTAGAATATATATTAATATCCATAGACTAACTGGTTTTTTATTCAACTAGAGGATATGAAATTTCATATTGATTCTATATGCCAAACTTCTTTACAGAAAAGTAGTCTCTAAATATAAGTATTTATGGGTTAAAGTGCTGCGGATGGGTGCGGTCAAATTTGACCTCTTGAATTTTGACGGAATATTGAAGCGGTTAAATTTGGACGCTTGGCGTTTGAGAGGTTAATCTGATGTGATGCTGATGTGTAAACCATTTTGGTAAAACAGAATATGTACAATTACAGAAATTAGTGTAGTAGAGTTAGAACAGTGTATATGTGGATGGAGTAAGTTGATGGCGCTATTATTGGATTAATTAAAACCATAGAATACTATAATACATACATAATAGAACGGGAGAGTGGGCGGAGCCCGCGTAGCCACTAAAATGTCACTAACACGTCAATTCACACGTATAAATGTCAACACGAGATGTGTTTTAACGTTACAATCGTTTCCAAATTTCGCATGCAAATTATTTAGAAAATGCCAAATTGCACCATATTTACAAATAAATATGTATTCAAATTTAATGATGATCTTGAACATTAATCAAAAGTCTATAATTTGTGAATTTACTCAGTCTGTCAACACAGCGAATTGGGTTTGGCGACGCCAATCCTCGTATAAAATAAGGTTGACAGCCATTCTATTGTGTATTAAAGTATTCTATGATTAAAACTATGAAAATCAAAACTGTTCCCTCTATTAATATAAGTAAAAGTAAGTTGAGGTGCGACTGAAGTGGCCCAATCGCACGACAAAGCCGAACGCATAATAATACATAAATTAGGCATAAAATAATGGATCCCGTGCGGTAGAAAATAAAATTATTTTACGATATGACCATTATCAAGAATTAATAATGTTGTGTTTAGTTGTAAATCATATATTAATGTCTTTCTAATATAGTATAGTAAATCGTATAGTAGTACCAGTAGTTGTAAATCGTATAGTCATATTTTTACGATAGGTGCTTCGGAGTTAGCACCGGTCTAACGTAACGGAAAAGACATGTAATTATGAACTTATGAAAGACAGCTTTAGTACACTCGATTATTACTTAGTAAAAATGCGACCGCTCAGTCCTGTCCAACTACAGGCTTATTTCCATCGCCTCCTTGTTCTCCAAAATCATGGAACCATTTAAACTGCCAACTCATAATAATTATACTTCTAATCTTATAATTTACTATGACTAATTCTTAAAAATTTATATGGCGATGATAATTTACCATGACAAAAGACAGTTGAAAAATTAGCCCTTAAAAAAAATTATAAAACATTATGAAGTCAGTTGTATATTATAGTGAATAGAAAAATTGTAGAATCGACTTCAGAATGTAAATTTATTTCATGCTTTTTAGCTCTTTGAAGTCGGGATTAAAGTTATTGTTGTAGGTACCCTTATGAGGGGACTAAAGAATATAGTCCACTCAAAAGGGATGTGGTAGAGCCACGATGCAACTATATTATGGTTGTAGCTTGAATGGGTCGGCTCGACCGGGAGGACCATCCTCTCACAGAATAACAGCGTAAAATGGCAGCTTGATGCTGCTATGTTTCGTATGGTGAGTGTAGAGATGCGGAGACCGTTTTTACTGCAAACGAGACATTCGATTTTAGTTCTCAGGGGTGACAATGCACCTGCATTTTGAATTTTAATCAAGGATATATGTAAATGTCAATGGGCTTCAGCATCCACTTACCATCAGGTGGAATGTATGCTCATTTGTTAACCTTATTCTATTTTAAAAAGTCTTAATCTCAATGTCTGTATGTATGTATAATGTATATACAACATGTAACAAAAACCTAACTAGGTACCTAACTTAAATGTGTTATTTTGAAAAAATATATATTTCTATACACCTGAATACTGATTCTGATAACGCACTTAACGGGAACCACAGGGTTTTTGTTACATGTTTTATAGAACCAACCTTGAAGTGTTAAACTATTTAATAAAAAAAAAGAATCATCAAAATCGGTTCATAAGTAAAGATCCACCTTTTTTCGAAGTCAGCGAAAAATTAACTATAATTACATTTGTACAATTTCTTATGGAGGTTTTATTAATTTGCGTTGGCGGGAGGATGTATCCTCGTACCTAATCATTGTTAACGGATTATTCAATAAGGTATTGAGGCGAATATTTTTATAAATAAAACCTGAGGCTTAGCGCAAGTTCAAGGAAGATGTCTGTACTACGATATGGGAGCACGTTGTTTGTTTTAAATGTATACCGGGCAAAACAGGATATGATGGCTGCTTACCAAGTTATGATCTTATTCTTATATCTTAATTAATAACATATCAATAAAAGTGCAGTGCTTTAAGCAATTATGTTATGTTAACATAAGTCTCCATTATTAAATCCCTTGATAAGATTGTTTCGTTGGGGGACATAGGCCGCGCTTTGCCACCACGCTTGGCAGGTGGGATTGGATCCATAGCTTTTATTATTACTATGTAAGTTTTTATTATTATATTCTCAGGAAGATGCTGCTGCCAACATATCCTTTTTATTTCCATCTGTCATCTGCCCCAGTTGCTTTGGTGTTCATAATTAACACGGCAAAGTTTATTTTTTATACGTTATTATTTTTTAATTTTGAAATTCTTTGGTAACGGGTGGATTACCACATGCAATTTTTTTTAAATAACATCAAAATGACCTTGATGATTTTTTGAAGTGAAAACTTCCTCAGAATCATCGTTTTTTGAAACTCGATGAAACGAAAAAGCGATACCAAAAAGAGACAAACATATACATCTATAGATAGGATTTAGCCGACAAGAGAAAGAGATAGAATACCGTATACGGTGTTTCCTATTAGCTTGGTCACCCTATTGTGCGGTATTGCGTAGCTTCCCCTTCTACTTTTTTGAAGGTTCCACTTCTACCGCGTGTGAACTGCACACAGGTTTTTTTTACAAAACAGCGGAGCTAATTGTCAACACTGTGGTAAATTCAACTTTAGACGTATGTAATTG